GACCCAAGTGATCCTTCCACCTCAGTCTCCCGAATAGGTAGGACTACAGGCATGTGCCACCAGGACCAGCTATTTTATTTTATTTTATTTTTAAAGAGGGGAAGTCTCACTCTGTCGCCCAGGCTGGCCTCAAGTTTCTGGGCTCAAGTGATCCTTCCATCTTAGCCTCACAAAGTTCTGGGATTACAGGTGTGAGCCATCACATTCAGCCTTGACCTTATTTTGAAATAGTGTTTTTACAGATGAACCAAATTAAAATGAGGTCCTACTGAATTCTGATAGGCCCAAATCCAATGATTGGCACCCCTATAAGAGGGCAATTTGGATTTAGAAGCACAGGACGGATACAAACACAGGGAAGAAGACCATGTGAAAACAGGGGCCAAGATTGTAGTTATGCTGCCACCACAAACCCAGGAATGCCAAGGACTGCTGGCAGACACCAAAGGCCCGAAGAAGAACATGGCCTGACAACATCTTGATTTCCAATTTCAGATCTTCAGAACTGTGGCAGACTACATTTCTGTTGTGTTAAGCCACCCACCTTGTGGTAAATTGCCAGGGAAGCCCTGGGAAGCAAATGCATCAGTTCCAGTGACTACCTTGGGGAATGCAAACTTCCATTTCCTGAAACACTGAGTCTGTGGGTTTCCAAGGCACCTGCAGCCGAGAACAATCACCACCTCAGCAATGCCGCTCCACCCTAACCATAAGAAGGAGGTAAGGTGACTGTTACAGAATGGGAGCCAGAAGGAATATGTTTAGCACCCCAGTGTCTGCTGGGGTCCCTCTTAGTACTTCCTTGCACAAAGTTGATGGTAAATGGACAACTGCAGCAATTCTGGTCTAAGAAGGGTAAAGTAATCAGGGTATCAAGCTCCTTAGGGACGAAGGTCTTGGTCACGCCACAGATTAGCCACAGAAACCAGCAGAGGTTCAGACAGAGGGTGGGGCTAACCTACAATGGCTAGCAGAAGAGGGAAAAATGAGAATCTGTGGCAGCCATAAGACAAACTGGGGCTTTGTGGGCTACAGCTAATCCTTTTCATCTTTCTCTCCTGAATTATCCCCTCACCCCAGAAAGGAGGCTCAGGGAAATCCTGGAAAAGTCTCTTCTAGTCCCTACACAAAGACATGGGTTTGATGGGTGCAAAAGCATAGACTACAGAGGATGCTCAAAGAGCCAGTGGCTTGGATCCTCTCTCAGAAATGATGGGTTCATTGCCCAGCTGCTGTTATTGCTGCAGAAGACATCTCTCAACTGTTCACTCTCCAGCCTTTGCTGGAGAAAACTAACCCACCAGAATCACACCTCCTTCAAAGGACAGCCTGCATCCTAATAACCTAAAAATGTAGAAACATTTTACATTGTTCCTGACCCCCTTGCTTCAGCTCCTCAGAATCTAAACAAGCTGAACATTTGTAAGATGAATTAGTCTAATTAAATAAAGATTAGCTGGATAATTGCACAGTGTTTCATAATCCAACAGACCTAGGGTGGTTTCTCATTTTTGGTGGACTCCAGAATCACCTGGAAAGCTTCTAAAATATCCTGGTATTTGGGCTCCACTTCCCAGAGATTCTGCCTTAATTGATTTGGCATGGGGCAGAGCCTGGGTATTTCCTAAAACCTTTCCAAGATGGTTAATGTGCAGCTAAGTACTGGGAACCACTGACAGAGACAGGAAAAGTAGTCAGTGGGGAGTGGGTAGAGAAGTGACCCTGAATATTTATCGTATTTGTACTCTCATTTTCTGCCAACGTATAGCTGTTTGCTTTATCTCACCCAGGGCTGAGGGATCCCAACATCATTTCCTGTCCTATAGGAAGCACTTAGGAATACCAGCCAGAAAATTGCCTTAGTGTGACTGGCACATTCTAGCATTTTGGTTGGTTATGCTTTGTGCTTACTTTCCTGTCCAGCTGTTTCTGTGTTCCTTACCTTGAAAATTTGTATCACTTTTGTCTGCCTAGGTTCCTGTTCTCCTGCAGTTCTGGACTTCAGCAATACACATTGGCCTCCAACCCTCCTCACTTCTACCCCTGATATTCCTGATCTAATAGCTGGTCCTGTTTCCGCAGGATGTCCCATCGACCACTGTGCCCTCCTTTTCCCAGTGCTCCATGGAGGCAAGGAAAATGAGAAAAGGGTGACACATTTGCTTTCTGTGCTACTCTAAGTATGTGGTCCCACAGATAACTTTAGGAGGTCTGACTTCAGTAAATTTCCCAGGAAAATTTCAAATTCATTCATTTTTTCTATATTTTTATTTGCTAGCAAAGAGTCATGTATATACAGAAGTAAAACACTTTGAATAAACTTTCATTCCAGAAAGAGATGCCATTTGGAATCTCTTCCATTTACCATTGCCTTCAATTACCAGATGGTAATCTCTGCTGAAACTAGGTCTGAATTTCTTGTGCTTCTCTCAATCTGATGAATACTAAGCTGCTAATGATTCCTCATGGGAGTTTTATAAAGGCAGAAGAACTTCTACATCCCCTTTAAATAAACAGCCTTATCACTGACAGATTTTTAATGGGACAGAATGTTTCTCATCTTCTTTACCTATCTCTGACCTCAACTGCAGAAGTTTTCTACTGTTGCTTATTCAAATATTTTTTCATATTTTAATGCAATGAGCATACAAAAGCCTAATGTTTGCTATAGCTTTTCTTTAAATTACATTTTAAAAGCTATAGTGTATTCACTGAAATAATATATATTTAGGGATTATATTTAAATTGGCCTTTGCCAAAGTAATAAAATAGGGGTTGCTTGCAAAATAATATTTGCCTGTGTGTATATGTGCTGTTGGATATGATTATTCAGCTATTTATGGCTGATAGGTCACAGATGTAATAACATTTTTAAAAGATACTTAGTGTCATCTGTCATCTCAGTAATAATTTCAAAGACAACATTTTTAAGAAGAAAGAAATAAAGGAAAAGAAGTGGAGAATCTTTAACAAGTACAAGTCCTGGCTAAATCCTGTAAAATTAACATTTTTGACCAACATCTGTCCCTATCTTCTCAAACTATCTAGCCCTGTAATGGTTTTTAACACACTTTATTTATTTATTTATTTATTTATTTAGAGACAGAGTTTTACTCTGTTGCCCAAACTGTAGTGCAGTGGCACTATCTCAGCTCACTGCAATCTCCGTCTCCTAGGTTCAAGCAATTCTTGTGCCTCAGCCTCCGGAGTAGCTGGAATTCAGGCACACACCAATACACCTGGCTAATATTTGTATTTTTAGTAGAGATGGGGTTTCACCATATTGCCTGGGCTGATCTCAAACTCCTGACCTCAGGTTATCTGTCTACCTCACCCTCCCAAAGTGCTGGAATTACAGGTGTGAGCCACCACACCTGGCCCAACATATTTTAGACTAAATTATTCTTCTAACTTGTCTCCAAAGTCCATTTTTGCCTGTTGTTCCTTTTTTTCCTTCTTCCTTTAAATTATAGAATCTTGGATTACCTATACTTACAATGTCTATAAATCACATTCCTCCAAAGGGAAATGAAAATACCTTCTAATAACTTCTAAAATCATCACTTGACTGCAACTTTCATCTATCAAAATGTATTCCTGCCAAGTATGTTTTAGGTGGTCATAGTTTTTAAACTATATTAATTGAATTCAGGGTTTTCAAATAATATGCATGTGGTATGTATTAGTCTGTTTTCATGCTGTTGATAAAGACATACCCAAGACTGGGCAATTTACAAGAAAGAGGTCTAATGGATTTATAGTTCCACATGGCTCAGGAGACCCCAAAATCAGGGTGGAAGGTGAAAGACACATCTCACGTAGTGGCAGACAAAAGAAGAGAGCTTGTACAGGGAAACTTCTGTTTTTAAAACCATCAGATCTTGTGAGACTTATTCACTATCATGAGAACAACATGGGGAAGTCCCACCATGCTGGTAATCAAATCAATTACCTCCCATCAAGTCCCTCCCACAACACATGGGAATTCAAGATGAGATTTGGGTGGACACATAGCTGAACCATATCATGGTATAATGCAAAATTTTCATTCAGTAGTGAATTTAGATTTTACATGCCTGTCCATTCTTTACTTATATAGATAGATTTTATTTCTCCACTCTTCTCATTTTTCATTACAGCATTAAAATTCTACAGTAAAACCAATGCAGTTCTTGAAGACTCAAAAGTAGTAAACAATTAAATTCCCTGTGGTATCATTCAAAGAAACTGATATAATCTTGTGACCTCAACAAGCATTTCTTAGGATGTGGAGGGAAATTATAGACTAGAGGACATTACACAATAATCAAGATTTCTGATCTTTTTGGATAGCATTTTTATGACCTCAAAATAAAAAAGATTCAAGACCTTCCCTCAGAAATGGAGTTCACGACAAGAATTTTTTTGTTCATGCTAATCTTAATTTATTCTACTGCAGATGTTAATAGTCACTCTTTGGAAAAACAAAATTACAAAGGAATATATACTTCCTGACCAAAAAGAAAAACTGACATAAAGAATTTTAAAACCATTAATTTAACCACCCAAATGATACTGAAAACTTTCAACATATGTATATGTACATGTATACATACATGTATGACATAATTGAGACTAAAGTATAAATTCTGTTTAATAATCTGCATGCATATATAAACTTTTTCTATCTCACAATATATTTTAACCATACAACTGTAATAACCTTGCCATAATTTAACTTACTGAAGCAGTTTGTTTAACTCAATTTATTTTATCTTTATTTACTTCACTCATGTCTTATTTCTCCATTATAAATAATGCTGCAACCGTATGTGATAAATATTTAAATCATACATGATTATTTCCTTAATAAACATTCCCAGAAGCAAATATATTAGCCAAATACTATGAGGACATTTTTGAATTAATTTAAAAGTCCTGATGGTTAAAATCACATTTTTAAAAACATTAATAAAGATAAAATAATTTAAGTATAGCAAGCATGAAAAGAAAAAGTTTACCTTGTGCAAAAAGAACAGGATGAATTTTAAACCCTCCTCCATTTTTCAGCCGTTCAGGAAGTTGTTCAAAATGATAACTATCAATGTAGAAGTAAACTTTCAGAGCTTGCCGACTTCCTTCTGCTTGATATGTAAGAGGAACATCTAAAATGACATTTAATAGTATGTTACTTCCTAACATAAGGATATCCTAGATGGTACTTTTGTTAACCTTCAAAAAGAATCCTGAGAACTACTAGACACCAACATATTAAACGTGATCATGCTTATCAAGTTGGGATTCAACATACAGTATTCAGTGAAGAGGATTAAATCAGTTTCTCATTAGCTAAAGCAATGCATTTGTTACTGTATTATAAAAATTTCTCGTGATCCACCTGCCCATCCTGGTCAACATGGTGAAACCCCGTCTCTACTAAAAATACAAAAAATTAGCTGGGCACAGTGGCGCATGCCTGTAATCACAGCTACTCAGGAGGCTGGGGCAGGAGAATTGCCTGAACCCAGGAGGCGGAGGTTTCAGTGAGCCGAGATCGCGCCATTGCACTCCAGCCTGGGTAACAAAGAGCGAAACTCCATCTCAAAAAAAAAAAAAAAAAATCCACAATGCGAAACTTTGTTACACTTTGACATACCAGATGTCTCACTTAACTAAATGAGGTGTTTAACTACACATGGTTTGGATTCAAAATCTCCCAGGACAGCTGCTTCATTCACATGTTAGAATGCGTCCTTGGGATATACTTCTTAAGTAATGTGCAAGAAATTGAGTAACAGATAAACCACTATCAAAATTAGCATGGGTTCTGCAAGCTCTATTCCCTGAGCACTATATCGGAAATGTATTATCCATTGTTGATGCCCCACAGTCACTAAAAATTGCCCCAAATTTTGGAGCTATTTTGAAAAATCCCAAATTTAATTACTTAAAAGACCCCAATCAACTTGAAAACTAAAATGCAGTAGGAATATTTCACAATACTATCATAAATCCTCTCCATTTTATGATATTTATCCATGACAAATATTTTGGTCTCATTAGAAAAGAATGTAAAATCATCCTAAAAGGCTGAATAGTCACACTAATCAGTTCAAAATTAAGGACAAACAAATGTAGAAGGCATTTATTTAATACATGTTCCTCACTCAGTATTTATAACATCTAACCTGGTTCTTGAAATAAAACTGTATATAAAAGTAGAGTTCAAGGTTAAATGGTACTTATGATCACAGATTCCAGGCTCCTTGTTAAATTTATCTATTTAATTCTGCATATCAATATGGGAGACATTTCATTAATAATTATTTATCTCCTTTATGGTAGATAAAACACTTATTTTAAATGTTTTGTTACTATTTTTTTAATGAAGACACGAAGCATTTAATTTAGAAAAGGGAATGAACAGGTGTCTCAGCCAAAGGGTTGAAAATTAATAGCACTTTAATAATTGTGAAAATCCTTTTTTTCTGATTTCTAAAAGAAAGAAAAAAAGAACCATGGACACTGAAGAAAATACACATTTATACCTACTAAATACTTGTACCCTTTAGTTCCCCTTTTCACACACTGTCTCTCACAGACATTTTAATTTGTGTTAAATTCCATACCCTTCATCTTTGGCATCAATATAGGCAACCTCTATGTTAACAAATGGATAATGTTATTGAAAGAAAATAATGATGATGATATAACAGTTGGAGTTTCATATTATAGAACTAACATAAAATAAATAAAGATGTTATATTTGGAATTAAGGAATTAAAACTTAGTGAAAATTACAAAGTACATTAAAGTGAAGTTCAAGCTAAGAGCATTAAAACTTCTGGGCTCAAGTGATCCTCCAGCCTTGGCCTCCCAAAGTGCTGAGATTATAGGCACGAGCCACCACACCCAGCCCATTACCACTCCTTTCAATATCATACTGGAAAACCTGGCTATTGCAATAAAACAAGAAAAGAAAAAAGGAAAATAAAGATTAGGAAAGAAAAACATCAACAAAAAAACAATGCTCCTGAAACTAATAAGCAATTATAGCCAGGTTGCAGGATACAGGTTAATATGCAAAAGTCAACTGCTTTTTTATATACCAGCAGTGAACAAGTGGAATTTGAAATTAGCAACCATTAATACCATTTACATTAGCACCTCCCCAAAATAAAATACTTAGGCATAACTCTAATAAAATATACCTAAGATCTATATAAGAAAAACTACAAAACTGATGAAAAAAAATTTAAGAGCTAAGTAAATGGAAAGATATTTTATGTTCATGAAAAGGAAGACTCACTGTTGTCAAGGTGTCATTTCTTCCCAGCCTGATCCACAGTGTCAGTGAAACACCAAGTAAAATCCCAACTGGTTATTTTTTTGATATTGACACACTATTTCTAAAGTTTATATGGAGAGGCAAAAAACCAGAATAGCCAACATAATATTGAAAAAGAAGGACAAAGTTGGAAGACTGACACCCCTTAAGACTTACTATAAAACTATAGTAATCAAGACAACATGGTATTGATCAAAGAACAGGCAAATAGATCAATGAAATAGAACAGAGATCAGAAATAGTCCAACCATACTGTCAACTGATCTTTGACTAAAGAGCAAAGACAATACAATGGAGCAAAGATAGTCTTTTCAACAAATGATTCTGGAAGAACCAGACATCTACATGCAGAAACATAAATCCAGACACTCACCTTATATCCTCCACAAAAATTAACTCAAAATGAATTATAAACATAAATACATAATGAAAAACTATACAATTCCTGCCAGGTTACATAAGATAAAACTTAGATGACCTTGGATATACTGATGACTTTTAGAAAGAACACAATGCATGAAAGAAATAATAGATCCCATCAAATTTAAAATTTCTGTTCTGCAAAAGACAGTGTCAAGAGAATGAGAAAACAAGCAACAACTGGGAGAAAAATCTTTGCAAAAGACACCACCTGACAAAAGACTGTTATCCAAAGTACACAGATAACTCTTCAAACTCAACAATAAGAAAACAACCCAATTGTATTTGTCCATTCTCTCTCTCACTGCTATACTAATGTCTAAGAGTGAGTAATTTATAAAGAAAAGAGATTTAATTGGTTCACAGTTCTGCAGGCTGTACAGAAAGCAGGATGCTGTCATCTGCCCAGCTTCTGAGGCGACCTCAGGAAACTTGTAATCATGGCAGAAGACAAAGGGGTATCAGGCAATCATATGGCAAGAGCAAGAGAGCAAGCAGGGAAGTGCTACACATTTTTAAACAACCAGATCTCATGAGAACTCACTATCCTGAAGACAGTACCCAGGGGAAGGCACTACATCATTCAAGAGAAATCCACCCCTGTGGTCCAATCACCTCCACCAGGCCCCACCTCCAACATTGGGGATTATAATTAAGTATAAGATTTGGGTAAGGGAACACATCCAAACTATATCACCAATTTTAAAAATGGGCTAAAGACCTCAATAGACAACTCACTCAAAAGATATGGAGATGGCAAATAATCATATGAAATGGAGCTCTGTATCATTTGGTATCAGGGAAATGCAAATTAGATGGTTCTGAGCTACCACCATACACCCATAGAAGGACCAAAATCCAGAACACTGACAACACCAAATGCTGGCAAGGATGTGGAGAGATAGGAACACTCATTCATCACTGAAGGCAAAATGTAGATTTTCTACAAAATAAATTTTATTATATAAAATTTAATCCTTTAGCTAGTTTATTCCTCTCTCACTAATTAAATAAGATATGGGGAACAGCTTGTACTTTCCTTAACACTAAAGTGGTCAAGTTATGCCTTTGTATTTCTCACTAGTCTCCATGTACATAGCCACTCTGGAGAACAGTTTGGCACTTTCTTGACAAACTAAAAAACTCTTAACATACAATCCGGGAATCATGGTCCTTGGTATCTACCCAAAGCAGCTGAAAACTTATATCCACATAAAAACCTGCATATGTATATTTACAACCACTCCTCATAATTGCCAAAAAACTTAAAAGCAACCAACATGTCCTTCAGTAAGTGAAGGGATAAACTGTCTGATACATCCAGACAACGGAATATTCTTCTGTGCTAAACAGAAATGAGCTATCAAGCCATCAAAAGACATGGAGGAAGCTTAGATGCATGTTAGTAAGTGAGAGAAGACAATCTGAAAAGGCTGCCTACTGTATGATTCCAACTATGTGATGTTCTGAAAAAGGCAAAACTATGGATAAAGTGAATCAGTGGATGCCAGGGGTTGGGTGCAGAGTGGGAGGGAGGAGGAATGAATAGGCAAACCATGTGGGATTTTAGGGCAGTAAACATACTCTGTATGATAATATAATGGTGGATATATGTCATCATATATTTTTCCAATCCACAGAATGTACAGCTCCAGGAGTAATCCTAATGTAAACTATAAACTTTGAGTGATTATGATATGCTAATATAGGCTCATCAATTTTAAGAAAGTACCTCTATGGTAAGGGCTATGGATAGTTAGGGAGGCTGTGCTTGTGTAGAGACAGGAATATGAAAACTCTCTGTACCTTCCTCTCAATTTTGCTGTGAACCTAAAACTACTCTAACAATATAAAGTCTTTTTTAAAAAATGCAAAATACTAATGTGGAGTTGAAAACTGTTGCCTTTTATTTGTGGATATTTACTAGCTATGAAAACAAACTTGATAATTAGGACTATGTAGTACTTAAAAATTTCAAAACCAATATTGAAAGAGGAAAAGATCTCTGGTAGCATCCTCTAGAGGGATTCATCCCAGAAAGGAGTTTCAACAGTGCCATCCCATCCTTGTAAACATAGCCTCTAATAATTGAATGGGCCCAGGAGTTTGAAAATAAGTCTTTGTCTAGCAAGCTGTTAGTTCCCTCTGCCTGGGTTGCTCTTCCCTGATTCTCTGCAGGGTTGGGTCTTTCTTGTCCTTCAGATCTTAGCTTAAAAGCTACTTCTTCAGAGATTCCTCCTCCAGTCACCCCTTGAAGAACCGCCTCACCTTTTTCTTTATGTATCTGCTTATTTACTTTATGGAACTTACCACAGTCTTATCTTTATGCTGATTTCTTATTGATTATTGATTACTCATTCTTCATTTATTATTGATTCCCAATTTCTTATTCCCAACTAGGCTGTCAGCTCCATGAAGACAGGAACCTGCCTATCTCATCCATGATGGCATCCACAACTCCAGGCACAATGCCTGGCCTATATAAGGACATCTAAGGGGACTCAAACATATTCATTCTTCTAATAATTAACTACTATAAAATGACCCATATCACCATTGAAAAGGAGAAGACGTGCTGTCATTACATGTTCTCCTACACTGATGCAAATTTTCCAAAAAATAAATTTAATCATAGACCAACTTACCATTGAGCTAGTTTAATATGCCTTCACTAATTGTATAATAAGACATGGGAAGCACCTTGTATTTCCTTTATTACTGAAGTAGTCAAATTGCCCATTTATGTCTTTGTACCTCTCATCAGTGTCTAAGCTCCACACACACACACAAAAAAAGCCTTGTTTCATTTGCACACTGTGATATCCCTAGAACTTAGTTCAGGACCTAATATGTTATATATATTGAATCATTATTTCTTCAATGAAAGTTAACTGTCTTTAATCAAGACATTTGAGTTCTACTTGCTTGGCATGGCATAATTCTTCAAAATCTCATTATTCTTTTCATAAAAAAGATTATAGGTGATGCTATAAATATAGCTTTTGAAAAGAATGCAAAGTAATAAAATAAGAAGGATGGATTCAAATACTTACTGAATACTAGCATAGCCATATGTAATGCTAGAGTCTTTCAAATACATTATCTTATTTAAGCCCCTCAACCCTGCGAGTTAGGGAAAGCTGTAGTTCTCATGTTTAACAATAAGAATGAAGCCAAGATTTCAACTTGGATTTCTTGACTTCAAAGCCAATGATGTCTTTACACCTGCGTGCTTCCCCACTCTTAGTCCTCCCTCAAAGGCACGCAGCCAACTAGTCTCCATCCCAGTGATATGTAATTAATTAGTGAATCTGACTTCTCTGCATCTAGGTGACAGAAAGATCAGACTACATGCAATTCATAATAAAGCTTCATTTTTCTTACATCATTTAAATAAGATGTGATGACCCTTGAATACAGAATAATTTTCTTATTTCCTGAATCAACTTAAAATAAGAATTATATTACTATCCTCACTGTTCTAGTGGCCAGTAGTGCAGCATTGAAACGAGACTCTCACTAGAGAACTATTTTCAGAAGTTGAGGTTACACTTTGAAGAGATGCCTTAAAATGTACTGCTAAATATATTCCAAATGTGTGTGTCTGGTATAGCGACATCTACATTTACAGACTGATCACTTACATGGTCTCGATTATTTTTTATATTTAGTATGTGTTCCAAAGTTAAATCTTTCACAGTGGATAGACAATAAAGAAGTATTTTATTAAGTTGATGATATTGGTTCTTCTCCTACTTGTTCAACAGACCATTTGCCAATAATGTCATAGGAGAACCACAGAAAACAGTATTCCTGTGAACTTACAGTTCTTTAGGCAAAATTTTAAACAACATATTGGGTTATATCATGAAAATAGACTTCTCTCTGCCTTCAGCAAAACTATGCCCACATTAATCAAGTAAATGAAAATATATCCTATTCTATACATGTCCACAGAAAACCACACAATTTGTTCAAATGATATTATCCTTATCACATAATACCCTCTACCAGAAAAATCCTTAAATAAATACAAACTAAATTTCTAACTTTGTTCTTGTTCTTTTCCTCATTCATCAGAGGAAATGAAACATTAATCATATATTGTTCTATCTACTTTCATAAATTAAACAGCATTGATGTTTCTTTCTTTTTAAATATCGCCATAGCTACCCTCCAAGCCAAGTCACCATCCTCTCCCACCTGGGTCATTCAGTAGCTTTTTAATGGATCACTGGGCTTCTGCCCTTGGTCCCAGAATACTCTATTTAACACAGCAGTCAGAGACAACCTTTTAATATGGAAGCCACATCCCATAATTCATCTGCTCAATGGCATGGTTAGGAAGCAAAGCTCTTTCAACAGCTGGCAAACCCTGTATAGTCTGGCCTCTTTGCTTTTCCCATCTCTTGTTCCATTCCCCTCACTTGCTCCATTCCACATACAGAGGCCAACTTGCTATCCTGACAGCATGCCATGTTTGCTCCCAGCCTCAGAGTTCAATAAGCCTGGGACACTGCTCCTCCAATACCTCCACAACTCCCTCCCTCAACCTCTTCAGGGCTCTACTCTTCTTTTAGGTAAAGATTCCTCCCTACCCCATTCGTTATCCGCAACCTTTAGCCTACCCTTTCGTTGGTTATCCTTCGCTCTCTTTTATTTCCCTTTATATCTTTCACATCATTGCCTTTTAAATTATTATAAAATTATTTTGCATTTAAGGAGTATTTCATAAATGAATAAATGAATGATTATCATCTTAAGTCAGATCATGAATCAAGTGAAAATTTATAAAGTCCTTATTTATTGCATTGGACATTAGTAATGTGAAAAATAAAACATGAAGAAGCATATACCTTCTAGCCTAATACTCATACTTTTGAAAAACCAAGGCATATATAAAAATACCAACAAACTGCAGAAGATTTCTTAGACTGATAGACATATTTAAGTATATTTATGAGAATGTGGAAACAGTAGAAAATAACTTGCAGAAACTAAAAGATGTGGACATTAAACCATACGTATTGCTACTTCTCTGAACGTATAACTTTTAAAATACTGCCTTTGTCAGATTTAATGATAGAAAATTGCTAAGTCAAAAGGATACATTTCATTCAATTCATGAAATACTTCTTAAACATATTAATATCAAAGTTATATCATATAATTATTTGATGCCAAATAAATTTTGTAAACACCTAATTACTTACTTGCAACCAGGGGTTCCTCTTCTGATGGTTTAAAGTAAAAGGAAACCTTTTCCAAATCAAATAGTGCAACCAGTGTATCTTCTAACATGGCTTGTTCATCTGTCTACAAAGAAAGAAAAACAGTATATAATACAAGATGATATAAAGCAACATAACATAACATGACATAATGTAAATAGAAACCAAAAATAACTTCACTTGTGTTTTATTTACATCCAGGTACAAAACAAAATTATAAAGAGTTCTCTAATAATTTACTGCCCAAAATGGAATGAACAAGTCTTATGTTTCTTTTGTAGTTTTAGACTTTTCCTTTTCTCTGTTGTTTTAATGGTTATACACACATTTTTCAGTCTATTTTGCAGTTAGATTCTAATCATATTAATTTCATTTATTATTTACAAAACACAAAAAGCATGCTATTTGCCTCTAAACTTCTAAAATCTTGTAAATAAAACACCTGAAGAGCAAAAATGTTGTTTTATTTAAAAGCCAAACTACATAATAGCCATCCTATTTTATAATGAGATAACTTATTCATTTTCAATTTGTTACTTTTAGTAACTGTAATTAAAATCAATTTTAATGTGTGATTATTTTACTTCTAGTGAACTTTGGAGCTAGAATCATCTTCACCTCAAGGGCCTTCATGGCATCTTAGTCTAGAATCTTTTGAGCATCAGATTTGGTTTTTTTTAATCATTCATCTCATTCTTGTAGCATATAGTTTTATAGCTAAGGCAAGTAAGTTCCAGACACTAACAAGGTCAGTGTGTATCTCAGTGATGTCTTCTTTCTGGTACTAGATTCTGGCCTTCCCATTAGCGGTTTAATGCATTATTTACAATTTATTTTAATAGTTTTTTCATGAAAATATAATTAACTTTGTCATTCATAGCTTATCTTCTAAAGGTAATATTTGTTTCTTTAAGAATGTCAATGGCCAGGTACAGTGGCTCACACCTGTAATCCCAGCACTTTGGGAGGCCAAGAAAGGAGGATCACTTGAGCCCAGTAATTCAAGACCAGCTTGAGCAACATAGTGAGGAACAGTCTCTCAAAAAATAAACAAAATTATCTGGGTATGGTAGCGGGTACCTATGGTCCCAGTTTCTTGGGAGGCTGAGGTCAAATGATTGCTTGAGCCCAGGAAGTTGAGACTGCAGCGAGCCAAGATTGTGCTGCTGCACTCCAGCCTGGGCAACAGAGCAAGACTCCATCTCTTAAAAAAAAAGTCAATGATTCTCTTAAACAGTTAGTTTAACATGTTGTATACAGCATTTTTAAAAGTTGCCATAAGCTTATAGCCAAATTTGGGGGCAGCATTAGTAGAATATGAAGGAGGTGGTAAAGAATCTCCATTATGTGAAAAAAATCAGTTGAGGTAGCCCCAAGACCCCAAAGGAGGGCAGAGACACAAAGAGTTTGGAAGAACTGTCACTTTTGTTCCTTGGTGTGATGCTTAATACAGTGCACAGTATACAGTAAGTACTGAATAAATGCTTATTAAACCATTTTCTTAAATAGATCCTTTTGAAGCAGCAGAAAAATGTCATGACCCTAGCAGGAAAGGACAGGACTGAAAAATCAGCATTTTTCTAGTAGACAGAAATACACAAAGCAAGAAATGTTCCAGACCGTGTGGCCTCTGAGTGCTGCAGCACAAGCCATGTTCCAGCAAACACTGCCAAAGCCATGCCCAAGTGACCACTGGCTGCGCCTTGCTCTCAAGGACACACAAGTCACTAGAGGAGTGTGTGGTATTCACACTCCTGGTGGATTCACATTCCTGGTGGATGTTTTCTTTCTGACTTTGTGACAGAAGCAGAAAGACTATGGATTTCTTGAAATTTTATTTCCTTCCTTTATTTTATTTCTTGAAATTTTATTTCCTTAAAATCTATTTTCTTTTTAAAATTAATTCCTTAAATAAACTTAAGGATTTCACAAGACCAGTGAAAAAACCACACAGCTTCATTGAGATATAACTCACATACTATAAAATTTACCCATTTAAAATGTATAGCTCAGTGGTTTCAGTATATTCACAAAGCTGTCCAGCTAGCACCATCATCTAACTTAAGAATATTTTTATCATTCCCCAAAGAAACCCAATACCCATTAGTATTCACTCCTCACTTTCCCGCCCCCAACCTTCAGCTGTAGGCAACTGCTAGTCTACTTTCTGCCTCGAATATGTACCTAGTTAGTACATTTCACCATAATAGATGCAAACTATCTGAGGTCTTTTGTGACCGGCTTATTCCACTTAGCATAATGCTTTCAATGTTCATCCATGTTGTAGCATGTATCAGTACTTCTTTCCTTTTTACTGCTGAACAATATTCCATTAATGGACATATGACATTTTATTGATCCAGTCATCAATTGATGGGCACATGAGTTGATTCTACTTTTTAGCTACTATGAATAATCTTGTTAGAAATGTGAATGTAAGTTTTCATTTATTTAGATATTACCTAGAAATAAGTAAAATAGGATTTTAGATATTATCTAGATTTCTAGGTAATATGGAAACTCTATGTTGCATATTTTGAGGAGCCATTTTCCAGAATGGCTGTGCTCCTTCCCATGAGCAGCTTAGGAGGGTTACAAAATTTCTCCACATCCTCCCCAACACTTGTTATTATCTGTCTTTTGTATGATAGTCATCCATATCACATGTATTTGATATTTCATTGTGGTTTTGAGTTGCATTTCTCTAATGGTTAATGATGTGGATCATCTTTTCAGGTGCTTTTTGGACATCTTTACATCTTTGGAGAAAGATCTATTCAAATCCTTTGTCTACTTTTTAATTGGTTATTTGTCATTTTACTATTGAGTTTTAAAGGTTCTTTACATGTTCTACATATGTCACTTATCAAGAATATGATTTGTAAATATTTTCTCATATTCGTTGATATTTCAAATAAAATTAAGTTTAAAGTAAAAGTACCAGCACTTGATTAGACAATGGTAGTTTTAAAATAAGGAAAATACATTAGAAATAAAGACTTATTTATTTACTCATTCATTCAACAGATAATTGATACCTACCAGGTGTTAAAAGTAGGCTATCATATGTAATTCACACACACACACACACACACCACATTTGCTTTTAAACTCAAACCTGTTACTTGGTAGCTACATTTTCTATATGTACTTTAACAGATGAAATAGGCTCTCATGTTTAAAAACACAATTCTATTCAGTGAGCACCTAAAGTTGATATATTAAAGTGAACATATTTGCTTTTAAACATCATGACACTATCCAAACCACAGGAGATATATGTGAAAAAAACTCTTAAATTCACCACAGATTTATTTTTCAAACATTTTAAGATGCTTTCTTCATATTCACTGCAGAAACTCGATGCATAAACATAGAATATTCTACAGTAATTAAGGCAGTGCTCTTCAATTTAACAGGACAAACATGCATACAAAAAAAGAAGTAAAATTATTTAACATATGCAAATTGTAAACAGATTGTCAGGCAATATGGTATTTGAGTTCTCTGAGCTTGGCTCTCAAGCCTGCTCCAGGACATCACCCTCAATAGGAGCTTTGGTTTCACAGCAGCCTATTTCCTTGGACTAGGGATAATGAACAGCAGCAGGAAGACCCTTTTTCTTATGATGACTTTTTCCAGTCAATGCGTAGGGATACAAGAATTGGTAACAGATGGAGGCTTTCTCAGCTTTTAGCAGCCACAGAGAACAGATACAAATCAGGAAAGAAGAAATACATTCTACATACTTATTAAAGTTTGAAAGACCACAGAAAAATGTATATTTTTAAAGTAGCTGAATGCATGCACACTCATAGAGATAATGAAGGGGAAAGAAATAACTACTTCTTATTTCAAAGCATGTTACAGTGTAAGTTACAGTTGACACTGACAGTGGGATCATGTGATTTCCTTACCAAGTTTGGTGACAGAAGTGACTGAAAGTGAAAAAGAACACCTGCATTCGCTATCTGGTCCAGCCACCTTCTGCTGGCTTCCCAAGTTTCCATCTCATTTTCCTTGCTGTTGTCAAACATCTGGTTCAAGGCTGCCATGAGCTGCTCAGAGAAGGCACAGACAGTGGCCACAAGAGTCTGGCAGAAAACCATGTCTCTGCGGAGCTGCGTCTCACTATCTGAGATCAAAGAGAACATAGAGAATGCTTTGAAAACTGTTGCAGATGGCGAAAACCAACGCGTTAAGCATCTACATTCAATAGTATTTCATCTTTTCACTAAACTTGCGCACGTGAAAAATTTTAATTTGAGCTCTATAAACGAGCACACACATTTTAGCAAATAGGCTTTACAGAAAACACTAAACACTAAAAAAGTTAGAAATATTAAAATAATTTTTCTCAATCAATATTGTGACTCTATTCTACAATCATTAAATTGTTTGATAAAACCTGAAGAGGAAAAACAAGGCTTCATTCATTTATATTTTCTATACCTGATGGGACACAATTTCCATTTGCTGCAACAATGTTTTCCTAAACAAAACTCATAGTACAATTTGTCAGTTTTTGTTGGTAAATGAAATACAATATTATTAATGCAATTTAAAAATTAACAACTAATCCTGCTCGAATATTAATGTGAAATACATGTGGGGAAAAGAATATATGATGTTCAATTTTTTGTAATAATAAGCAAATCTGTCTCTCCTGAATGAAGTTATTAAACCCCATGAACTATAAATATGTTCAAATATAAGAATACAAATTCCTATAATTCTTTCACATAAGTAATGTATTTATAGTTTTAGTAGGAATTGATTTTTATATGTTTACCAGGATTCATAACCTGCAATTGACTGGAGTTTTAGTTAACCCACTGATATGGTTAGGCTTGGTATCCCCATCCAAATCTCACCTTGAATTGTAATCTCCAGGCGTTAAGGATGAGACCTGATGGGAAGTGACTGGATTATGGGGGTGGTTTCCCTCATGCTGTTCTTGTGATAGTGAGTGAATTTTCAAAAGATCTGATGGTTTTATTTTTTTATTTTTTTATTTTTTTGAGGCGGAGTTTCGCGCTTGTTACCCAGGCTGGAGTGCAATGGCGCGATCTCGGCTCACCGCAACCTCCACCTCCTGGGTTCAGGCAATTCTCCTGCCTCAGCCTCCCGAGTAGCTGGGATTACAGGCATGCGCCACCATGCCCGGCTAATTTTTTGTATTTTCAGTAGAGATGGGGTTTTACCATGTTGACCAGGATGGTCTCGATCTCTTGACCTGGTGATCCACCCGCCTCAGCCTCCCAAAGTGCTGGGATTACAGGCATGAGCCACCGCGCCCGGCCGATCTGATGGTTTTATAAATGGTAGTTTTTCCTGTACTTTGACACACACACTCTCTGCTCTCTCTTGCCTCCCACCATGTAAGGCATGCCTCTTTCCCCTTTTGCCTTCTCCCCTCCCAAATTTCCTGAGGCCTCCCTGGCTATGCAGAACTGTGAGTCAATTAAACTTTTTTCCTTTATAAAGCACCCCAGTATCAGGTATTTCTTCACAACAGTGAGAAAACAGACTAATAAACCCTGATATTTTGAAGATACCTTTCCACTGTGAACCGCCACTTATGAACTAGAGATTTTTCAAATGGAAATAGATGAACATAGAGTTCATCTCTTTGAGTGGTTAGATATTTACAAATTACAGAAAAACAAAACTACACATTCCGTATATTGAAAAATCACTTCCACTAGAAATGGAAACAACAAAGGGAAAAGTAACTTCCTCTCAAATGTATACTAAATATTTCAAGGGCTCACAGACCCCTCTGGAATAAAGAAGCATTGAAATATTAGTGTATAGCATAGAGATAAATGCTGACTTTATTAAGTGGGGAGCTCTTCTTTTATTGACAAAAAAGGCATAATTTTAAAGATTTACCAAGAACATTGAACATCTGTTTCTAATAACCATCAAAAGCATGTGTACACATAATTTAGTTTCTGTGTCACTCAGAAAACCTACTCTTGAAAATTTTATTAGAAAGATAATTAAATATTTAAAATATTTGATTTTGTATTTGAATATTCATTTATTAGGCTGAACTATAGAAAAGTGCTGCTTTGGTAGGTTAAAATGGTTGACTATGGCGATTCCATGTGTCTCAACTTGCTAATTTAACCAACAACATGTTTTAAGCATCTATATCATGTGTCCCAAAGGGCATTTATAGGTAACTATAAAATCTTTAAACTGGAAATGAACTTTGTCCAACCCTCAATTAAGAAACAAATGAAACACTTACTTTGCGGTGTACAATTTCCATCAGAGTAGACATTGGACAAATGTTTACTAAATCAATGATTAAAATAAAGAGTCAGTGGCACTAAAAATAAATAAATAAGTGAAATGAAAATTCATGAGTTCATTCTCTGGTTTCTTGAAATATCTGGGTTTAATTTTACCTAAGAGGCTAATTCAGATAGGTTGTTAGCTCTAGTGTGCACCTAGATACTGAGGTTCAAGACAGAAACTAAATAAGTTACCCTATGTCTTGTTATATATTCTTCCTTTGTTTTTCAGATGTTTTATAGTGAAGCAGAAAATCTGGATAAATTTTTAAAAACACTTCAGTAGCTTTGGCAGAAATACTTCCACATATACCTTGAAAATAATCTAATGAAAATCTAATTGGAAAGAAATTATGGATATTGAGTGAAAAGCAAAAGTCTAGAGAAAAAAGGATCTGTATTGTAAGCTTTTGAAATCACAAGGGTTAATAACTTCACCACTAATAGAAATTATTATTTTCTAAGTTTCTTTTGTGAAAAAATTATCAAATTACTTCTTTTTTATCCTAAAATGATTATCTAAATGTTCATTCTATGTTCTGCTACTATATTCGATTTGCATTTAAGCCAAATTAAAATTTTTCTTTCCACCTCTTTATCAAATCAAACTGATTGCAATTAACAGTCATATTTTCAATATGCAAAACCTGTTGATAACGTGAAGTTGTATTCATTCATTAATTCAAATATTTAATGCTGAATGAATACCCTACAAGAATTGACAACTGCAACAACTACTAGAGGATCCAAGCTGGTGCCTCAGCCACACTGAATAAAAATATATACTTCCTGAGACAGTATTCTGTTGCCACCTTCCTATTTTCAACAGAGAGTAGATGAATTGTTTGCACAGATTCAACATGTACATATTATATCAAGAGCTTTTCAAGTTAACCTTTTACAAGTCATCATTTCACAATGAATAACAAAGTTAGAAAACAGTGGCATAAGGGGGGCCTTGCGACCTGTCCCCAACTTATGCTTACAGCTTCTCCACGTGCCACTTCCCTCCGTTCATTCCACACTACAGCAACAATGTTCACAGAGTTGTTGTGAGAGCACATTAAAACAACATATCTGAAGGCAGTCAGAAGAGTGAGGTAGACAGACCTGTCCTCTTTGAGCCACACAGTACTGCTCAGTAGTCCTCAAATGCCAAATGCCCTATGGCCCAATCTTGGCCTGAACCTTCCTTCCAGATGCATTGCATGCCCTTGTCCTTCTCCTCTGCCTAGCAAACTTTCAATCAATCTTTAAGAGTCAACTCACTAAACTATTGAAACTCACTGAAGTATTGAAATGCCCATTGATAATAGACTGGATTGGGAAAATGTGGCACATATACACCATGGAATATTATGCAGCAATCAGAAATGATGAGTTTGTGTCATTTGTAGGGACATGGATGAATCTGGAGAACATCATCCTCAGCAAACTGACACAAGAACAGAAAATGAAACACCGCATATTCTCACTCATAGGCGGGTGATGAAAAATGAGAACACATGGACACAGGGAGGGGAGTACTAAACACGGGGTCTGTTGGGGGGAAAAGGGGAGGGCCAGTGGGAGGGGGAGGTGGGGAGGGATAACCTGGGGAGAAATGCCAAATGTGGGTGAAGGGGAGAAGGGAAGCAAAACACACTGCCATGTGTGTACCTACACAACTGTCTTGCATGCTCTGCTCATGTACCCCAAAACCTAAAATGCAATAAAAAATTTTAAAAAAAAAAGAAAGAAAGATTATCTCCCCCTGTGAAATTTCCCTCTCCCCCAGGAAGTACTGGGATCTTCTTCTGGTCACCACACCTGGGGGCATCCTACTACTGGAGTGCTAATTATCTAGCATAGTGGGGATTCATTTATGAGTCTTTGTTCCCAAGGAACCATTGGCACATCAAAACCAGGGAAGTGGCATGTGACTTATGCTCACACTCTTTAGAGACATATCATCTGCTTTCAACTACCCATTCTAAGCTATATTTTAGGTGTCAGATTCTCATATAAAAATTGGGGTTCATTCCTCCTTCTTAGAACTACAATAAAGATAAATGAGATAAAAAGTATTTAAAGCACTTAACAAATAGCATTATCACTGTGATTCTTCTTTTTATCTAGCATCTAGCACCATGCCTGGCACTGAGTAGGTGCTCAGCTTTATTGCTAACGAAGAAGGAATAATATGTTACATAAATACAGCAAAATCTGCTAACTCTAAGCAAAAATATCCAGGTCTTTTTCTTTCAATTATGCAACCATTCAAAATTCACAAGTATTTATCCTTTACCAAAGGTATTTTTATTTTTGTGTATGTTTTTGTTTGTTTTGTTTTATTAAGAGAAAGGGTCTTGCTCTGTCACCCAGGCTGGAGTGCAGTGGCACGATCATAGCTCACTGCAGGTTCAAACTTCTGGCCCCAAGGAATCCTCCTGTCTTGGCCTCCAACTTAGCTGCCACTACAGGTGTATATCACCATCATTCCTTGCTAATTTTTAAAAAAAATTTTTGTAGAGACAGGGTCTTACTATAATGTCCAGACTGGCCTGAAACTCCTAAATTCAAGTAATTCTCCATCTTCGGCTTCCCAAAATGCTAGGATACTGTCTTCACTCCCTATTTTTATGAATAAGGAAGAACTACAGCAAAACTCACATCTGCTTTCAGCTACTAGCAAAAGAAGAAAAACAGGGATTTTGAGGGTTTATTATCTTTTGACTTATTATTGTAGAGTAAGATTTTTATTATTTATTTTTATCATAGAATAATATTTTTCTCACAGTGAGAATACACTCAAATGATTTTTGTACCTATCGAAGGCTTCAGTTTCATTTCAGAACTTAAACACCTATTTAAACTCATCTTCTAACACATGTTTTAAATTATACTATTTCAACTTGGCTGTTTAAAAGTTTAAGATCCATAGTTAGCTACTTGGTTTAAAAAGACTGAGATGGTTTCTAGACACACACAAACAATCTCAGAAATCATACTAACACAGAGACGGTAGGGAAAATAAAGCCAAATAAACAACAAAGACATACATGAGGCCAACAAACATATGAAAAAATGCTCATCATCACTGGTCATTAGAGAAATGCAAATCAAGATTACACTGAGATACCATCTCACGCCAATTAGAATGGCGATCATTAAAAAATCTGGAGACAACAGATACTGGAGAGGATGTGGTGAAATAGAAACACTTTTACACTGCTGGTGGGAGTGTAAATTAGTTTAACCATTGTGGAAGACAGTGTGGTGATTCCTCAAGGACCTAGAAATAGAAATTCCATTTGACCCAGCAATCCCATTACTGGGTATATATCCAAAGGATTATAAATTGTTCTACTATAAGGACACGTGCACACAAATGTTCATTGTAGCACTGTTTACAATAGCAAAGACCTGGAATCAACCCAAATGCCCATTAATGATAGACTGGACAGGGAAAATGTGGCACATATACACCATGGAATATTATGCAGCAATCAAAAGCTATGAGTTCGTGGTCCTTTATAGGGACATGGATGAACCTGGAGAACATCATTGTCAGCAAACTGACACAAGAACAGAAAATGAAATACTGCATGTTCTCACTCATAGGTGGGTGTTGAACAATGAGAACACATGGACACAGGGAGGGGAGCACTACACACTGGGGTCTGTTGGGGGGAATCGGGGAGGGACAGCGGGGGATGGGGAGTTGGGGAGAGATAGCATGGGGAGAAATGCCAGATATAGGTGACAGGGAGGAAGGCAGCAAATCACACTGCCAAGTGTGTACCTATGCAACTATCTTGCATGTTCTTCCCATGTACCCCAAAACCTAAAATGCAATTTAAAAAATTAATAAATAACAAAAGAAAGGAGATTAGAGAAAGAGAAAAGTGGGAATAAAGGGGGAGTAAGAATAATGTTTAAAAGACATAGTCTACCCTTTTCAAATGAACATAATTTAACAGCCAAAAATATGAAGTATTGTGGCTACTGTTTTGGTGTCATCCTACTTAGAAGAAGGGAGATAGACTAAGCAAATAAAGCAGGAAACTACAGAATCATAAGAGGAATAAAAAAATAAAATAAAAATCTACCAGAGGATCCATTTGAACATTAATGAATAAAACAAAGCATCCCGGAACCACTTCCAGAATTGTCAAACCTAAGCCTGAATTTCAAAACTGCCACCTACTATTTATTCATTTACTCAATAAGGCATCAATATGCCTATCCTTCCAGATGCTCCAAAGTAAGCACTGACTGTATACTATGTGCTGGTTATTATTAATCTGCCGGAATATCAATTTCTTCACCTTTAAAAGTATGGAAACAATAATATTCTCACATGGTGGGCTGTGGGGACCCAATGAAATTCAAGAAAATGAAACCCATGAATTGTGTTATTAGTAAAGTTCAGAAATGGTAGTATATTTTTGTCATCATTATTATTCAGTCAAAAAACAAGGCAAAACCTTTTTCTCATTAGGGCAAAAAACAAATGGATAAATAAAAAAGCCTTGTTGGTTAACTTGGTTCATGGATTCAGTCATAATTTAAAATTTCCAAGTGTGCTACTTTGTAAAAGGAGTCACAAATTATTTCCCTCCCTGTATCTACACTCTTGCAATATAACTATGAGACCCCTTCCATTAAAAGTAGAGTCTATGTCTCTACCTCTTAAATCTGACCTTGCCAGTTACATGCCTGGGGCAGCAGAAAGTGGGAAGCTCTTGCACGTTCCCACTGTCTTCCTGGAACTCTGCAAATCCACCATGTGAACAAGAGCAGGCTGGCCTCATATATGACAAGAGACATGCAACCCAGGCAGCCCCATTACCTCAGGTAACAGCCGCTCAAGTGTTACATATGTGAGAAAGGCCACCCTAGATCACCTGTGCCTAGCCAATCCACCACCTGATTGCAGACACAGAGGCAAACCCAGCCAAGATTGAGAAAACCTGGCACACAGACCAGCAGAACCGCCCAGATGACACTAGACAGGTAAACAATAATAAATGGTCATTGTTTCATGCCACAAAGTTTGGGGATTTTTTTTTAACACAACAAAAGCTAACTGATGTCACAAATAATTACTCAGGTTATATTTTTAGGAACAAACCCCTATCAAAATCTAGTTCGGGTAATAATATTTCTGTGTATATATACACACACACATATTTTATGGGATATAGATTAAAATAATAAAACTAAACAATCCAACATATCTATATACCTCAAAATCTACATAAAATGCACAGCAGACTAACATCAAACTGTTCACTGTAATTAAATGGCATGTAGTTGAGTTTTCCCAATCTTTATGATCCATTTCCTTCTAAATGCATTTTGAATGAAAACCTTGTTGAAATACTTCATACATTTTCCTTCTTCATTTATAGCATTTTTCATTCATTTGTGCCACAAATACTGGTTGAACATCTATATGCCAGCCACTATTTTAGGCATTTGCTGCTGATCAAAATAGGCATGGTGCCTGCCTTTGTGACATTTATAGTCTATCATCTGCAATTTAGAATCTCATCACATATTTAATTGTCCTTTAGTGTCATTTTCCATTACCAGTATGTTCTGAGCTTCCACTAAGTGCATGATAAAAGTGTTTTCATGTAAGATCTGTAAAATGTTTACATACATTCTTGTTCATAAACAAAATTTAGACACAATTAACTTTAACAAAGCCTTTTCCCTTTCTCCTTTTTAATAACATTTTTAAAATATATATATTTGTATATGTTTTCACAGTTTTGCTTATAAGAGAATATGAGTGTGTGTATATATATATGTGTGTGTACATACATGTGTGTGTATGTATATATACACAATGTATACATACACAATATTAACAAATATATATATATTTGTTAAAATGATGTGAGTACTTATTTGAAACTTTCCAAAGGTTTAGGGAGGGTGGGGATCATATTTCTATTTTGTAAATGGTTGAAGGTATTATCTTCATATTTCAAGACTTTTATGATCCTGGGCTACAATCACTTAAACGTTTTTTAAAAAATGCAAAATGTTACCTGAATATTCAAGAAGAGCCAGGAGTATCCTACACTTTACTTCTGCAGAGAAAGAAAACACATAAGTTAATTGTTCACTCTTTCTGCCACAAATGCCACATTTTAACTGTATAGTCAAAATTAATATGATCTTATTATACTAGGCTGGTGCAAAAGTAATTGTGGTTTTGCCATTACTTTCAATGCCAAAAAACAGCAATTACTTTTGCACCAACCTAACATTGGATAATAAAAATCAATTCACTTGACATGCTACTCCTGCCTGTTTGCCTACATAGATTCTATCCATTGTTCAAGATCCTGAAATGTCTCTGAATTATGTCAGTCAATGAAACACCATTCAAATCCTGGCAGCTTTTAAGGTCATCCTTAGCTGCTTTTGCCTGCTTGGTGTTCTGCAAGCTACAACTGTTGTAGCCGCTATCAATAAACTGTCAAATCATATGTTTGCTACTGCTATTTAAACTTTGTTTCTGTTTGCTACTCCTATTTAAACTGCTATTTTACTAATGCTATTTAAACTTGTACGTGTGTGTGCGTGTGTGTGTGCGTGTGTGTGTGCGTGTGTGTGCGTGTGTGTGTGTGTGTACATATATATATGCTCTTCTTCTAACCCCAACCCACACAAGGCCAATCACAGATGTTTATAAATGTGTATGAATTTCATATTAATTGCTATTTGTCCAATGAGTTATGTACACATTTGCTTCCAGCTGTAAATAATTATAGTTTATGTGCAATAGGTAAATTTAAAAACTTACAAAGTTCCTGCTAAATGCCCAAGATTATGGGAAACAAAACAATGAAATTGCATATTATTCTAGACAGATTCACAATAGAGTTAAGAGAGACAGAATTAACTGGAAAAAAATGTGATACTTAAAAGGGCACTAAATTTTACAAGAGAGACTGAAAGAACAAAAGGATTTCAGAGGCAAGAAAGTACAATAAACTAAGAGTCAGAAGACTGATGTTACATACTAGCTTTGTGGCTTCAGAAAATTGCTAAATTATGGCCAGGCATAGTGGCTCATGCCTGTAATCCCAGCACTTTGGGAAGCCAAAAGTGGGCAGATCACAAGGTCAGGGGTCCAAGACCAGCCTGGCCAATATGGTGAAACCTCATCCTACTAATAATACAAAAATTAGCCTTGCGTGGTGGCACACGCCTATAGTCCCAGCTACTTGGGAGGCTGAAGCAGAAGCGTCACTTGAACTTGGGAGGCAGAGGTCGCAGTGAGCCAAGATTGTGCCACTGTACTTCAGCCTGGGTGACAGAGTGAGATGACATCTCAAAAAAGAAAACTGCTGTTACTTTGAGTCTCAACTCATTCATAAATGAAGATAACATCTACCTTACCTATTTTGTAGGTCTGTGTAAAATATAAGTGAGACTATGTATGAAAAGTCTTTGAAAAATATTTAAAGTCCTATATAAGTAAATACTATTAGCGTTATAATCTGAGTCTGGCCAAAGTTGATATAGAATTCTAAATGAGTCTAGAAAATATTTCATAAATATTTTAAATTATGACTGTCAAAAAAGGAGATACATATTCTAAGGGTGAGAAATTGTGCTAGCAAAGGAATATAGTAGAGAATGAATAACAATTATCTAACAATGTAGCATAGAGAGATTTTATTATATCATTCAGAGACTGAGATTGGGATATGGTTGGAAAACCCTACTGAAAAATGGCTTCTAACAGATTGACGAGTTTAGTCTTACCTAACAGAAAATCACTACAAGGTTCTGTGACACAGTAGTGAAATTATGAACACAGTATTTTAGAAAGATGAATCTCACAGTGGTTATAAGAATCAGAAAAGATAGAGACAGGGAGTCTAGCCAGAAAAATCATTGCAATTACTGAAGTGTAATGAAAAGGGAAAAACCTGGAGACACTCTTTAGAATATTAAAACAAATGCAGGGAAAAAAGTTAATGTAGGTTGCTAAAAAGATATATGAGATTTAGATAAAAGCATTTTTCTTTTTAGGGAACAAAAAGTTGAAAATCTGTTCACTAACAAACATTTGAATTTAAAGTGATGGTGGGCCACTCAAATAAAAATACCTTCATTCTGCTGATAATATGAAGCCATAATTTACCTCAGAAATTAAGCAGAAGATAGGCATCATCTTAGTGACACCATACAATTAATCTGTCCTAACTTAATTCACTATCTTCTCTGCTCTCTTCTATCTACAGTTGAATTTGCTATGAATGGGTGAGTATATAAAGACACAATTTTTGAATGGCACTGTAACAGTTCTTTCTAAATAAAGATCATAGAATCATGACACCTTGATATCACATGTGGTATAAAGTAGATGGGATATTTTGAAATCAGTCTAGGAAACATCGGAAATGAGATCATTCCAGCTACTTACATAAACGAAGGAATTCTGGCCTGATAGAATTAAATTAAATTCTATCAATCTACCAGATTGAATTAAATTCCAAGATCTAAGCTTCCATTAAGTCATTCCCTATGTAAAGACAGTCTGGGAATTAGAATGAAAATGACTTTAAGTTGAATAGAATAATTCTTGCTGCACTAGCGAAATTACTTCAGAGTGCCTCCATATAACAAGTAACTGATTTCAATGATCCTAATGATGTTTCCACTCCTAACAGGACCAGACACCACAGAGACTACCAGGAAATGGCAGCATGCCCTCTCCCTTGCATAGTCCATTGGGATGAAGCAAAAATTAATCATTTTTAAAGACTCATTTAGCATGGTGACAATCACAGCTCTTACCCAAAGAGCTCACTGAAACTCACTGAAATTTGTAACCAGAGATGCAACCTAAACTCTACAGAGAGCCCTCCACATACCATTGACTATAAGACTCTCAGCCCATCCAACCACACTCAACTAGCTGTTGGGCTCCCATGACCAAGAGTGGCGCCCATACTCACAACACACACTAACCTATCCATCAATCAGCGTGTGTATATAGTTATCATTCTTCTAGCTGCTTATTGTGACATGAGTTACAAAGAGTACAAAAGCGAGACTTGAGATGAAAATCTAAGATTCTTAAAATGAGTACTTTTTGAAAAATTAAACTTTTTATCCTGCATTATAAATGTATTTTTTTAACTTTTATGTTCAAAGGTACATGTGTAGGTTTCTTATATAGGTAAACTTGTGTCTTGGGGGTTTGTTGTACAGATTATTTCATCATCCAGATGTTAAGACTAATATCCATCAAGTATTTTTCCTGATTTCCCTCCTCCTACCCTTCACCCTCTGCTAGTTCCAGTGTGTGTTGTTCCTCTCTTTGTGTCCATGTGTTCTCATCATTTAGCTTCTACTTATAAGTAAGAACATGTGGTTTTTAGTTTTCTGTTGCTGTGTTAGTTTGCTAAGAATAATGGCCTCCAGCTCCATTCATGTTCCTGGAAAGGACATGATCTCATTCCTTTTTATGGATGCATAGAACTCTCTGGAGTATATGTAGCACATTTTCTACATCCAGTCTACAGCAGATGGGCATTTGAGTTGATTTCATGTCTTTGGTATTGTAAGTAGTCCTGCAATGAACATACATGTGCACATATCTTTATGAAATAATAATTCATATTCTTTTGGGTATATACCCAATAATGGGATTGCTGGGCCATATTTCTATCTGGTCCCAGGCTTTTTTTTTTTTTGGTTGGCAGGCTATTTTTATTACTGATTCAACTTTGGAGCTTGTTATTGGTCTGTTTAGGGATTCAATTGCTTTCTGGTTCAGTCTTGGGAGGATGTATGTCTCCAGTCATTTATCCATTTCTTTTAGATTTTGTAGTTTATGTGCATAGAAGTGTCCATAGTTATGATAGTTATATGTATTTCTGTGGGGTCAGCAGTAATATCTTCTTTGTCATATCTAATGTGTTTGTTTGGATCTTCTCTCTTTTCTTCCTTACTAGCCAAGCTAGAAGTCTATCTACTTTATTAATTGTTTCAAAAATCAACTCCTGGATTCATTGATCTTTTAAGTGGTTTTTTGTATCTCAATCTCTTTCAGTTCAGGTCTGACTTTAGTCATTTCTTGTCCTCTGCTCCCTTTGGGTTTCATTTTATCTTGGTTCTCCAGTTCTTTTGGTTGTCGTATTTGCTTTATAAATCAAGATCTTTTAACTTTTGGATATGGGCATTTAGTGCTACAAATTTCCCTCTTAATACTGCCTTAGCTGTATCCCAGAGAGTCTGGTATGTTTTACCTTTGTTTTTATTAGTTTTACAGATTTGTAAAGCAAGTTCTTACATACCTTCAGAGAGACTTAGACTCCCACACAATAATAGTTGGAGACTTTAATACCCAACTGTCAGTATTAGGCAGATCATTGAGGCAGAAAATTAACAAAGATATTCAGGACCTGAACTCAGTACTGATCAAATGGTCCTGATAGACATCTACAGATATCTCTACCCCAAAACAACAGAATACATTCTTCCCATCACCACATGGCACATGCACTAAAATTGATTACATAATCAGACATAAAACACTTATCAGCAAATAGAAAAGAAGTAAAATCATAACAACTACTCTCTCAGATCATAGCACAATCAAATTAGATATCAAAACTAAGAAATTCACTCAAAACCATACAATTACATGGATATTGAACAACTTGCCTTTGAATGACTTTTGGGTAAATAATAAAATTAATGCAGAAGTCAAGAAGTTATTTGAAACTAATGAGAACATTACAAATTTCTATCTGAAAGACAAAATTGTTCAAACCAAAAAAAAAAAAAAAAAAGCAGGGAAAGTGTTTAAGGATTTTTCCATTCCTAGCCAAAATGCATTTAGCCTAAAACAAATACAAAATCTCAAAGATGATAAGAACAACTACAGAATTATAACTTCTACTAGTGTCATAATACTGGCATCTATTCAGCAGAAATATGCCTTTTAGTCAGTAAAGTATATGCTTAAAATTCGAAACTACAACTGTTGTTCAAAAATGGATTTTACATTTATGCTATTCATATTTTGGGGAATTTTTAATTCAGACTTTTCAATTAACATTATGTTACAAAGTATCACAGGTAAACGTATTAGGCCATAAAATAAAAATATAGCCAAAAAACTCCAGCTGTCAAACACAAAATATTTTATCACAAGATAGAATCACTATGGTTTATTTGGGGGAGTATTCCATATCTGTACAAATTCCTTTCTACTAATCTCTAAACAATACTTAAGTTGTTATATTTGAGTATAAGTCTATGTAGAAGACTTAGTAATCACATAAAATTTAAACCATCTCTGTCATTTAATAAATGTGGAAGTTGAAGCTTAATGGAGTTAAGTGACTAGCTCAGACTCCATTTGGCATAAGGGGCTGTCTTTTCTCAGCAAAATTTACAGCTCTCTTTAATTTACCCCCATTAAGGTAATACTGTAGTTATACTGTAATTCTGCTAAAAACCATTGGATACTATTTACCACATCCAACTGACATACAAAGGAATAAAAACAAAAATGCAGGAATAGTATTTACTGTACAGATTTCTCAACCTTAGCACTATTAACATTTGGATCAGATAAATCTTCCTTGTGAGGAACTGTCTTGTACATTCTAGAATATTCAGCAGCATCCCTGGCCTCTACTTAGAGGTCAGCAGCACACCCACAATTGTGACAACCAAAAATACATCCAGATGTTGTCAACCACTGTTCTAATCACTAGGAAGAAAATAGCTGAGTTAGATATTTTTAAAACTAGAAGAATTTCTCATTTCAACTTTTTCACCATAATCATTTTGAAACCTGTCGGGATTTTCTACTTAATCACCCTGGTTCTAAACAACGTGCACTCTCTCTCAGTGAAGTCATCTCAAAGTTATATATCTCCAATTTACAGGTTGCACCAATTATAGAATGTCATGTAAATAATGTTATTGTAGTTAATAGCAATCAACTTAGACCAACACTTCTGAAACAAACAAAAAAACTAATGATGCAACCTATGGAATTATTTTGATTCTCATACAGCTTCACAACTGATTTTTTTTGTGGGGCGGATAAACTTAGCTTCATGCCTTTGGTAAATACTTTAGAAATTTTTTTCTGATATTGTCTCCTATTACAAAGTCTTAAATTCTCTTCATGTTTTATTTGTCTTCATAACTTTGAGCCCTTATTTTATTCACTGAGTATATTCTCCATGATGTTTATAACCTTGGTACGCAAGGTCCTATAAGTTTATTCCTTCTTGCCCTCTTCTTCCCTAACCATTGTTTAGTACTTTTATTTTCTTCACAATAGGAAACACTGCAAAAAAGTGATCAAGCACTATCCACCTTTTGGTTTTAGTGGGTTTTAAAATGATTATTGCTAATATCATGCAATCATGCTGACCTTCAACGAATTTCCTGATGTTCTGAGCAAGAGTCCGGACGCTGCTGGGAAGATTCCAAGGATCTTGCTTGATATGAAGTCGTAACCTTTTTGGACAACTCAGCTTTGGTTCCATTTCCTGTTGAAATTCTAAATAAACACAGAAAATCTCTCTTAAGTCTCAACTAATTCCCAAAAAAATGAAGCTTTCCAGCTTCAAAACCTTCTTCTGTCACTGCTATCCTAGACTATAGACATGGTGGATATTTCTTTTGCCATACCATCAGAAAATCCATTTAATCTAAAAAGTCAAACCTTAACGTTATTTTCTTATAAATGTTTAAACAAAGCAAATTGTTGAAAACTCTACCTTCATTATCCCAAACTAGTTATTTGTCAGAAAGTGGCAGCTCTATTTTTTCTGTTTATCAACTCTCATTCCCCACACTCTTTCCTCACCACTGGGAAACAAACAGCCAAGGAGGCATTATGCTTGGTTTCAGAAAAATCACCTTCATGATAATGTATCTTGGATTAACTCATTTTTGCTCAGCCTGGCCCCTATAGATATTAAACATTTTAAACTTTCAAAGAAATGTAAAAATTTCTATGCTGATTTTTCTACATATTCAAAAATCATCAAAATAGAAGTAGTATTCAGTGAATTATGAAATGAGTAACTGGAATTGTTTCTCTTATGAAATGCTCTTGCTTTTTTCCCCCCAATTGCTTCTAATAGTAATTTTTCAAGTCTTACCTTGCAATCCTCGGCCTGGTGTGAGATACTTGGTTTGGTCAAAGGCCCTCACAACAGCCTGCCCTTTTAGGAGATTGGTAATTGAATCCACCTGTCAATAGCAGAGATTTCCAAATTACATACTTCTCACAGCCCATAATATATATTTCTAAGAGCAAATCTTATAAAATTGTTTTTTCTTAAAGCAACAATTGCTGTTGAAACCCCATGATGATTGTGAAATCAATTTTTATGTAATGTATTAAAATAAATGCATCTGATAACATTTGCAATGATATTTCTTACTATCTCACCATGTACTAATACAAAATAGAAATTTGCCTCACAAAAAAAACATAAAAGCTCTGGAGTTGTTTTTTCTTAACTAAAAGTTATTGGAATCCTTTTCAAAGAAGTAAAAGCTTCTACTACAAATTTTGGTTATGGCTATACATTTTGTAATGTAAAGCACCAAAATTAGCATCCAAGGCAATATCCTGTACTTTTAAAACTTAGAAATGTTGAGCAAGAAATGTCATAAAGCTTTGTGAAAAAAACAAAAAACGACAAATACTAAACAGGGTAACTCCTATGTGTATAATAGTAATTCTCCCAGGACTGTAAAATACTTGATATTCATGACAATCCTTTAGGTTAGTTGGCTAAAGGAATGTTTAGTCCTAGTTTAAATGTCAGAAATTGAGGTAAAGGAGGTGGAAGGCCTGATTGAAGCCTTTCTGTTCTAACTCCGAGACTCCTGACAGTTTAGCTGTGGAACAAAAGCCTTACAAATGCCCGATTATACCTGGCTGAAAAGATGCTCAAGGCAACTGTGTATCTTGTCCTGTTTATCATGAGAAATGCGAACACTTAAGGGAAGTTCATCACCTAGATGTCAAAACAAAAACAAAACCAAAAACAGAAATCATTCATCTTATGTTTAACATTCCAAAATATTTTAATGTTAAATACAATGTAAAAATTAAACACAAGCTCTTATTCCATGCACAGTTCTCATGTTCAGAGAGTTTCAAAAGATTTCCTAGCTCCTGGGATGTTACTATTTCTTCTGAAAGCAGAGTGCCTTCCAGAAAGGACACTTGTTAATGCTTCTTTCAAATCATGTTTCTTCAATGGTTGAATAGTTGAAATAAACTGCATCATCAAAAATTAAGATTTTCCTTAATTGGATGAAAAGTCTTTTTTCTTAACACATACAAAATAATGTATTTATAAGATAGTTATATCAATCAGTGTTTCTCTTGTTATCCTCAATCTTCATCATCCACATATAAAGCTAGCATAGGGGCATCTGCTGCCTTAAATGTCCAAGCTTCAAACTCTCACCTGCCCATCCCTATTAACAATACCTAATACTTTCGGCATAACATGTTTGCTGTGTACCTATAGTCCTTCACAGAACCATAAGAGATCATAAAGCATATCTGAAGATTAAATCAGTTTCTTCTTTCATTGCTTTTTAACCCACTATCTTCAAATTAGGATTGGAAAATAGACTACCAAACACATAAAACTCCGTAGCCTTCAGAAGAAGCCCACACAGCTCACACCGTGGTTTCAGATTTCTGGCCTTCAGAATTGTGTGATAATAAATTTCTGTGGTTTAAGCCACCCCGTTTGTAGTGCAATATGTGTAGAAATGCAATGTGTATGGCCACAGAGAATGACTGATAAAAGGTAAAAATAAAAATTCATATAGATCTAATAAATCAAAACCTTAAAGTTATCTCTGATAGGACTAACATCGAAAAGCTCGCAGGCCTTCACCAACGAACACACCTGAGTCCATTTCATCACTGTGGAAATAGGAGCTGCACTGGCTGCTGCAGATGCTCGTGAAGGAGGCGATGGAATTTCTATTGCTGTTGCAGTCACTGAAAATAATACATTTCATGTTACTGTAAGAGTGCCTCTGCCCAGATGTCCCTGTAATTTCTTATGACATAAACATATCAGTTATATTTATTAATATGTTTTGGAAAAAACTATGAGAAAGATAAACCTGTTCAAGTTGGTCTATCTTTTTAAAGATGGCATATTTTGATTCAATTATATTTCATATTTTCTTGTATTATATAATCTAATCCTAAATGAATTTTTTAAGAGCAGTTAGTTATAAAACTAGGAGTCACATAGAACTTCAAATTCTTTATAACCTATTTGATGATACATGCCCATAATTAGATAACTTGCAAATAGAGACAAAATACTGTTTTGTGATTTCTGTCTTTTTCTGGTAGCTTAAATCATAACTTACTGGTCACACTCTGAGCTTCCTTAGTGAGGACAGGAACCTCTGAGTCTGTCTCCACCTCAGAGCTTTTAGCACCGGGAAGTGCTTGATAATGATGAACGCCGGCGGAAAGAAATGTTCAAAACGTTTGTGTGTGAACAAGGACAGGTTTCAGATATAGCGCAGGAGATAAAATATTTTCTTTCCTCTCAGAATAAGTAAAAAGGACTTCCTTAACTTTAAATTTATATTTAAAATTTCTATCTTAGCCTAGAAGGAAACTGTCAGGGTAATTTTAATTATCTGATAACTAGAACTTGAGGTAGGTAAGTATTTTTAGACATGTAGTTTCCCACTGGGAAAAACCCCACAGATTCCTGTTCAAGAGCAGGTTGGGACGAAAAGGAGTGAAAGGAAATGAAGTGATAAAAGGGGTTAATCTGTCTCATTTATTAGTAACTCTCTAGAATAATTAACTCTTATGCGTTCATTAAGATCCTTTTCGGAAACTTAGAAATTGGAATAGTAGAGTAGTGAAGAGACAAACTGGGAAGCCAGACCACCTGGCCTCATAGGGAAATGATATGAGCCCCCTGGGCTTCAGCTTCCTGATGCATAAAAATGGAGTTCCTATCAGAACCTGCCACTGAGGGTCACAGTGAGAATTATGTGAAATCCTCCTCTTCCTCCATGGGTTTGGTAAAAGCATATTTTTAGTGTTAGCTCCTAGTTTGTAGCTAGTTATTCACTGAGGAGAATAACTTTGATTACTATTGAATCAATACCTTTTCATAGCAAAACACTGCATAATAAACAAGTGAAGAAGACAGTTTTTGCTTTCAATTAATATAAATGAAAACGATGTTAAAGTTGTACACACAGCTTATGTGTACAACCAGCCACAGCTTATGTGGCTGGTTATGATAGTCCTCAGTGAAATGTCAGGTGACACAAGGAGTCAAGGAACAAAAAACACTTTCAATTAAGGAAGTTCATTCGATGAGACATCATTTGGAAGTCTAGTAGGAAGACAATAGCAGAGTTCAGAGGGAATGTATTTGGGGTTGAACTGGATTTCTCAACAAAATTCATAAGGTTGAAGAGATCCCTAGTACCTCAGAATGTGACCTTATTTAGAGATAGGCTCTTTACAAACGTAATCGAATTAAAGTGAGGTCATTACGGTGTGACCTTAAGCCATCCTATAACAAGTCCTTATAAGAAGGGGAAATTTGGACACAAGACACATATGGAGGGAAGATGACGTACAGGGACACAGGGAGAAGATGGCCGTTTACACGTCAAGGAGCCAGGCCTGGCATGGATCCTTCCTCCACAGCCTTCAGAAGGCGCTCACACAGCTGACACCATGGTTTCAGGTTTCTGGCCTTCAGAATTGTGTGATAATAAATTTCTGTTGTCTAAGCCACCCCATTTGTAGTAATCTGTTACAGCAGCCCTAGAAAACTAATACACAAGGTATCCAAGAAAGGAAAACACACAAACCCTGTCATGAAGGGATGCAATTGGCATTAGTCCAATTAGTTTGGAACATAGAAAATGAAGAGAGAGAAAAAACGGCCAAAAGAACTCCTATTCACCACCCAATAAACCAGGGACAGGAACAGTTGAAAAAAAATGTTAATTCTGTATAGGCACAATTTTCTTACTTACTGTACATGTCACACAATCCATATACAGAATAACTCTCCCAAATTAGGCCCACACAAGGAGAGAACAAAATGCTTTTTCCATGCTACTCAGATTGGAAAAGGGAAGGATTTGAAATATTACAATGTCCCACTATGCTTTGTCTAGGTCAGTAACAACAGCTAATTACTGTGAAAACCAATTTTAAAAAAATCAAAAACTTTATTCAAGATCGTTGTGAAAAATCCAGCATCACATTTGACTTTATTGAGAAAATGAGTTTGGGGAATTAGTGAATTACCTGTAAGAATCTCTGTTGCTGATGGTATCATGACCAGAATCTTCCTGCTCATCTCCTGCTACATTAAAACAGACTCGTTTGCTGTTTCTTTCTCCTTTCTCATTGTCACTGTCTGTTGGTATTATGCACTCTGATGTCTTACGTTCTAATTTAGGAGAATATGTTATTGAAGACAGAAGGCTGCAATGTAATATTAAAAAAAAATGTACATTTTCAAACTGTCTGCTATAGATAACTACCTTATTTGCTGAACACGATAGGCTTACAAATATTTCTAGAGTGTTTCAATGTTTCATATCAAGTAAATATTCCATTGCATAAAAAGCATGTCATTCAAAGTTTACTTTTCCTTCACAAAATAAGTCATACAATTTAGACCAGAAAGCTACACTGAAATCCAGTTTATGCCATGTATGACTCCAGCTAAAACAAACTGTGATAGTTTTATTTGACATTCATAAAACAGGGATATAAAACAGGGATAATGAGAATAACTGGCTTCCATGACCGCTGTGAGAATGAATATTCCTGGTGCATAGTAGATGTCACCTCTAGCCCCTGGCCATTAGCACAACTATTACCACCTTATGAAAATGCTCAGTTATCTTTAAAGTGCTAGCCAAATATGAAGCCCAAACTGTAAATGTGCCTTAATGTCCTCACTGGCTCACCTTCATTATTAAAAACGCACCTACCCCTCTACCTGTGCCTTGGGTTTTGCCCAGGCATTCTCTATTTGGCAGGGAGAATATTGGATCCTTCTCCCTGCTCATATAAACAGGAGTCCTGACTTTGGGGATTGCAAGACACTGAGCAGAGTCACATACAATGTGAGGATAGGGTAAGTACAGTCTCATCTGCAAGCCAGCCAGGATGAAATGTCACACATCTGCCCACAGGAAAAGCTCCTCCACTTGGCTCCAGCCTAAAATGCCACAGTCAGACTGAATTGTGTGAAGCCGCTGAGGACTTTGGGTAACTGCTGACTCCAATACTCTAGGCTTGAACGTTTGGCTGTGGCACGTTTCTGTTACAACTAACTCAAAATTAGGCAAATGGAATCAAACTTTATTATCGAACAGCATGCTAAAAAACTTGCAAAACGAATTAAACCATATCTAAACAAAGGACCCATGTATGGCTTCCCAAGCCAATAGCCATCTTCACGTTTACTAAATACCTGTGATTTTTCAGTTCCAATTAGTAGCACATATCTTGATCCTCGTTCTTCCATAGCAATGTAATGTTTGTTATTCCAAGACTATGAAGATGTCTTATACTTCCTATGCATATTCCATAATGTCAGACTCAATGTTGTGCACTTAATAAATACCTGTTAAGTGATTTCGCTGACTCATTAAACACATTTATTAAACCATGCATTGTTCTTGGTGCTGTGGATATAGTAGTTTACAAAATACACAAAAGAGCTGGGTGCAGTGGCTCATGCCTGTAATCCCAGCACTTTTGGAGGCTGAGGCAGGTGGATCATCTGAGGTCAGGAGTTTGAGACCAGCCTGGCCAACATGGTGAAACCCTGTCTCTACTAAAAATACAAAAATTAGCTGGGCTTGATGGCATGCACCTGTAATCCCAGATACTCAGGAGGCTGAGGCAGGAGGATCACTTGAACCCAGGGGCAAAGCACAAAAGCCTCTACTTCTTGGAGCTCAAATTCTACTGAAAGAAGACAAGCAATAAACAAATAAATTTTCTAGTATATTAAATAACAGCAAATGCTAAGGAGAATTGCAGGGAAGGAAGCATGAAGCTATTATTTCAAACAGGGCAGTCAGGTCAGGTCTCACAGTGAGGTGAAATCTGAATAAATATTTTGACATTTTATAGTTTTCAGACACCAGTGAAAATTGAAGGATCTATGTTATATTGCTCAAGGCCCTGTAAACATTTTTAATAACCAAACGCTATGGATATTTAAACACAGTTTCTCCTCTTCAGAAAGATAGTTTTACGTCTTGTAAGACAGATTGTCTATTTATTCACCCTCTCCACCCCAAAGATTAAAACATTAGACTAACTCCAATTATCCAAGCTCCATGCTGCACAGACAGATGAGCTTTGAATACCAAAGACAAAAAAAAAAAAAAATGCAGGAGTTCTCATTTTGCAAAGAGGCCTCTCTGCTTATGTATCTTTTAAATTAGAAGTCATGGGGCTAAGCATAATTTTTTTTCAAAGTCACATGAATTGTGTTCAGATGTTTACTTTACATTTAAAACAGCTGCAATCATGCTTGAGTTGACCTTGTGGGAACAAGTATTAGGTTTGCAAACAAATGATAGAAAAACTGTTTTTTTAACACCATGTTTTGCATAAAACTTCTAGATTCTGAAAAGCAACAAAAAGGCGTCAAACCATAATATTTGTGCTTGCAGAAATCCATTCACTTTTCTTCATATACAATATTAAGTTACCTACTAAATGTCCATTAATTAATATCTTTAGCAGCACGCAATTCCAGGTGAATCTCCTCCATTTGCCATTAATAAAAAAATTTTTGTATACAGTATGCTGCAATGACCTGTGGTTTTTTTAAGTTTTTTTTTTGTTTTTATTTTTGTTTTTTTTTCTTGAGATGGAGTTTTGCTCTTGTTGTTCAGGCTGGAGTGCAATGATGTGATCTTGGCTCACTGTAACCTCTACCTCCTGGGTTCAAACAATTCTCCTGCCTCAGCCTCCAGAGTAGCTGGGATTACAGGCACGCACCACTACACTCAGCTAATTTTGTATTTTTAGTAAAGACGGGGTTTCACCATGTTGGTCAGGCTGGTCTTGAACTCCCAACTTCAAGTGAAGCACCCACCTTGGCCTCCCAAAGTGCTGAGATTATAGGTGTGAGCCACCTTGCCTGGCAACCTATGTGTTTTCAAACATTATCATGATGGCTAATATCTGCTGAGCTTTTGTGACAGTCACCATGCTAAGTACTTAACAGGTATTCATTTAATCTCTAAAACCACCTTATGGAGTAGGTAGTATTATTATTTTCCCCGTTTTAGAGGTGAGGTAGGCAATACATATTGTTGCATAATATCCTATGCAAATGAAGCAGAATTCCCTTTCCCTGCATCGAACTTGCACACTCTGGAGGGAGTAGGTTGCATCCCGGTGTTTTATGACTCAACTCACAGAAGTACTGTGAGAATGAAATCAGCCAATGTATATAATAGTGTAATCTTTCCTGGCACATAAGCACTTATCAGAAAGTTGGTTTATATGATGTACCCCTCTTTTTGTACATTTACCAGCAAAATGTTTGGGAAACCCCAAAGATAACGCCACCACCACCACCACCACCATCCCTATCTGTAACCCCCAGGTTACTGTCTTAGAGTATGGTTTGTTCATCACTCAACCCTGGGGCACCTGGCACCTGCAAAATGAAGCCTGTTCTCAAATCTCCTATCTTCCCCAGGCCCCAATACTCTTCATTCATTTCCTCCCTGTGAGAATACACATGTCCTCTATTTAAAAATCCTGTCAAAGATTTTGGACATTAATTATTTTCCCTTTTACTTATTTCTTGTACCGAAGTGTCATTACCCAGTAAAGAACCCATTAAAGGGCCAAAGTCTTTCACTTTCCAAAGTGAAACCAGAATCACAAATCCTTGATTAAATTCATTACATCATCTTACCTCATGTAAGAGGTAATAGACAGCAAATTCATCTCTAACTTCATCTTTGGATCTAAAGCTAAGTAGGAGGATTTAGTGAAATGCCTATATGTTAAAGGAAATTTTATTTCTAAGAGAAGTATTCCCAGGCGACAGAATAACTGGACTTTATGATAAGGCAAGCTCAACCTCAGGACCTTTCACAGGAATGAATCGCTTCTAGAAAAGCTAACACTGAGATGTTATCAGGTAGTTTCTCTTAAAACTTGTCAACACATCTAAGATCTGTTTCTTCACTTGCAAAACCATCTCTGTCTCACAAAGACTAATTACCATAGGGTGAGACAATTGTTCAGATACTAACTTTTTAAACAATATGTTAACCTTGACTGCACAGCAGCATCTCTGAATATTTAGGGTAATAGGGAATCCAGGCAATTAAACCACCATACTTTTTACAGTGATTTTACTGCACACTAAGTTGTGTGGAACCTGTTTATACTTAGAAATAAATTATGTTGTGTACCCAAAGAAGACTAAGGTGGTTTCCCCAATCATTTGCTCACTTCCTGCCACTTTTCTATAAACACACATGGTTGGGTAAAGGTTTTTAGAACAGCAAGGTAGGGAAAACTTCAGCGAAAAATAATCAGTTTAAATAGTTTTAGTTAATAAAAATAGTCTGCAACTAGTACCTTAAATATAAATATTTTAAACCAAATAAAAGGAGCTCCTTGGTTTACATTTTTTCCCGAAAAATGTTTCTACATTACCTGAACCTTAAAAAAAAGTCAATAAATTAACAAAGACAAAGTTTGGAGATTGCCAGGCAGTGCTAGGTCATCAATGAATTAAAAATTAGTCTCTGAGCAGTATCAGCTGAGGCACAACAATAATCCTGCCATTGACAAGACTTATCTCAAAATGGCAATAACAACTCTTGGAACTTGAAGTATGGGATTGTTCCAGATGTTTCCTTAAAATCTCTTTGAGGTTTAGTAGCTATGATTCAATGTCACTATTTATTGCCTTATTAATAAAAATTCTATGTAATTCATAAATACCTCTGGGAGAAAATGATGTGTTTCTAAAATATATCATATAATATCATTTATTAAATGAAGTAAAATATCATATCCTAAAATATAAACTGCTGTCACAAGAATTCCAAGACCATTCAACAATGTCATGCAGATGCTTACAAAATACTGTCCTGTTCTCTTAGCAATCATGAACCGTTTAATTCATCTGTAAATGGTAAAAGTCACAGAACAATATGTAAAACTAGTATATTAGAAATAGAAAAACAAAAACTTAATTCTAAATTACTCATAAAACTTCAGAAAATTAACAAGGTAAATAGTAAATATTGAGGATAATTTTTTAAATATGCTGCACTTAACTTTGATCTCTAAATTGAAAAAAAAGTATAAAATGAGAGACTATGTCAATTATGACTTCATCAGTATAATGTCTAATTACAACAAAGCCTTGGAATAAGTTCTAAATATTTTGTGTCAAAACTGAATTATCCATGAAGTACAGGATGATAGGTATGCGTGTGAAGTTAAGAATTCACATATGTAGTCATTTAAATCAACAACTTGAAGAGATCAATGCAACAAGAAGAGCTAACTATCCTAAAGAGATATGCACCCAATGCAGGAGCACCCAGATTCATAAAGCAAGTTCTTAATGACCTACAAAGAGACTTAGACTCCCCCACAATAGTACTGGGAGACTTTAACACGCACTGTCAATATTAGATCAATGAGACAGAAAATCAACAAGGATATCCAAGACTTGAACTCAGATCTGGACCAAGCAGTCTTAATAGACATATACAGAACTCTCCACCCCAAATCAACAAAATATACATTTTTCTCAGCAACACATCACACTTATTCTAAAACTGACCACATAATTGGAAATAAACCCTCCTCAGCAAATGCAAAAGAACGGAAATCATAACAAACAGACTCTCAAACCACAGTGCAATCAAATTAGAACTCAGGATTAAGAAACTCACTCAACACTGCACAACTACATGGAAACTGAACAACCTGCTCCTGAATGACTACTGGATAAAGAATGAAATGAACACAGAAATAAAGATGTCTTTGGAACCAACTAGAATGAAGACACAATGTACCAGAATCTCTGGAACACATATAAAGCAGTGTCTAAATGGAAGTTTATAACACTAAAAGCCCACAGAAGAAAGCAGGAATTATCTAAAATTGACACCCTAACATCATGGTTAAAAGAACTAGAGAAGCAAGAACAAACGAATTTAAAAGCCAGCAGAAGACAAGAAATAACTAAGATCAGAGCAGAACTAAACAAGGTAGAAACACACAAAAAAAAAACCCTTCAAAAAAATCAATAAATCCAGGAGCTGGTTTTTGAAAAGATCAACAAAATAGATAGACTACTAGCCAGACTAATAAGAAGAAAAGAGAGAAAAATCAAATAGATGCAATAAAAAATAATAAAGGCAATATCACCACCGATTCCATAGAAATGCAAACTACCATCAGCAAATACTATAAACACCTCTATGCAAATAAACCAGTAAATCTAGAAGAAATGGAAAAATTCCTAGATACTTACACTCTCCCAAGACTAAACCAGGAAGAAGTTGAATCCCTGAATAGACCAATAACAAGATCTGAAATTGAGGCAGCAATTAATAACCTACCAACCAAAAAGAGTCCAGGACCAGACAGTTTCACAGCTGAGTTCTACCAGAGATACAAAGAGGAGCTGGTACCATTTCTACTGAAACTATTCCAAACAATACATAAAGAGGGAATCCTCCTTAACTCATTTTATGAGGCCAACATCATCCTGATACCAAAACCTGGCAAAGACACAACTAAAAAAGAAAATTTCAGGCCAATATCCCTGATGAACATCAATGCAACAATTCTCAATAAAATACTGGCAAATCAAATCCAACAGCACATCAAAAAGCTTATTTATCACGATCAAGTCGGCTTCATCCCTGGATGTAAGGCTGGTTCAACATACGCAAATCTATAAACATAATCCATCACATAAACAGAACCAAAGACAAAAACCACATGATTATCTCAATAGATGCTGAGAAGACCTTCGACAAAATTCAATAGCCCTTCATGCTAAAAACTCTCAATAAACTAGGTATTGATGGAGCATACCTAAAAATAATAAGAGCTATATATGACAAACCCACAGCCAATATCATACTGAATGAGCAAAAACTAGAAGCATTCCCTTTGAAAACTGGCACAAGACAAGGATGCCCTCTCTCACCACTGCTACTCAACATGGTATTGGAAGTTCTAGCCAGGACAGTCAGGAAAGAGAAGAAATAAAGGGTATTCAATTAAGAAAAGAAGAAGTCAAATTGTCTCTATTCGCAGATGACATGATTGAATATTTAGAAAACCCCATAATCTCAGCCCAAAATGTGCTTAACTTGATAAGCAACCTCAGCAAAGTCTCAGGATAGAAAATCAATATGCAAAAATCACAAGCATTCCTACACACTAATAAAAGACAGAAAACCAAATCATTAATGAAGGCCCATTTCACAATTGCTACAAAGAAAATTAAAAACCTAGGAATACAACTTACAAGGGATGTGAAGGACCTCTTCCAGGAGAACTACAAACCACTGCTCAAGGAAATAAGAGAGGACACAAACATATGGAAAAAGATTCCATGCTCATGGTTAGGAAGAATCAATATTGTGAAAATGGCCATACTGCCCAAAGTCATCTATAGATTCAAAGTTATTCCCATCAAGCTACCATTGACTTTCTTCATAGAATTGGGAAAAAACCACCTTATATTTCATATGGAACCAAAAAAGAGCCCACATAGCCAAGACAATTTTAAGCAAAAACAAAGCTGGAGACATCACACTACCTGACTTCAAACCATACTACAAGTCTAAAGTAATCAAAACAGCATGGTACTGGTACCATAACAAATGTATAGACCAATGAAACAGAACAGAGGCCTCAGAAATAATGCCACACAGTTACAATCATCTGCTCTTTGACAAACTTGACAAAAACAAGCAATGGGGAAAGGATTCTCTATTTAATAAATGGTGTTGGGAAAACTGGCTAGTCATATGCAGAAAGCTGAAACTGGATCCCTTCCTTATACTCTATATAAAAATTAACTCAAGATGGATTAAAGACTTAAAAGTAATACCTAAAACCATAAAAATCCTAGAAGAAAACCTAGGCAATACCCCATTCAGGACATAGGCATGGGCAAAGACTTCATGACTAAAACACCAAAAGCAATGGCAACAAAAGCCAAAATAGGCAAATGGGATCTGATTAAAGTGAAGAACTTCTGCATAACAAAAGAAACTATCATCAGAGTGAACAGGCAACGTATAGAATAGGAGAAAAATTTTCGAATCTACCCATCTGACAAAGGGCTAATATCCAGAATCAACAGAGAACTTAAACAAATGTATGGCAAAAACTCAATCCCATCAAAAAGTGAGCAAAGGATATAAACAAATACTTCTCAAAAGAAGGCTTTTATGCTGCCAACAAACATATGAAAAAAAGTTCATCATCACTGGTCATTAGAGAAATGCAAATCAAAACCACAATGAGTTACCATCTCACACCAGCTAGAATGGCGATCATTAAAAAATCAAGACAACAGAGGCTGGAGAGGATGTGGAGAAATAGGAACACTTTCACACTGCTGGTGGGAGTGAAAATTAGTTCAACCACTGTGGAAGACAGTGTGGCAATTCCTCAAGGACCTAGAACTAGAAATACCATTTGACCCAGCAATCCCATTACTGGGTATATACCCAAAGGATTATAAATCATTCTATTATAGACACATGCACATATATATTTATTGCAGCACTGTTCACAATAGCAAAGCCTTGGAACCAAACCAAACGCCCATCGATGATAGTCTGGATAAAGAAAATGTGGCACATACACCATGGAATACTATACAGTCATAAAAAGGATGAGCTCATGTCCTTTGCAAGGACATGGATGAAGCTGGAAACCATCATTCTTAGAAAACTAACACAAGAACAGATAACAAAACACCACATGTTCTCACTCATAAGTGGGAGTTGAACAATGTGAACACACGAACACATGGAGGGAAACATCACACACTGGGGCCTGTCAGGGGTAGGGGGCTAGGGGAGGGATAACATTAGGATAAATACCTAATGTAGAAGATAGGGTGATGGATGCAGCCAACCACCATGGCACATGTATACATACGTAACAAACGTGCACGTTCTGCACATGTACCCCAGAACTTAAAGTATAATTTAAAAATCAGCGACTTCATGAAGAAAGTACAATAAAAAGAAGATAACAGTGTTTCTATTATTTTCAGAATGTGGCAATTTGGGAATACTCAACAATTTCCATCCCTGGAATGGCTGAGCAAGTATTATATTAGGCACTGTGCTGATTACTTTCTGTATTCGTTTACATAACTTTCACCACAAACTTGTAATTCATTATCATTACTCATTCACTTCTGTAGATGAGAAACTGAGCTACCTCAGACCCCTTGCTGTTCTGACTATTCAGAGCTGTCTGGACTAGATGTGAAGCATTGTCCTATATGACAATATGACAAAACATCCTACCAAGGTCAGGCAATTCTCCAACCATTAGAACTAATTTCTTTGGAAAAGTGCTCATTAACTGCCTCCACCTTCTCTTGGTTAAAAATACTGGCACAGATATTTGGGTTATTGCTTAGTAGGCTATTAATTCAATCAGAACAGAAAAAAGCATCTGTCCTAGAGACACATAATTTTGCATTTACTCATTTAACATGTATGTTAAGCATTTATTATACTTTACATCCTTTATGAATATCTATTGAGTGCATATTCACCAAAATTCTACCCTGAACTATAAAAAATATAAGGAAATCCTCATACAAAACTGGTACTCTTTCAAATATATCTTTCAAGATAATATTTTTACACTGAGACTCATTTAGCATCCTTGTATAAGATAGAATTTTGTCATTCTCTTCCTTAGTATTAAATGCTGGCTTAAAACGTATACCTATATATATATATGTTTTCCATTAACAAAACATTTTTAAGGTTTTGAAATGAAAAGGATCTATATGATCAGCACAAATTCCTAAATTTCCAAAAACTGAAGAGAGAATGAATTTTTTTAAGTCACATATTTACAGCTATTTTATTTAGCAAACTTAAAAGTGGAGTACAAAACACTTACTCATCTATTTGACAAACACACATCTCCATCTCTTTCAGTGCAGCCTGAAGTTTGCCCAGCAGTTTCTGGTAGATGTCTTGGGTTTCTAAGTCTTCTTCTTTTAGCAGATACCTGAGACCATGGCCATCCTGCTGTCCCAGAGACAGACCTGAAGGGGCTGCCATGGTTGTGATGGTGTGCTGAATGTATACCATAGGACTCAGTTTCCCTGAGGAATTAAAGTCATTTCATAGTAATATGTATCACCTTTAACTTAATCCAGTCCCATTAATTTTATTTATTTTGAACTGACAGATAAAATTACAAGTATTACCATGTACATTCTGATGTTTTGATATATATATGCATTACACAATGACTAAATCTAGGTATTTAACATATGTATTACTTCATGCAGTTATCATGTTGGTGCTGAGAACACTTTATATCTTCTTTATTTAACATGTATTATTTCATGTAGTTATCCTGTTGGTGCTGAGAACACTTTATATCTTCTCTCTTAGGATTTATCAATAATACAATATATTAACTATACTCACCATGTTATACAATAGAACTTATTCCTTTTATCTGATTGAAATTTTGTATCTTTTGACCTACATCTTCTCAATCCCCTATGCAACCAACCACCCCAGGCCCTGGTAATCACCATTCTACTCTCTATTTCTATGAGATCAACTTTTTTAGATTCCTCATATAAATGAGATCAGATAGTATTTGCCTTTCTGTGTCTGGCTTATTTCACTTAAACATAATGTCTTCCAGGTTCATCTATGTTGTCACAAATGAGAACATAGATGGCTTTTTATGGCTGAATGGTATTCCACTGTGTTTAAATACCCCATTTTCTTTATCCAGTCAAATTAATAAATTTAGGATTCCATAAAACAAAATGCTGATCCAATGCTGAACTTAATTCAGAAATTAGAGTTTGGGGAGAGTTGTAATTAAAAACTAGAAGAGGGTTTGGTCCCTTGCCCTCCTGTGATGTTACAGAGCAGCATTGTGCATTGCTGCAGCTGTTTCTCAGGCATTGTCCTCAAAGTTTCAGGGCCATTTCAGATCAGCAGCTTTCATAGCAAGATGCGCTGTGACTATCATATGCATTGGAAAGCAAGAGCAATCATCTTTCTTAGAAAAAAAATAACAAAAATGCCTAACTCCATTTTCATTCAATATATACTTAGGCAAAATTATCCAAATGATTACAGTAAGAAATCTTTGCTTTATAAAATTTCATGCTTGTTTACACACCAGGTATCTATTGAATTTCAGGCATGCAAAAATAGCTATGATTGCCTAAACTACTTTTCATGATTTGATAAAGTTTCAGAAGCCGGCATACCTTGCTCCGAAGATTTGTTTTCTTTATCATGAGAATTATGCTTCCTACTATCCAACTGAACACCAAATGCACTTCCCAAAGAGGTTGATGTTTTGGGATAAGAAACTTCCATCACATTGACATGGCAGTTGGTAGGGCAGAAATCACTGCTGTGCAGTGGGGAGATTTTAGATTTGGCCTGTTTAAAAGTAGGCCAGGCTCTATTCTTCAGTACACGAGAAAACTGCAAATTAAAGAAAACATAAAAAGCAGGTGAATACATAGTAATAACTCAGGCAACTTTTTTCACTTGTATCATTCATAACAAAATCCAAGGCAATTAAATCATGCCACCTGGAATGAGTGAAATACATTATATGTTGTTGGAAATTACATTGTTATTTCAAAACTCAAGCATTCTTAATAAAGCCAAGCAATATAAGCAGCAAATGCATATGATTACCTTGAAACTGTGATTGCAACTTAGTGTTAAATGAATTTCTGTGGCCAGCACAATATACTTGCACTCAAATCTACAGGCTCCCAGCAGCTGAAAGAGCCTGACAGGGAAAGTGGCATCCCAGGACAGCAGGATAGAAGGGAGATCTTCCTAACAAGGCAAAATGGCAAAATGGGGTAGCTGCCAGGTCAAGGGTGGAGGAAGATGGGATGTTCTAAACACAAGCACAAAGCTAATCCAAAGAACAAGTCTGTGTACAGGATAGACAGTAGGGCATGGAGATTGAGGCCCAGAACGGCAGGACAAATCTATTTCCCATACCTCCTGCTAATTACTGAAGACTAGTGTGCACTCTGCCTTTATGCTTTGAGAATAAAGTGATACAAGATTTATTTGACTTCCAAGGTAGCCACTCCACTGTTTCAAAGCTTGCCATGGGTTTCTATTCAAACCCATCTACTCCTCGCCAGTGTCTCTAAAGCAGCCCAAGTCGGATCCTCACCTAGCTTCTCTATCTCAAGCTCTCGCCCCCTTGCTCCCTAAGCTCCTTCTGGCCCTCACTTAGTTTGCCTCACACACTCTCTTCTCACTCTGGCCCTTTCTACAGGCTGTTCACTCGGCCTAGAATGTTCTTCTTCCTGCATTGCCAAACTGTTTCCTTTGCAACTTCAAGTTCTATCAAATCATCAGGAGGCCTTCCTTGAATCTTCATCTAGGTTCAATTTCCCTGATTACTGCTATGTCCCAACACATTGTAACCCTCCTATTATACAGGTATAAATAGTTGCCTTACTTCTAGCTTCTCCAGCAGATGGTAAACCCCATGAGGGTAAGAGCTAGGTTTGTTCTGTGTACTATCAGTAAAAGTCTCACAGAGTTGGACTGAATTGTGGTCTCAAAAGCAATGGATTGAGAGTCACTAGCTACCTGTTTTAGTTACAGCTGTCACAATAACTGATATGATGTTAGGTAAGTCAGTGTCTTTTTCTCATTCTTTGCACAGTAAGGGACATGGATTAAATAATGTCTATATTCTGTTCTCATTTGAAAACCATAAGCATGATCCTGTCTATTTGCCAGAATAAATAAGAAGAGTAATAATTCGGGCATGAATAAGAATAAAAAATAAGATTACTACTGGTCACTGTCTAACTTACATTAAACTCAAGAATAAATATCAAAATTCACATTTCACAAATGTAAGCTCACCATTAGAACAGGAACTCTCATATGCATATGCATACATTATGCATATATGTGATATTTATATGTATACACACACATATAATGTATGTATTAAACTATGTCTTCAAATCATGTCAGAAGCTGTGTAGCTCAGCCATGTGCCAGCACACAGTAGGTATCTAAATGGAACTGAATTGAAATGTAGGAAATTTTTAACAAAATGTTGAGCAAATTTAATAATAATGGATAGTGAAAATTTATCCTAAACACTTTTTAAAAAATGATTACAGAACTATTCACCTATCCCATCACTTTACTAATAAAATTAACGGTGACTGGGAAATAGGATTTAAGGCTAGATGCAAAAACTTTCAGTCAGAAGTTCTTTTCTACTGTTGTAGCAGGATAAAAGTCTCACAAGGCACCCATGGCACAAAGGCACAGAAATCAATTCTATTCGGTAACAGCATCCACCATAATAGGAAGTTATGCTTTCTCTTGCCTTCTTCCATTTTAAACAATTATCTATTCATTCAAAAGAAGGAAGAGAAGCATCTGTTCCAGACCCTGTGCTCAATGCTGGAGACATAGCCCTAGCCCTCCTGGAGTTCATGGTCTAGTAGTCAACACAGGGAAAAAAATGCAATACTATTGCCACATGCAAGAATTATGTGTTGTGATTATTAGGTTGGAGCAAAAGTAATTGTGTTTTTTTGCCATTACTTTTAATGTAACTTACTGCCATCTTTATTCATTTATCCAACAATGACTTGTGGAAGGCTCTCTGTGCCATTACTTTGAATGGCAAAAACCACAATTACTTTTGCTACTACCTAATACACGTGCCATATATATAATACAGTAATACATTGCTTACCAACAGCAATGCATTCTGAAAAATGCATCAATAGGTGATTTTGTTATGTGGACATTAAATAGAGTATACTTATACAAACCTAGATGGTAGAGGCTGCTTCACACCCAGGCTAGATAATGCAGCCTGTTGCTCCTAAGCTACAAACATGTACATCATGTTGCTGTACTGAATATTGTAGAGAATTATAACACAATAAGTATTTGTGTAACTAGACACATCTGAACATAGAAAAAATAGAGCCAAAAGATAGTAGTATAATCTTATGGGACCACCATTTTATATATATATGGTCTGTCACTGACTGAAATGTTATACAATTATATAATATATGTAAAAGCCAGATAATTAGAAATTTTGGTACAAGCTGAAAAGTAAATGAACAGGGTGGCATCATGAAGTGTTAACAGAGTGACCGGGGAGAGCTGGCAGAAGATTCCTTGCTGGGGGACTGGCTTTCCAACCTGTAGCTCAGTACAAATGCCTGTGAATCCAGGATGTGCCCTGCCCATATTCTAGGAAGGGCTGTGGTACCATGTCTAAAGGTGTCTGAACTGTTCCAAAGGATAAGACTCAGACAGGTATCTCTCTGCTAAGAGCTTTTCTTGGGAAGGAAGGTTCTCAGGAATGAAGTGTTGTCTTCCATCCTGGGATATCCCTAAGAGAGGAGGGGGCTGCAGGAGGAACCCCATAGTCATAGGTACTGGAAATGTGCTGCTTATACTGTGAAGATCAAAACTGTGCTCCCAGACAGCACGCCCTGCTGTGAAACTGTCAGAACTTTCTGAAACCTGAACCTATAATAAGGAAGGTGCAGTTCATGGATTGACTGTGGTTCATGCATAAGAACACATTCTGATTGTGCCATGTAGTAGCAATACCCAAATAAAAACTGCAATTTTGCAATAAAGAGGTGCATTGAGAGGGACAGGATTTTAGATCTATTATGGATACCTGAAGCCCAAACTTACTGCCACCTTTATTCATTTATCCAACAATGAGTTGCGGAAGGCTCTCTGTGAATCAGCCACCGTCTTCAGCATGTTGGGGAACATCATTAAACAAAACAAAGATTCCTGCTTTCCGGGAGGTTATGTTCTAGTGAGAGGAGAGGTCAACAGTGAATACAGTAAGTCAATTATATAATGTGGGTGAATGGCAAATGTAACTGAAAACAAAATTGAGCAGAGTAAAAGGGTTGGAAGTTTCAGAGATGAACTGAAGAATGGATCACCAATTGTAACCAGGATGATTAAGGCAGGTTTCATTGGAGCCGGCATTTAAGCAGTCTGCAAGGAGGGGAAAGTTAGAAATGCAAACAAGATTTTGCATTTGTGTCCAAGAAACATCAAGAAGACCAGTGTGATCAGAGCAGCAGTGAGAGGGAGGAAGAGGAGGTAGGACTGGAGAAGCGATGTGGGGGAGGGGAGGGCACAAATCCTGAAAGCCATTGAAAAGATTTTCCTTTGACCATGAGTGAAGTGTACATAGCCACTCAGGACAACTGTGGATTGGTTGAGAGCAGCAAGAAGACCATTTACAGGAGAGAAATGCCACTGGCTCACCCAAGGCAGTAAAGACAGAAAGGAAAGGCTGCGTGTTTGAAGGTAAAGCCACAAGAATGGTGTGAGAGAAAAGGAAGTGGAGAATGTATTCAAAGTTTTAGGCTGAGCAATGGGGAGGATGGGCATAATCTGGAGATAGAGAAGACAGCAGAAAAAGCAAACTGCAGGGGCCACTGGGGTGGGAAGGGGAAGGATCAAGAGCTGATTTGGAACTTGTGAAGCCTGTGATATTGACGAAACCAGTTGCAGAGATGAAATGGGCCGGGACTCTGAATGAGATCCCCAGGGGATTGAGAATGGAGAGAGAAAAGGAGAAGATGGAGTCCTGAGACCTGGAGGAAAGGGGAAGGAAGAAAAGGCAGAGTTAGCATAGGATCGCACAAATGATCCCCCACAAGAAAGAACAAAAACAGGCATATGTGGGGTCACAGAGAACTGCCAAGTAGAGGTTTACGGTCAACTGCATCAGATCCCGCTAAGACCAGGAAGAATGCTATGAGGACAGTCAATAGACTTTGGCAAAACACAGCCATGTCAGTTACCTAGAGGGAAGCAGAGCCCCACTGGAGTGTGCTGAGGGGAATGAAGGTGAGACAGCCGGTAGAGCCTTTTCCAGAAGAAAGATCAAAGAAATGCAACCATGTGGGATGGGGAGGGATATTACGTTTTAATATAGGTGGTACTAAAGCATATTTGTACACTGACAGGAATCAACAATTTCTGGAGATGGAACTTCAGGTTCTTAATGCATTGGTAGCTAATTTATGAATTATTGACTATGGCGGCACATTTTAATCCAACTATAGTCACTTAACTAAAAGAAGTAATACAATGGCATGCTATTATTTTGCAGATAGCTTCCTATTTCAATTAAGCATAAAATCTTTTGGCTTAATTGGGGTTAGAAAAGGTTTGCATTGTACCCTTTTGAGGGAAGGGGACATGGGGAAGATTTTTTTCCCACAATTTTCTCAGTCCCTGTATCAGTGTGAGGATTACAAGGCATTAATAAGTAAAGAGAGACTTCAAACATTCAAAGGAAGACTTCCAGTTTCTGCATGTAATACTTTTGTGTAAACAAGAACTATCTCTTGAAGGTATATTAAATATTTCTATCTAGGAAATATCCCCAATACCCAAAATAAGCCCAATTATGGAATTATTCTAAACGAGAAGAATGACGGTAAAACTAAGAAGCATTTTCAGGACAATTTAGGGAGAAAGCATTCCTCTCAACAGGGCATAAATTTACATCTGAATTGTCCCCAAATTCTGTTCCACAGAGACAAAGGCTCCCTTAGGATTCATTCAGGTCTCCAGTAAAGTCTGACCAGGTCTCACACATGTGCCAAAAACATCTGTGGCCTGCACAACCAGCCAGGAAATCTATTATAATCGCAGCAGTCTTACTATAGAAATTACAGAAATCAACTGGCTTCTATTTTTAAAACCTAAAACTTTCAGAGTCAAAATAAGGTAAAGCCAGCATCTTTAAGATTTTCGTTTCTATGGATACATTTTATTTCCCAAAAAGAAGAGTGTTGAAGCCTTCATCAGGAAGAAAAATATGTTGCTAATAATAGTTTTAAAGCATATGTGTGAAAATTAAAAACCTATATTCACAAATGCTATGAGTTCTGTTGATGTGCATTTGATACATAAATGGAGCTAATCTTATGTGACCTATTAGGGCTATCATCTTAGGCATGTAAATCTTATGCAAATTGAAAAGATCTTTGCAAAATTTTCTTGCTAACCTTGCTTCTCTATCTAATGAGAAAACCAGTTATTTTAAATATGTTTATGGCCAAATGGGATGATGACAAGGATAGCTTTTAAAGCACATAGGCCCTAGTTGACTACATGTCTCTTTTTGATTTCTAAATTAAAAGTAAATACAAGTGAGACTGCATTCCATGGGAACCTAGTCTGTTAGTTGCCACCTATGTAACCTTAAGCAAATTCTTAATCTCCCAAAGAAAGAGGCAGGATGAGAGATGAGTCCATTCACATGGCTATTTTGAGACTCAAGTAACAATAATGTACATAAAAGAGCTTTCTGTAGTTCAGTGACATTATTTTTACCATCTAAAATCATTGCGCATTAACCTGTCCATCTGCACCTTAAAAGCTTCTAGGATCTCAGTTAGTTACTTGTGAGTAAGTGGAACATACTTCTACCCTTCCAGGATGATGTTTTTGAGGATCTCCAGTATGTGTTTAGGTCTGTGTTCTCTAGGTTCTTATTCTTAAAGCAGCTGCAATTTGCTACCTAATATACCCCGATCTAAAGATTATGTTTGTTTATGTAGTTTACCATTTTCCATGTATACTTCTTTAAGCTACTTCTACCTTTTTGTTGCATGAAAGAATTAAGAGAGAAAAGCAGGAAGAAAGCAAAAGAGAAATGTTCCAGGCACCACAGTGACCAGTTTGACACCCAGAATCTGCCTGAACCCCTATCACACCTTGTGCAGATCCATCTCTAAAGTAGAATGACTGTCTTTTTCAAAATGTCTCCAAAAAAAGAATACTGGTTTGCATTTGTTTAGACCTTTTAAACTTTACATCAAAGCACTGTCACATTTTATAGAGAAAGGAGAAGAAAAGAATCTTCTGTCTTTCAACTCCAACGAGGCACATTCATGAAATCTTCCTCAAATTCAAATAGGTGAACTGAACTCAGCAGTTAGGTAAGCAATGGCCCTGAATATTAGGTTTCTTCATGTGAATTAGCTTTTAAAAAATTACAATAGCAATGCAAACTCAACTCAACAAGCCAAACATTACAGGAATTGTTTAAAGGAAAAAATCATGATCTCTTTTCCCGTGTCTCAATTACTTTAGGGAACCAATGTTGGGAGTCCCTTGGGTATTAGTTCACACACACCCCTATTCTCATGCAGCCAAATATAGACATACATGGGCTTATTTAAATTACCATGTCAAGAACATAAAACATAGACACTTAATGCATATTCATATACATTGATCTAAAGAATATTGTCGAGTACAGCTGTACCAAATTTTAAGCAACCAACTTTATTTGGAGGGAAATAACTTAATCAACAGTCTTGTATTGGTATGAATAGAAACAATTTTTAAACTTGTTTTAGCATAATATTTTGGAGATCAATTCCCATTAATTCTACCTCTAAAGTATGTCCCCAAATTCATCTAATGTTTTTTGTCTCCATCTTCGGTGTATTCATGCCATCAACATCACTCAACTGGGCCATTGCAACAGCTTGCTACCAATCTCTATTTCTCTATTTCTGCCTCCTTGCAATCCATTCCTACAAAAGCATGGATTTTTCAAAAATCCATGATCTTTCAAAAGCCTTAATCAGATGAAGTCATCCCCTTGCTTAAAATCTTCCAACTGGTTTTCTTTAAAATAAGAATATAATCCAAACTCCTTCTCAAGTCTCAAAATGTACAGGACCTGCCACAGCTCTTCACAACTGGACCTGCCTATGCCTCTGACCTTATGCCTGGCCACCACCCTCTGGCTACCCTGGCCTTCTTTCTGCTTTGGGGCCTCAGTACCAGCTGTTCCTTCTCCCTGGAGGCTTCTCTCTCCAGTTAAAAGGGAGAGTTTTACTTGTCATGCAGATACACACTTTCTCAAAGAGGCTTTCTCTAGCCACCCAGTCAAAAGAATCAACCTGGCACTTAAACCATACTTCCCTCTTTTGATTTCCTCATAACTCTTCTCAATATGTGATTTTTCTCCCTTTGTAGGGATTTATTTACTTCTTTGCTGTCTCTCCCACCCTTGAATGTGAGCACCATGAGAGGAGAGAAACTGTCTCCTTCCCTGTTATATTCCTGGAACCTAGAACAGTACTTGGCACATAGGGAGTGCCTAATAAATATATGTCAAATGAATGACTTAATTAATGAATTTTTTAAAGTCCATAGTCCATGTACTTTCTGACTGAGGGCTTTTGTTCTCCTAGTTGGGAGAAAAGAAAAAAACTTCAATGTCCAGCTCTGTCTTTTACTAGAAAATAATTTAATTCTTTAGGCCTCAGTTACTATATTTTGAAGATGCGGGACAGTAATATAACTTACAAATTAGCAAAGATCAAATGAGGTAATGAATATAAAGGCATTTTAAAAACTCTAAAATGTTACATAATGTTATCATTTCAATAAAATGATACCTAACAAATATGTAAAGAAAATATCAAGAATTGATTTAAAGTTGACATTTATATAATTTCAACGATAACTATGTGTAAAATCAATAGAACCTTTACCTTTTTATAACTGGATATTCTCTGACGAATGTGTTCAATTCTTTCACTGCAAAGGGCACTGAATTTACTCTGAAGGTCAGTAGGAATCACCTCATTTAGAGAATTTAGGCTGATGCAGTTTTGTATAAAATGCTCATCACTTTTAGCCAGGGCTTCAAGAATCTGCAATGACAAACACACATGCACACCCACACACCCATGCACACACAAACAGGCACACACACAGAAGAACAAAACAAAACAAGAAGAAAAACTTCAAAAGTAGCCACATCAGATTTTCATAAGTTAACAATACAGCATAACTCTCCTATTTTGCTCCCTGAGTAGCTGCCGGGGAATTTCTCCTGTCACTGAGGCACTGTCGGTGAAGTGATCTGACTTGTCTATTTGAAATTTCAGGTTTTCCTTCTGCTATCTATAGGAGCCTGCTTGGTGAGGTATAACTGGACTTCAAAGACTCCCTGTTGGATAAATCAGTACATTCTAATGTGGGGACACTTCTACATTTTAGTCAGAGTCGCTCAGAGCATTTTTTTTCTCAATTTGATGGAACAAAAAAAAAAAAAACACATAAAGGAATCCAATATCCAATACCTTACTTGTTACTGAGAGCCTAGCAAGTACAGAAAGAATGTATTTAACAAATGCTTGCTGAAGAAATTAATAAATGAAAAGTTATTTTAGTAAGGTAGAAACTAATGTTACTTGCAGCATCTGAGCTCTTGGTGATAAAAGCATTAGCTAAAAGTATTTATGGGATATTTTCAATTAGTAAATTTTTTGAATATTTGAATCAATTGTAATAACATGAGTTGGGGGAGAAGGTGTACCATCAATCACTAGGAATTTCCAATGACCTGAGAATTAATTATGTTATATATAAATTTCTGATTAATCAGATGTTGCAAGAATTGGTTATACCCATAACCAATATTTTTATAATATTCTGTGAAACATAAATGTAAATATGTTCTATTATTTTGAGCTCCCTCACCACTTCCACTTCCCTTTTATGCTAACCATGAAGTATGAGTTTTTATTTAATCACTAGAACTTAGTGCTAATCTAGAACTTAGAGCTAACATCATTAGCAGTGTGACCTTGGCTAAATTTCTTACTTCTTTGACTGTCTGTTCTTCATGTGTAAAATCCAGGTGATATTTGTAATACTAGCTTATACAGTTGTCATCTATAGAATAATCCAAGTAATTCTGCAAACTTGAAATTGCCGGTAACTGAGAAAATAATTATGTAATCTGGTCCCAAACTTTTACATGGATTCCATTAATACTGTAATGTAGTTGGGAAGAGACCACATTTAAAGGATATGTATTTTTAGATATCAGTAGATACATAGAGAGGTACGATATCATCAGAGTGATGAGATTTTTAAAAAGTTAAATTTCAGAACATAAAACAAAAAGATAATTATACTTAAAATAGTTCATTTAGCTCTCTATATTATTTCCTCCCACTAAATTTTAAAAATACATGTTAGAAATGCTAAATCAATCTCAGCTATTCATATTTCAAACAATTCAAATAGAGAAATAAAGGTAGAAAAGTTACATCTCATTTTTTCTACATGTAATATCTGAATTCTCATAGCATGTAAGAGTCATATGAAACACTAAATCCAAGACCTGTGGAGGATACAATAGGAGTCTGACGAATTTACCTTGCAGGCAGGCCATGAAAGGCCAGCAGTTGCCTCTTTACCATATATTTTATTCATTTGGATAAAGACTCCCTTCCTTCCTCTCTCCATCTTGTTTCAATCTAAGGACCTTTGGAAAGGTGATGTCTTTTCCAAATAAGAATTACATAAATATCGGAGATCTATTCATAAACTGATCTCTACAGTTCCCCAAATCTTATGAAATAAACATGGCACTTGCCAAATTTGAAATTTCTTGTAATGTATTTCATGACTCTGAATACTCTTCAGAGGATTCTGTGCATTAAAAAAAGCAGCATCTGTCATGAAGACCATCTGAATTGTATTAACAATGAATTAACAAATGCGACAAACTTAATAAATGCTGTGAAGTCTGCCATATCCACAAACACCTGCCTAAGCAAGGGTTTTTATCTAACTTAACACTGTGCTCTGAAAGGATCAGAAATGGAAGTTGTATGCCTGTCAAATAGTGGAAGAAGGGGAGAAAAATCAGAAGTTGAATGAGGCTGGGCGCAGTGGCTCACGCCTGTAATCTCAGCACTTTGGAAGGCCAAAGCAGCTGGATGACTTGAGGTCAGGAGTTTGAGACCAGCCTGGGCAACTAGTGAAACATCATCTCTACTAAATTAGAAAAATTAGCTGGGTGTGGTGATACATGCCTGTAATCCCAGCTACTTGGGAGACTGAGGCATGAGAATCGCTGGAACCTGGGAGGCAGATGTTGCAGTGAGCCAAGATCACACCACTTCACTCCAGCCTGGGCGACAGAGTAAGACTCTGTCTCCAAAAAAACAAAAAAAGAAGAAGAAGTAAAGAAATTGAATGAGATGACGGTTGCAACATGGACAGTTATTTATATTTTTTTAAGTGAAGGACAGGGAGGATTTCAGTTTCTTTTTTTAGAACAAAATATCTTATTTCTTCAGCATCCCTCCTACCTTGGCAGTTAAGCTGAAGAAACCTTTGGGCTCAATCATCTTTTCCACCACATTGCACTTGATGCCAGCTGTGCTGTCATACTCATACACGACACCATATTCCAGGTGGACATTGTCCACCGTCAGACTCACATGCTCCTTCTTCCCATCAATGATGGCCATAGTGTTGAATTTGTCAATGACCTCTGGAATAAAGACAATTGTAATTCAGCAGATTCAAGAAGGGTTTGTTAATCTCCTCAAATAATTTTGTGTCTCTTTACATAATTTTTAAACAGTTCTTTAAAGGATGGTTAAATCTGATGTGTTAAGTCAAGCATCTATGCTTGTTAACATTTTAAAAAATAACATTTTGAGAAAAGCATATGCTTGAATGATCCAAACCTCACCACTCTAACATGACTAGTCTTATCTTTGTATATCCACTTCGATCTATGGACCATGTGTATATCTATTTATACCAATATAAATACTATACAGACATTTTTTTATTAAAGACATGTATGACTTAAATTCAGGATTTCTAAAACTGCCCTGAATGTTATATGAATATTTTCTCAAAGCAGGAAAAAAATCCATAAAGAAGACCATATTGAAGAAGCAGAAAGGAGACACAAGAATTATCTTATTTTGGCAGACAGGGTGCCTGCATTTTCCCAAACAGCATCTTACAGAAAGGGCTCATTAAAAATATTTCCTTTGCTATAATAAAATTTCCATCTAAAATGTCTGCCTATAGTTTTTTAGCCTACATACAGTACAACAGCTGGTGAAGAAATACCCAAAATCTTAAGTAAAAAACTCCTGGGAAACCTAATGGCAATTAAATAAATAAAACTAGAATATTAGTTTACTTAGAACAACAAAGCCCTAAAATAGCATAAACAGTAAATATTAAATAGGCAAAAGTAGAATATTGATTTACCTTAATGTAACTGAGTCCTACAATAGCTACAAATCAATTTCCAAAGCATTACAGTAACCAATCTACCTTTCAACATGGCACCAAGGTTGATTTATTCCAAATTATGAATATAAACCTCAGAATAAGGTCCTGACATTTGTCCTGTTTGGGATAAATATTACATATTATGATAACAACTTTATTGCTCCAATGAGATTGAGATGCTTTTCATATTACCCGTGACTTGGGTAGGATCCAACCAAGTGGCCTCCCAGGAGTGGAGAGAAAATAGCTTTTCCTAAGTACCCCCTATATGATCAGTGTGTATAGGGAATATACAATAAGAAATATAGGCTGGACACCATGGCTCACACCTGTAATCCCAATAGTCAGGGAGGCCAAGTGGGAGGATCACTTAAGCTCAGGAGTTCGAGACCAGCCTGGGCAACATGGCAAGATCTCTCTATTTAAAAAAATATGAGCTGGGCATGGTGGCATGTGCATTTAGTCCCAGCTACTAGATGGGGTAGGGAACTGACTGATGGCAGATCACTTCATCCCAGAAATTCAAGGCTTCAGTAAGCTATAATCGCACTGCTGCACTACTGCACTCTAGCCTGGTTGACAAAGGAAGACTGTCTCAAAAAAAAAGAAAAGAAAAAAAGGAAGATTTTGGTATTTGGCCACTGTTCCTAAAATAGAGCTTTTTAAATCCTTGTGATTTACTGAGCGATAGCGGTGACAGGGGTGTCTTTTGTTATTTATAACAAGTCCCTTTGGAACATAACTGAGTTTATGTGAATGAGGTGGCACTTGGTGAGCCCACAGCTAGCTTCAGGATGGGGGCTGGTAGTCAGGGGAACCAACCAAGCGATTGGGGGTTGGAGCTTTCAGCTCCACCCCTGGACCTCCGGGGAAGGGAGACGGGATAGAGTTCAAGTTCTGTCACAAATGGTTAATGATTTAATCAATCATGTCCAAGGGCTGGAACCTCCATAAAAATCCCTAAATGACAGGGATCAGAGAGCTTCTGAGTGAGTGAACATTCCCACATGTCTGGAGGGTGGCACACCCCAACCGCTCCCACAGCTTCCCCTACAGAGCTTGGTGCTCAGCACTCCTCTGGACATCACTCTGTTTATCTCTTCATGAGGCTTTTCATTTCTTATCCTTTATAATAAACCAGTGACTGTAAGTTTCTGAGTTCCCTGAGCTGTTCTAGCAAATAACTGAACCCCAGGAAGGGATGTGGAAACACCCCGAAGGTATAGCCAGTTGGTCAGCAATACAGGTAAAAGCCTGGGATATATGACGGGCATCTGAAATGGGGACAACCTTGTTGGACTGATCACCTAACCTGTGGGTCTGTGCTAACTCCTGGCTTTACAACTAAATTGAATTGTAGGACACACAGTTGGTATTAGGAGATTTGGAGAATTGGTTGGTATGGGGGAAAAACCTCCACACATAGGATATCAGAAGGTTTGTGAGTGAAAACACCTCAAAATAGGGAATTCTCCAGCTGTGCTGGTTGGGAAGAACCTAACAGTGTAATAAAAATATCCAGAGACACCCACCCAAAATATGAGTGGAAAGACACCAAGAAAATATAAGAAGGGATTCATGGGCTTCTGTGAAAAAGTTTTGAAACAGTAATTCAAGGTATTTGTCAATTGCAGACATAAATGTAGTTGCCTCAGTTGCCCTTGGCAAAGAAGCCACTAAACATAGCCATTTGCTGGTTTACTCCATTGAGAAAACAGAAATGATAACTGTCCTTATCAAAATATATCTCTCTATTTCTCTCTCATTTTCACACTACTAGTTTGCCTCTTTACTTACTGTCAATGTTAGACTACAGTAAACATAAAAAGAACTTTCTAGATTAGGGCTTTTCAAGTTTTAGTATGCATACAAATCAGATCTAGTTAAAATTAGGATTCTGACTCAGGAGAGGTGGGGTACAGTGGAGATTCTGCATTTCATTCTAGCTCCCAAGCAATGTTGATACTGCTGCTCTGTTGAGGCACACTGCAGACCAGGTCTAAACCACATTGAAACTCCAAACAAGGAAACAAATTATAATCTGGGGTTGAATACTCACTCTGCTACTTAACTAGTTTGAGCAAGTCCCTTAACCTATATAGGCTTTAGTGTTTTCTCCCCTCAAAAAAGAATGATGATACTCATTCCCACGTTATGAGATTTCTTTTTTGATGACTAAGTGAGATAGTCCATATAAAACACTTCATAAAGTGTCTAAAGAATAGAATTTGCTAGCTACTAGTTATTATTATGTATGCATTAGAAAGACATCTGTTTGGTGATAATGACTTAAGAATGTGGCTTCAACATATACAGGACCTTGAATATTTGGGAGTAGGCACAGGCACATGGAAAAGAATACTATAAGCACATGAAGGGAAAAGAGGACACCTACCTTCTACTTTACAGTCAAAAGCATCCCCTGCTTCATCTCCAGGGGGCTTGGAGTGAGATTTTTGAAGGTCCTCTTGGGCACTCTCAATGCTATTATAAACCCATTGTATGGAATCTTGCTGGAAATGAGAGCAGAAGAAACCTTGGAGGTATTAGTGCTTCCTAAAACACATGCCCATTTCATAAACCTGATTTGAAAGGAGACTGGACCTTATTTATTCTTCTAGTTTTTAAAAAAATAATAAAATTTGAAAGAGAGATACAAACAACATCAGAAACAGTAGAAAGTCCAGGAAAATTATATTATTTGACAGACTGACCTTTTACAGCTTCAAGTTTTATCTTCTAAGACACATTCCAAAGATGTATGTTTTTAAATAGGATATATTTCCAAATGCTTCAATTATATCTTAAATAAGTTAAAAATCACATTTTAAAATAATCAACTGTGACTGGGCACAAAGACTCATACTTGTAATCTCATCACTTTTGGAGGCTGAGGTGGGAGGATTGCTTGAGCCCAGAAGTTCAAGACCAACCTGGGCAACACAGGGAGACCTCATCTCTTATTAACAAGACAGCAAAATAAAATAAATGTGAGATGGAGAGTTGTCTGATGAATCAATTATCTGTAATTGTACAAACCATTTAAATGTTTTCCTAATATATATATTCTAATACATTTACTGCTTTTTTAGAATCAAACAAATATGAAAATTGGAAGGACATCATTCATCTTACTGGTATCCCAAATAATGTAACTATCTTTTAATCCTCCCAAATAAAAAGTCATCCTCTTTTTAAGGGTAATTTCCTTAAAAATTATCCTATATTTTAACTGTAGTTCCAGTCTTATTTAGGGAAATGAGAGAGATGAGGTGATACCAAACAAATGCCTCAAGAGTTGCATTACTTTAAGGTTTATAGATTTTTTTAGGTAAGATGTTAAATCAAATTAAACTGCATTATTGAAGTGTGATACAATATGTATTATCTATTTTTTGTATTAGCTTCCCAAGTGTGTCTAATTACTATATTGCTATAAATCATTAAAATGCTAGTTAATATTTGACCATTCCATTACATCTTGGTGCCCTGTTGTGGCTGCCAGTTAGCCACGCCCCAGAGTTTCCCAGATTGACCCTGGGCTTGGCCACATGATGTGATTTCTCCAAAGGGATACTAGCAAGTACAATCTAAGTAGAAGGTTTATCATTTGTAATGTTCCCTCTTGAAATTCAGACACCAGGCAGAAAGGAAAACCTGCTAGAGACTGGAAAGAGAGGCCATGCAAAGGGGCTCTGGAGGGTGACCTGCCACGTGGAAACAGAGGCCATGAACAGGGGAAACAAAGTGTTTGCTTGGGTCCCAGCAGAATGAAGCCATATCAGTAATCTCATAAGAACCACCCCACAGTTGCCCCATAGAATCAAGACAAATAGTCAGTTATCATTGTTTCAGGCCACTAAGTTTTGGAGTGGTCTATTTTGTGGAAATAGCTACCTGAGAGAACATGTTACTCAATGGATTTTCTGCCCATTTATTGCTTTTCTTTAATTATTTCACTGATCAACACCTCTATAAGAGGGTATGCAAGGAAAATAAAATGAAACTCAAATTGATTGGTCTGCTTATTAACATTCTTGCAGAAGAGATTTGATCATCTTAGAAAAGAATTTAAATATTCGTTCAATAATATAGTTCACGAAATATTTATCAAGCTACTATCAACCAGAGTAACTTATGAGCCTATGTATAACTTCCAATTTGCTATGCTAGATCTGACCTTCTCATCAAGTAAAACTGATTAGCTATTTTCCTGTGATTCAGTACTTTGCAGGCCCTCCGCCCTGGCTTATGAGAATATGGCCAATCATCTTCCAGGCTTGTGAGAATATGGCCAATCATCTTCCAGGCTTATGAGAATATGGCCAATCATCTTCCAGGCTTGTGAGAATATGGCCAATCATCTTCCATGTTCGGACACAGTTACACCCTCACATCCAGAAATCAGTGCTTGATTACGAATGACAGGAAAACACAAGGCTTCTCCTGTAAAGTTCTGCCTGCACCTAGCTGACTAAACTGAGGGAATTTTCTCTTCTAGTCCAATACTGACTTTTTCTTCATGAGATAATAGCAATAGCTTTGTTTATGAATTATGATTCTAATTTTAGTTTTCTGTGGCATATGTTGATCAAAGGATAGTGTTTATAATTTTAGATCATGGCAAGTACATTTTTGGTATTTTCCTTTAAGAGCTAAATCGAGTTACCTAAATAAACATACCTCAAAATCAATCACAGACCTTATAAAACCCACAATTTTTGCTTTTTCACAGAAGTGTTCTAATAAAGAGAATAGGTATGTTGAGTTCACACATATAGACACAGACACAATGATCATTATATATTCTAAAGAATCACAACGACTAAGAAAACAGCTCAAACCTTTATATTTCAATTTCATAAAACTTATATCTCAATGAAAATGAAAATACCCTAGATCACTTTTTAAACAGATGGCAGTACTGTAATCATAAAATGTAATAATTTAGACATAATCAATTATAATTCATTATGCAGATAAAGCAATCACTATGAGATCTATAATGCTATGTTTAATTTTAAACTTAAAATTGGAAACCACAAACATGTCTGGCACTATCCCACCTCGCCCCTTAGGTCTTGGCTGCAAGTATTCACTCAGATCCAGATTAGCTGAAGGACTACTTACCTTCATTGGCCGCCTGTACTTCCTGCAGGCTGTAACATGTGCAATGACACTGGCATGTGTCTCTTTGCTGACATTGATTCCATTCACCTTGATAATACACTGTCCAGGGTGAAGGCCAGCTGCGGCGGCCACAGTTCCTTTCAATATAAATGGGAAAATAACCAAAAACTAATTTCAGGAATAAGATTCATTTTTATGACACATACAATTATGGAAGCAATTTTAAAATACGATCAAGGTCTAGCTAGTATAATCTTGATAAACTTGGTTTTGAAAGCAACACCCTCTCAACACTTTTCTGCTTTTTAACTTACCTTTCAAACTGTGATCAATAGAATATTTCTCACCTCCCTAAGAATTAGTTTGAAGGGATGTGGCAAAGTGACCTCTATGATACTGATCAGTTATTTTTCCTTTCAAATGCCTAGTCAAGCTAACTTTCTAGATATACATATATAATGGCAAAATTAGAAGACCAGAAACATATGCCTTATTTATCTTCCTTTACTCTACAACATTTCTAAATATTCAAATAGTATTCACTTTTGTTTTTTAAAATTCCAACAATTTGACATGTATATAAAAAAGAAAATATTTAAAAGAAAAATCAAGTGAATTAGCAACTATTATTGGACTGGTTTTTCCAAGAAAAATTAGAGTTTGAGAGATATACAAAATGTCAGAAACCAGAGAATTTGTAGAGAACAGAATTAATGAGATAACATCACCCATCCAGTCATGTTGCTCGCATTGATACAGATTTAAATATAAAACTAACATATCCTAACCAGTGAGCTAAGATTTCTCAGAACCTTCCAATCATTGTTATTTGATTGTATGATCAAATAAATATTAACAAAGTACCATTAATATTTGTAATGAATATAATGCAAATAAACAATACAAATGATTACAAACATAAATATGTTAGAAGAGACTTCATTTGTGACCAATTTCTCTCATAAAGAAATTATTAAACATCTTTAAGAAAATAAATTACATTCAGGAATATATATTTACATTTCTTCTTAGTCCCCAATAAAATTCACTCCTACAAATGTTAAGTGGTTTTCTTCACTGAATTGAATCTTAGGGGAAGATGGAAAATTAGTGGAAAGAACAGCCTGAAAAATGGCATTGCTTCAAGAAATCACCTGACCACTTGGAAGCATCCAAGTTATTCTGTTTGTGTGAGCTTAGAATGGGAGTGGCTGGAAGAGACAGGGTTGGAGAGTTGAATAGAGCCTGACTATGAAGTCCTTGCCTTGCCTAAGAATCTCAACCTTGCCATATATGAAGACTCTAAGGGCTCCATGTCTGAAAGGCTGAATTTGTCTATAAAGTACGACCAAGTTCATCTTGGGATATAGGAATCAATTTTGAGGAGAAAAAAAAACTGACCAAGGACACATTTTTTTAAATGCTGAGAAGTAATATGGGCCCAGTAGGAGACAAACAGGGAATTGGGAGACACTAATTCAATAACCATGATAGTTTTTTCTAGCTACAAGGGAGGAAGAGAGAAGAGGTGGTTAGGTTGATCCAAGGTTGAAGTGCAGTAGCTTGGATGCAGCTGAGGGTGGGGCTCAGGGGAGCCTGAGGATGCTGCCAAGTGCGACTGCAGTGGCCCACACAAGAAATCTCTTTTGCTTGTGGCAAAATTACAGTGCCAAAAAATAACTAAATATATATTTTCATTTCATACACATATGAAAGAGAAAGCTCTTGAGCATTTCTGTCTTTTACTCTTCAGAAGCAAAAAGCACAGAAACCAGGCATAGACCAACCCCATCACTAAGCTCCAAAGATAGAACGTTGCTCTTTAAATGACATTGTAATAGGGAAAGAGGTATATCTTGATTCACTCAGGCTTTCAGCTATTTTATAGTACCGTTAATGTGAATTACTCCTTTTTGGCTTAGTGAAAATGCAGAAGATATTTGAAGTCTCAATATTTCATTTCAGTTTGATAATATTGGAGTTATTGGGAAGGTTTTAACTCTGTGTCCATCTATATGTTTTAGAAATCTGAGAGAAAAGATAGGTTTCTGAAATCAGATTCTTTATCATACATACAATAATGATAATGTTACAATCTAAAAAAGGTGTAGCTAATATGTTCTTGATAAATTTGATTCTGATAGCAATGCTCTCTTAAAATTTTCTTGCCAAATTTTTGGGTGATCACATCAAGATTCTTTATATTCCTTACTAATAAAAATCATGTATGTCTCTTGTTAGATAAACATATGACTTCTTACGCTAATAGTAACACTTCTTGCTATAGCCACAAGCTATTTTCTATGTTTAGCAATGTGGGATCTTACAGTTATTTCCTTCAATCATTATTAGTGTCAATTTAAAATTAAAAAATGCATATGCTAACAAGAGCTGTCAATAGCTAATTTGCCTATAAAACAAAAAAGAATAAATATAAACATAACTTTTTAGTCACTAAAATTATTGAATTTAAAATGCATCTTAGCTGAGATTTAACTATGGTTTACAGAAGTACCTGAGGGAAGTATATAGCAATAGGTTTCAATGCCACAGATCAATGTTAAACCTGAAAACTCACAACTTTGGATTATTGACAAAGAAGTACAATTATTTGAAATCAAGAAAAATAAAAACAGAAAACCTTAAATTTATTACATTCTTTGGAGAAACTAAAGCATGCAGAAAAGTGACATTTAGGCATCATTCTTACATCAAATTTTTAACAATGAAACATATGCCTTAGAATTTTTTAGTTTGTTCAAATGTTTCTGTAACGTGCAACCATTGAGTTAATACAGTGAAAATATGATTGAGGATCATCATGCGATTCTGCATGTTTTAAACACATTCCTGTTCTGCCAGGCACATCTCAAACCTGCTGAAAAGCTATTTCCCTGCATGGTGAATTTCCTACCTCTTCCTACAGCATGCACAACAGAAGGGCCAAATCCTCGGATCTGGAAGCCAAGTCCATCAGCTGAATCTGGAATTTTCACCGTCCTAAATCAATCAGAAAATAAGGTAAGATGGATTTAATTGGTTAAAATAATCATCATGTACAGCTTTACACCTCTCAGTAAATACATATTGAGGGTCTACAGTGTGAAAGATGTTGAGCTAGAAATCCTTGGAGACAAACACGGTCCCCAACCTCATGCAATACAGAGTTTCTAAACTGAACACAGTCATTACATAGTAAAGCCTGAAAAAGGAACAGTGGAGCATAGTGGCTTGATCAATGCTCACTGCCGCCTCAATCTCGCTGTCTCAGTGATCCTCCCACCTCAGCCTCCCAAGTGGCTGGGACTATAGGCACAAGGTCACACCATGCTTGTTTATTTTACTTTATTTTTTATCAAAAACACAGGTTCTCCTACGTTGCTCAAGCTGCTCTTAAACTACTGGACTCAAGTGATCCTCCTGCGTCAGCCTCCCAAAGTGCTGGGATTACAGGTGTGAGCCACCACACCTGCTTAAACATAGCCTTGAATCTTCGTGTAGTCAGTTATAGCTGAATAACTTGGATAAGCTCCTTAACTATTCTGCAGAAAATTTCACAGAAAGATAACACTGTTAAAAGTTATTTTGTAGGGTATCTGTGGCAATTAAAATAAATAACCTTGGTGAGTTGCTCTGCACTGTGCTATGAGCTATACACGTACTTAATAAAACAGGAACTTTTCTTCTTAATTTACTGTTACAAAGAAAAAGCTGAGTGACATAAGAAATTCTTTATAAAAATTAATACAACAGAAATACAGAGTTAATACATTTCTACCTATTGGGAACTTTATCAAAGAACAAAAAAAACTAGTTGTAAAGAACAGATCTGTCAAATATGGTATCAAAATATTTTAAGAAAATGATTCACTTTAGTATTTATGTAATGAAGGTTTACAAGAAATAATACATCAGAAGGTAAAACCGAATAAAAGAAGAAATCATTTGAATGAATCTACATTTAAAAAAAGGATTATGAAGGGATGGGAAACTTGAATAAGCTGTCATGGCAAACACACAGGGGTGTGCAATTTGGCAATCATAAATAAGACTCTCCACAGAAGAAAGCCATAAATCAGATAGCAACAATGAAAAGCAGAGAGCACAAGATATGAGGCAACATCATAACAATATGAGTATGTCACAGTCAGGAACAAAAACAAATTAATACAATGCAATAAATTGTGATAGATAGCCCTTGATGCCCAAGAAACAAAAGTGTTTCCCAAAAGATGAGTTAATCATAAAATAAATGTCAGCAGCACTTCAAGGGCATATTAAACAGAGTCTGAAGGTAGATAGAGCAGGACTTATCTGCAGCTTATGAAATCACTGTTAGAGACAGTTTGAGCAAAACCAAAGGCTGAGAACACTTCAGAAAGCCATAGGCTACATTTAGGCCTAAGGCAGAGTCTGGCACTGCAATCTCAAATATAACCTAGACAGGTATTTAGGGATAGAAATGCAGATTTTCTGCTCTAGGAAAACTTCAGAGTATTACTATAAATTAGCTTATACACTATGAAGTTATCTGTATGTATGTGGGATGGAGGTAACAGAATTAATTTATCATTTATTCTTAATTAAATACTTTTTCATGTACAGGGCTGTATTCATTTCCTTTGAATAATGCATGGTTAGCAGTGTCTGTCAAAGATACACTTGAAAATGAAAGATAACTGACCAAAGAAAGAAAAAAGGAATGAATACATATTCTGGTGGGCCTGAAACAAAAAGAGAAGCAGTTCGTCCTTCTATCTATTATTAATGAGAGTTCACTTCTGCTGAAACCACATAGAACTTTCAGGCCATGGTGAATTATTGTTGCTTTTGGATTTTGAGTAATTCATAGAGGTCTCTCAATCTTTCTGAGCAAGGTTTTTCTATCCTTCTAATATTGCTATGGAAGGTTGACTCTAATCTTTAAAAGGATTATTAGTTTGTTCCGTAACCAAAATTGTACAAGACACGATGACATGCATTTTGGTCCGAATGTTGGAATCCTCCTAGTAAAATGATCTTTAGAGAACATGTTTCCCTAGTGAGAACACTATATTCCCAATTTTAAAAAGAATTACGTTTATACAAGAGGGATGTTCTATTTCCTATAGAAAATAAGTGTACTAAATTATTTGCTTCAAAATCTTTTGAAAAATCTCTTGATGTATCAAGTATGAAGTTCATTGTAGCACTGTTTATAATAGCAAAGACCTGGAACCAACCCAAATGCCCATCGATGATAGACTGGACAAGGAAAATGTGGCACATATACACCATGGAATACTATGCAGCCTTAAAAAATGATGAGTTCATGTCCTTTGTAGGGGCATGGATATATCTGGAAACCATCATTCTCAGCAAACTGACACAAGAACAGAAAGCCAAGCACCACATGTTCTCACTCATAGGCAAGTGTTGAACAGTGAGAACACATGAACACAGGGAGGAGAGCATCACACACTGGGGTCTGTTGTGGGGGGATAGGGGAGGGACAGCAGGGGCTGGGGATGTTGGGGAGGGATACCAAGGGGATGAAAGTCAGATATAGGTAATGGGGGGGATGGAGGCAGCGAACCACATTGCCATGTATGTACCTATGCAACAATCCTGTGTGATCATGATTTATTTTATCTAAAATAAAAATAAAAAATTTAAAAAAAATTTTTTAAAAGATAGCTAGAATCAAAAGAAAATTCTTTTTCATTTACCTCTCATATTTTTCCCTTTTCCCTCAAAATGGGATACTACTAAAATTCCAAGAATCTATTATAAGAAAATATGATACTGATTTATAGACCTCATACATTAGAATAAGGACATAAAGGAAAAGTTATTTATTTCAAACAAATTTTTTTAAACTGAGTATGCTATCTTCAAAAAATGTTTTAAATACAATGTAAAATATGCTATTGATATAATAAGTAGCAATGAAACATAATAAAATGAGAAGACAACAGCATCATATATAACATCACTGGGTACTTACTATGTACTGTATACTTCACTAAGTTTTTACAAACCTAGTTTTATTCAACATTCTTTGCAGTTCCATAGCACAGGCACTCTTATCCCCATTTTATGGATGAGGATGTGAAATTACATACCTCACTAGCAAGTAGTGGAAGAGAGGCTTGAACCTGGAATCCAGAGCTCCAGACACAGCACAACAAATACTCAGAAGAGTCAGAAGACATAGATTTCTATTCTGCTCATCTAGCAACCAAGTCTGAGGATTCATTCCTATTTATTCAGTTTTGAAGTCAATGGCCTCAAAGTCTCTAACTGTTGGAATGTCTCTGATAGGCGGACCAGTATTTCTAGGGTTAAATCAGGGGGCCCTAGGGAGGACCTAATGTTTGCTTTGAAATAGTACTCCCTTATTCCTTTCCAGTCTGTCTTCTTCCTTTTCAACGCCCTCAAAGTTTCAGGAGGTGGGCAACCAGGACAGTCTTATCCTAGACCAGGGTTGAATAAAGGAAGAGGAACAGACTATAATTAGATTCAGAGGGAAGACATTGCTGTACTTCTTTGCTGCCCTCTAGCCCAGTCTTCCTAAATTAGTAAAGAGTGAGTGTCATGTTCATGCACTCTTTCAGACCTCTTGGTAAATTATTGGTAGAAACAAAATCATTGACTTTAATGAATAGTGCCTTGAAGAGACTTACTAGGGAGAGCCTAGCCCATTGCACTGCACTTTGACTATTAAACTCTGCAGAAGCATATCCAGCTATTTATATATATATATATGATATATATTATATATATAATATATATATGATATATGATATATATTATATATATTGTTACCCAGGCTGGAGTGCAATGGTGTGATCTCAGCTCACTGCAACCTCCGCCTCCTGGGTTCAGGCAATTCTCCTGCCTCAGCCTCCCAAGTAGCTGGGCATGCACCACCATGCCCAGCTAATTTTTTGTATTTTTAGTAGGGACAGGGTTTCACCATGTTGACCAGGATGGTATCAATCTGTTGACCTCATGATCCACCCGCCTTGGCCTCCCAAAGTGCTGGGATTACAGGCTTGAGCCACCGCACGCAATTATAATTATATTTTTTACATATTAAAATATATTTAGGGCAGGGAAGAAAACTACATATACTTATAATATTTTAATAAGTAGTTAAAATAAAAAAATTTATTTTCAAAGTGCTAAGCTTCATTTGTTTTAAAATTAATGAAGTTACTTATCATGATTGACAAATGATTCAAATAAAATCTAAACAATAATTTTGATATATTATGCTAAGTACTTTGTACATATTATCTTAATTAATTGGTTAAACAATTAAGATGAATCTGATAGGGAAATACTAGACCATTGATAGGAATGATTTGTACAAAAAAAGCCCATGTCTTGCAAGTATATGCATGGTATGTTCTTAAAATTCAGCATTTAGAGCACGGTCTCACTTTGTGGGTACCTCTTATGTATATGTGTACCAATACTTTAAAAACTTCAGTTAGTACTTAATTTCAAAATAATAACAATGGTTATTTATGGGTTATAAGAAAAAAAGTCTCCATTTAGAAAAATTTGTATTCTCGACATTTTCTATAATAAACAGAAATTTTTTTCTAATCATAGGTAAATAGATAATAGAATTGTTTTAAAGAAATGGACAAATTACTTAGCACATACAAGCATGGATTATCTTTCAGTCGTTTTTGCATCTCTTATGAGTATTGAATTACAAATGGTGTCTAATCACCTGATAGCACCAGAAATTCTTACAGCCGAACATCAAGAAACACGGTTCTTTATTCTCAAACGTTCTACCAGCTGTCTTCACTCATAGTAAAACTCAATTCAACCCAGACCAGGAACATTTGGGCAACAACAAAAACAAGCATTATTTCTACTAAAACTACATGATTTGTGTAACAAGTATTTTAGCATCATAAGCAATGTAGCTTCTCCCACTATCTGTAAACCAGTATTGGTGATACTGGTGAATTTAAATGGTCTAAGCAATGAGATGCTTAATTCTAAACATTTACTTAGTTATCTTTTCTATTTTACTTCTCTATGCCTAACTTTTTAAAAATCACACATAAATCATACAACTTACTCTCTTGGCTTTGTGCTCACAAGAACTCTTAGAGGTTTTCTGCTGTTTAAACATGACTTCAGGAAGCAATCCACTTCATTGAAAGGTCTCATAAAAACTAGATCACCATTAATAGCAAAAATCTTTTTCCCAACTTCCATGCCAGCCATCTAAGAGAGAATTACAAAAAAAAGTCAAAGTATATTTTAATAAGGAATTTTAGTTTTTCACAAAATTAGAATACAAAAAGTTTCAGAGCTTATAGATGTTGACATTTTAACACACCTGCAGTGCTTTTATACAAATTTGCAAAGCAGAACTGTGGATGAGATAACATGATTATCAATCTCTTTGGCCTTGGTTTAAATTTGAACACAGAACTTTACAAAAATTTTCCCCTTTTTCCCTCCTGAACTTAACATCATACTCTCCTGTTATATTTCACTGTTCTTTTACTAATTTTATCCTTTTAACTATAATCATATTCCAGGTTATTTTTTTTTACTGTGTTTTCCGCCTATATCCAATTAACTCAGAGAGCACCAACTTCTATATCTACATCAGTGACACCAAAATATCCATCTCTAGCCTGGCATAGCTCAAGTGGCTCCAGCGCAGGGGAGAAGAGGAGCCTGGAATCTAAAGAAGAGAGCTCCAACCAGCATAGACGTGTCAACAGTGCAAGCTGCTGAAACAAGGACAAGGAAGATATCATCCCTCCACGCCAACCACCATGCGCTTCTCAACCAGCCCTACTGCCTATAAACTACCTGCTGTTTTGGTTGTCTGCTAAATGCGGAAAGCCTGAGAGAGGGTATTTTATTAGTGGCATAGTCAGATGCAGCTGTGCTCTAAGAACATCCTCTGAAAATGCCTGGGAGAAATTATTTCCTTCTCAAAGACAAGTACTAAAAATAGTCATTCATTGACCAAGTCAACTAACAGTGCATAAGTTGATCAGTAATTTTGTTTGAAATTAGTGTGTTCTACAGAAAGCTTTGTCTCGCACGAACCTATGTTTGACAAAACAGAGACCTTGGGCATTAGCAGATAGGCGTATGGGTGATAGTTCACCACTGACTTTAAACAGGTTCAGAGATAAACACCATACTTTGTTCATTTTCACATTCATTAAAGATCTAAATATTGAGAAATTTGCATGAGAATTAAGTATTTTCCAATTAGAGCATGAAGGTGAGGTTACTTTAAACTAGATATACTTAGGTTATAGCACTGAAAAGTAGGATCTATGAGGGCAGGGGATTTTGTATCTCATTTGTTGCTGTATTCCCAGAGCCTAGAACACTGCAAAACATATAATAGGCACTAAATAAATATTTGTGAATGAATGAATGCATGATCAGGAGTTTTTTGTTCAAAAGGCTGGTGAAGTGGCTGGGTGCAGTGGCTGATGCCTGTAATCCCAGAACTTTGGGAGGCTAAGGTGGGCAGATCACTTGAGGTCAGGAGTTCGAGACCAGCCTGACCAACATGGTAAAACCTGTCTCTATTTAAAAAAAAAAAAAATCACCTTTGCGTGGTGGCACAGGCCTGTAATCCCAGCTATTCTGGAGGCTGAGGCAGGAGAATCACTTGAACCTGGGGGGCAGGTTTTGCAGTGAGCCGAGATCATGCCACTGCACTCCAGCCTGGGTGACAAAGGCAGACTTTGTCTCAAAAAAAAAAAAGGCTGTTGAAGTAGCATTAATCCAATGAGAAAACAGTCAAAGCATGTGCTTTAATAACCAAAGTTATATTCATATAAAAGACAATCAAAGGTGATGAGAAAATAGACACAGCTCTTGACAGAAAGGAAGAAACGCAACAGGCAAAGTGGCTCATGCCTGTAATCCCAGTACTTTGGGAGGCCAAGGCGGCAGATCACAAGGTCAGGAGTTCAAGATTAGTCTGACCAACATGGTGAAACCCCACCTTTAACAAAATAAAATACAAAAATTAGCTGCGTGTGGTGGTGTGCACCTATAATCCCAGCTACTCGGGGGGCTCAGGCAGGAGAATCGCTTAAGCCCAGGAGGCAGAGGTTGCAGTGAGCCAAGATCACACTACTGCACTCCAGCTTGGGTGAAAGAGTGAGACTCTGTCTCAAAAAAAAGGGAAGAAAGAAAAATAGAGGAAGAACCTCCTGCAATGCAAAATACAGTGCTACTCTGTGCAGTCTCCGTGGGGTTCCAGGTTGGAGTCTGTGATTAGTGAAGCTCCAGGGACGAAGAATGAGTCACTTAGTCTTCCAGGAGGTCAAGAAGTTCATGGTTATAGAGCTCTAGAACAGGAGACCCAGTACCCAGGCGACGGACCAGTACCAGTCCAAGGCCTGCCAGGAACTGGGCGCACAGCAGGAGGTGAGCAGCAGGTAAGTAAGCTTTAACACTGGAGCTCCATCTCCTGTCAGATCATCTGTGGCATTAGATTCTCATAGGAGTAGGAACCCTTTTGTGAACCCTGCATGCGCATGAGAGGGATCTATGTTGACCAGTCCTTATGAGACTCTAATGCCTGATGATCTGAGATGGAACAGTTTCATCCCAAAACCAGCCCCCACCCTCCATCCGTGGAAGAATTGTCTTCCACAAAACTAGTCTCTGGTACAAAGAAGGTTGGGATCCCTGCTGTAGAATACCCACCACCTCCCGGCCCCTATTATCCCTGAGTGGCCAGACAGGGCTCAGCTTCTTCTAATCCCAAAGGTATTCAGTAGAACCTGTAAGATTATCCAGAGACATTATGTTCAATAAAGATTATTTCAAGCCTGAATATCTAAGACTGATTTCAGTTTGTTTAGAATTTTTCTATTTTATGTCATGACAACAAATTTAAATTAAAATGCTAATTTACATTACCTCGGCATTAGATCCCTTTTCTACCAACTTTATTATTGGAACTTTATTTTTGTCTTCTAGCCCAAAGCCATAGCTACCTTCATTGGATTTAATCTGAAATGCAAAATATTAACATTATTGGTAAAGCAACTATAAAAAAAATTACAAGTTAAGCAGAATGAAGCAATATGCATCACCGCCAAGCCTGTTTGACAGTCTCCTGCTAATGCCTAATCAAGAAGAAAAATAACGTATCAACAAACTTACCAATAATGACTTAGCTATAACATTTTCCACAACTTTTAAGTCATGTTTCATAAGTCGATGTTTCATATTTGATCCTTCCATTTCCTCGTCCGAAAAAAAACGAAAAAGTAGAGGTTCATCTTTGAATTCGCTTTTTTCAAGGACTACAGAAAAAGGGAGAGATTCTAATTATTTCAGCTAATTCAAAAATTGAACTCATTTTCAATACCAGTGACATTTATAAATGAATACCTGCACCCATAACCTCAACTTTATACTCCCAGGACTAGTTACATTCATAAGTATTCCCACGTTTTTTTGTTTTTGGGTGTTTTGTTGTTGTTGTTGTTGATAGTTTGTTTGTTTGTTTTTCCTATTTCTTTCTATAATTTTGAGCCAATGTCTCCTTTAAATTACTTTTACCTACAGGATTTTGAATTTTTTTAAAACAAATAGTATTTCTTCTAAGGCTAACTTTTTAAAATTTAACCAAGTCCTTCACTTTCCAGATTGAAATCCAAATTTAAATAAAAGATTATAATGAATCCAAAAACGCACGCATCCAAAACATAGAAATTTATCGTGTTTTTAACTTGCAGTAAACACTTTAGGCATGTTTTTAATATCCCTCACAATTATGGGAAAATTCAAATGCGTCAAGTGTTGCTTTCTGTGTGTGAACAATTCCCATTGTGTTCACTTTTGTCCCAACACTTCAAACCAGAAATATGTCTTCTGGGTGAAATGTGATTTTAGTTTCCATGAATTCCTGTTTCTTTTCTGTTTAAAAGCAATATTCTCAAATAACCTTATTTCTGGAAAGGTCTGTTTTTCCCCCTTATCTGAACATTAGTATTTTTCCCCAAATCCCCTAAGATTATTGGAATGGACCGATGAAATAAAGTTTATGTTTTATTAGTATTTTTTAAAATAAGGTCAAATACTGATAGGAAGAAATTGTATTCAGTGAGATCCTGACAGCTGTCAAAATACTTTGCAAAAAAAATATTCTCCATTTCTTATTTATCTGTCCTTAGTACCTTGAAGGTTGATTCATTGAGCCAAATACTAAAAGAAAGACAGTGATTCCCAGGGCACAGTAGAAAGAGTTAGGTTTTGTGATGAGAAAGGCCTGAGGTCAAATTCGAGGCCTAAAAGTGACATAAGAAAGTTACTTAAACCCTCTGACTTTCAGTTTCCTCATCTGTAAAGTGGAAGCAATAAAACCTTCTACATATTGTTGTATAAAACTAAAATGAGGTAACAAATATAAATAACCTGGCATATAGTAAGCAGTCAAAAAGGATAGTTATTTGGGTTCATTATTTTTACAGCGTTCCAATAGATAATTGTTGACTGGATGAATGCCTTTATTGATCCTTGGATGAAAGACTGGCTGGCAACATGAGTTAACAAACGAAACTATCAGCCTCAAGTTTAAAAAAACAACAGAGGCCATAACCAGCAATAGAAGTGATCATCTATTTTATTGCTGTTATTTTTTTATTTTTGTAAAGGTGGGATCTTGCTACGTTGCCCAGGCTGGCCTCCAACTCCTGAGCTCAAGCAATCCTCCCATCTTGGCATCCCAAAGTGCTGAGATTACAGGCATGAGCCACTGTGCCTAGCTGAGAATCTATTTTAGATTGACTTAATGATATAAGCAGTTTCCCAAAGCTCACACAGTGTTTCTGCTACAGCTGTTTTCTTCCACCAAATTGTCTCTCAAAAGGAGCAAGATAAGGTATCAATAAAGCCAGGCATGAGCCACACTATTTATGCTTTACTGACATTTTGTATGAAAAACTTTCCATGTAACTCAATATTTTATAATAAATGCTTAGATAAAATGACAGTATGTTGGTGCTTTAAAGAAAAAAAATGGAAACTTTTGCAGGTTTTCAGCTTGATATTATAGGGTTAATCCCCTAACATGCTTTTACAAAACATTCATGGTTTGTTCTTCAAAGACTAATATTTCTCTAGACAACTCATAGAGTGACCTGGAAACAGGGAAACAGGATGGAATTTCCCCCAAAAAAATGATAACCAAGGATGCTCTCAAAATCACTATAACCTTTGCTGTACTTCCTTCTTCATAAAAATAAGTAATTTCAAAATATTTTGACAAACAAAGTGCTATCAAATATATATTTATATATTTAAAGCATATTATATTAATAATTAAAAAGAGGCTGGCATGGTGGCTCATGCCTATAATCCTAGCACTTTGGAAGGCTGAGGTAGGCAGATTACTTGAGATCAGGAATTCGGGACCAGCCTGGCTTGGTGACACTCCATCTCTAAAAAAAATACAAAAATTAGTTAGATGTGGTGGCGTGCACCCGTAGTCCCAGCTACTCCAAAGGCTGAGGTGGGAGAATCGCTTTAACCCCCGAGGCAGAGGTTGTAGCGAGCTGAGATCATGCCACTGCACTCCAGCCTGGGTGACAGAGTGTCTCAAAAAAAAAGAGACAGAGAGAGAGACTGTTTGGACTTATGGATTCTATAAGATGTTACAAAGAGGAAAAACTTACTCTCATTACTCTGATAAATCTTAGAATTTTATTTAAAAATTAACATTTAATGATAAAAGATAATTTTATCCTAAAGATTTATAATTTTGTTCTCTGAGGTAATTTTAAAACCATTTTTCTTAAAAATAACAGTAAATAGTCAATTACATATGCTGTCATTTAATCATTCTAATAGATACTGGCTTTCAAAGTAAAATCATAAGTCTAATCTGAAATAGTTTCAAAGAGGTTTATGAGCTTAAAAACAAAACAAAACATAAGAACTTCTAGCTCAAGCCATTGCTCTTCTAGAATCAGCATAGGCTAGAGAAATAGGATAGAAGTCATGGCAACTGGTAGATAACAGCAATTAGACCTAGGAGTGGCACCAGCAGTGAAACTGAATGCAGTTGTGGTGACCCGACCTGAACCCATGGTAAGACCAGACAGTCTTGCTGGCTCGTCTTTAAACGACCTCACAGCAGCACTGGGTGTTCCAGTATCCTAAGAACCAAAATATGAAATATATCTGTAAGCTTCCAGAGTAAAAAATCCCTACCATGATGCATAAATCCATTGTCGCAGAGTCCAACGCCAAATATCATTGCCTCTTCTCTGGTGCGGCAATCTCCCTGATAACCAAAAAAGCACTGTGGGAGTTAAGAGGTAACTAAAGGCTTTGTGGCAGCTTTGCTGTATTTAACATTCCCAACACCAAATTCAGACAAAGCTTCCCTTAGAAAGCATGCATTGCTTTATAAGACAGGATGCATCTAATGGTTACGAAACATTCAATTTATTATGAAAATATTTTCTTTAGACATTAAAGAAAACAAATAATATTTCTTGAGAAAAAAATACTTTATTAAACACAACAATATGTAAGTAACAAAAATGTATTGCTACCATAAATGATGCCTTTCTGTTATTTCCTAGATTTTGTATTCCAATTATGCAACAGGGAAATATCCTGTAAATTGACAACACACTAATCAAACAATCATTATGTATTACCTCAGTCACTAACTCTTCCCTTTCACCAAATGGCCTTGCCCTGTAAGGACCCCTGAAGAAACTTATTAATCTAGGATGACTTGTAAGACTTTACGAGTAAATCGTTTGAGCTAGCAAATACAAGCTTCTCTTTCATTATTTTGCCAGAAAAAAAAATCAGATCATCTAACTGAATCCAACAAAATGGCCCAAAGCACTTTTTCTTTTGTTTTTTTTATTTAGAAAACACCTATTTTATTCCTTTAAGTATGGATCCACGTATATGAACATGCATTTATCTCTCTCTTCCTCCCCACCTCTGTGTGCATGTGTGTGTGTGTGTGTGTGTGTGTGTGTGTCTGTGTAACCTTAGAGTTGTATTGTTACAGTTTAAGAAGCTTTTTTCTCATGTATTATCTCATTTTTCCCCAGTCCTATCTTTTAGCACTTAGGTATTTTACCAAATCGATTCTATCCTCTCTAGCTTCTATTCCATCTCTATTGTCAATACCCTCATACGGTGTTTCTTAATCTCTTTTCTAAATTACCATGATTTTTTTCTAGACTCTTTCTAAAATATGCTGTTATACAATTAAACATTTAAAAAAAAAAGATGGAATCTCCTTTTGTCGCTTAGGCTGGCATGCAGTGGTGTGATCTCAGCTCACTGCAATGTTCACCCCCCGGGTTCAAGTGATTCTCCTGCCTCAGCCTCCTGAATAGCTGGGATTACAGGTATGCGCCACACTGCCCGGCAATTTGTGTATTTTTAGTAGAGAAGGGCTTTCACCATGTTGGCCAGGCTGGTCTCAACTCCTAACCTCAGGTGATCCGCCTACCTCGGCCTCCCAAAGTGCTAGGATTACAGGCGTGAGCCACTGTGTCCAGCTAGAAGTAAATGAAATTTCTTACACAGAAAGTCCAGTTCCAAAACTTTAAACAGACTGTTCTTTTAGAATCATAATGTATCAAAATTCTCTGTTGGGCTTTTAAAACTTCCAAATCTTGGTTATATGCTACTTCTCCAGCTTCACTCTCCAAAGCTCAATGCTGTATCTCTTGCTGTAGTCAGTTAGGCCTCCTTGCTGTTGTCTGAAGTCTGTGCTCATTCTTACTCTTCTTTTTACTCATAGCTGCAATGCCCTTCTCTTTACCCTCCTCTCACTCACATTCTACCTGTTTATAAAGGACAAAAATAATGGCCCCACCTCATACTGTGATAACTCCAATCCTCACTAATCCTCCTAAGAACTACCAACACACTTATAATCTGTAACTTCAGACCCTGCATCTGGCCCTCTTCAAAAATCAAGCTGTTTTGTCATTTTTATGCATTCATTCAAAAGATACTTACTTTTTCTATATATTGCATCAAGTAATAGAAAAATATTAAACCACTCAAGCACAAAATACTTCCCTGCTCTGAAGTAATTCAAATCTAGGGTAGGATTTGGTCATTAAAAGGTAAGTATCTTACTAATAGCCAATTTAATCCATATTTCCAACCAGGCAGATATACTTGGAGATCTGGGACCAAAGAAAGTGATCTGAGCCTAGGCTAGAGGATCTGGCAAGGCTTCTTGGGGGAGATGATGCTGGAGCAGATTCTTAGAGGATACATGAAAATTAGCCCAATTGACTAATATCACTTGAAGGCAGAAATCATGACTGCTTCCTGTTTTGTTTATTCTATCATCAAAGCACTTGCTTGAATGTTAAATTTACAAGAAAAACCTGTTTAATAATCACTGACACTTGATTGCTTTATTTGATTAATTATTCAAGTGAAACACTGACCAGACTAATATTATTGAACATACTGGTGTAAAACACATAGCCTAAAATGTTCTGGTTTTCCTATGCCTTTTTAAAATCCTACTTGTGCCATTTGGACCTGGTGAGCATTTAGAGCACATGATGTAAAGAAGCAAGGCATTCTTTAATTATAAACTATGAGTGATCCATACCCAAATCACAATGTACAGGAATTGAATGATGTTTTATAGGTACATTAATGCACATGCCAAATAAGAATTTAACATTGTGAAACAGAATATTTTCTTCTAAACTATTATACTATAATAGAAACAGCACAACAGTAAATGAAAAACATATTCAGAAGAACACAACACTCATTTTGTTTTCCAAGATGACATCACACAATATATTGCAGAATAAGAGAAAAACTGTAGGATCTAGTATATACTCTAATCACAGTAGAGCCAGTAGTTTTACTCTGTGCTCTAAAACTGTCCAAATCAATTCAGTGTCTCAGTCAATACTGAAAATTCAGTATTATGTCAGAGTCGTGGTAGAAAGAGACCCTTACTTTAAAAAAAAAAAACAACTCTTCTTCATATTAGATTAGGAACTTTAACCTTGGTCTCTTATCCTTCCACTACTATTTCTGCTTTTATCAAAGCAGCCTATGTGGTCCTAATCTGAAGTTAAGCAATTAGAGTTGATTATGTTGATAGTTACATTTGGTGTTCTACAATATCAGAGTCATAAAGTTTCAATGATAGAAAAGAGACAGCATGTAGAGCTATTCCAGTAAGCAGTAAATAGCTGAATAAACTAAAATCCAGAAAGATTGAGTGATTTGTCTAAGTTTATATAACTAGTTACTAGAAGAGCTGGCATCAGACACTAGGTTGTGTGAGTCCCAGCCAATGAAATTTCTATTATGCACAATTTCTGCAGACAGTGTCATAACAAACCACTAAGAAAAACTGAAGAAAAAAAATTGCGGCCAGGCGTAGTAGCTCACACCTGTAATGTCAGCCCTTTGGGAGGCTGAAGCAGGTGAATCACTGGAGATCAGGAGTTCCAGCCACCTGGTGAACATGGTGAAACCCTTTGCTACTGGAAAAAAAAAAAACAAAAATTAGCCAGGTATGGTGGTGTGCACCTAATCCCAGCTACTTGAGAAACTGAGGCAGAATTGCTTGAACCCGGGAGGCAGAAGTTGCAGTGAGCCAAGACTGCACCACTGCCCTCCAGTCCAGGCAACAGAGTAATGCCCATCTAAAATAAATGCAAAAACTTGCTCATCTTTGAGCACCTTAATCTAATCTTCTAATGTTAACTCTCGGAAAGTAAAAGTGCCAAAAAAAAAAAAAGTTGATAACTGATTTCCTGAGTTCAAACTTTAAAGGTTTACTCAGCATCAGCTTTTGCTTCAAATAGATTTTCTTTAAGTTTCTCGTGTAGTAAACACATTATACAAGTTCACAAGAATTCTAGGACTGCATAATTTCTAAGCGAAAGTCCAACTCCAAAAATTATTATGTAGAAATCAATTCGAATGATACACATTGACCACAGTGTTATGAAAGGCTCTAATGCTAGGAAAGCCACTGAATTGATGTTTTATCTAAAGGTAATTGTTTAGTTTCATCTAAAATCTTAACTTCTAAATGTAATAAATGTAAGTGCTATAAAATATAAAAATCAAGAACGAACTGCCATTCACAATTGCTACAAAAAGAATAAAATACCTAGGAATACAACTCACAAGGAACGTAAGGGACCTCTTCAAGGAAAACTACAAACCACTGCTCAACGACGTAAGAGAGGACACAAACAGATGGAGAAACATTCCATGTTCATGGTTAGGAAGAATTAATATCGTGAAAATGGCTATACTGCCCAAAGTAATTTACAGAATCAACGCTATCCCCATCAAGCTACCATTGACTTTCTTCACAGAACTGGAGAAAACCACCATGAACTTCATATGAAACCAAAAAAGAGCCCGCATAGCCAAGTCGATTCTAAGCAAAAAGAACACAGCGGGGGGCATCACACTACCGGATTTCAAACTATACTACAAGGCTACAGTAATCAAAACAGCATGGTACTGGTACCAAAACAGAGATATAGACCAATGGAGCAAAACAGAGGCATTGGAGGAAACACAACATATCTACAACCATACAATCTTTGATAAACCTGACAAAAACAAGCAATGGGGAAATGATTCCCTGTTTAACAAATGGTGTTGGGAAAACTGGCTAGCCATGTGCAGAAAGCAGAAACTGGACCCCTTCCTGACACCTTACACTAAAATTAACTCCAGATGGATTAAAGACTTAAACATAAGACCTGGCACCATAAAAACCCTAGAAGGAAATCTAGGCAAAACCATCCAGGACATAGGAGTAGGCAAGGACTTCATGAACAAAACACCAAAAGCATTGGCAACAAAAGCCAAAATAGACAAATGGGACCTAATCAAACTCCACAGCTTCTGCACGGCAAAAGAAACAGTCACTAGAGTGAATCGACAACCAACAGAATGGGAAAAAATTTTTGCAGTTTACCCATCTGACAAAGGGCTGATATCCAGAATTTACAAAGAACTCAAACAGATTTACAGGAAAAAAACAAACAAGCCCATTCAAAAATGGGCAAAGGATATGAACAGACACTTTACAAAAGAAGACATATATGAGGCCAACAATCATATGAAAAAATGCTCATCGTCACTGGTCATCAGAGAGATGCAAATCAAAACCACATTGGATACCATCTCACGCCAGTTAGAATGGCGATCATTAAAAAATCTGGAGACAACAGATGCTGGAGAGGATGTGGAGAAAAAGGAACACTTTTACACTGTTGGTGGGAGTGTAAATTAGTTCAACCATTGTGGAAGACAGTGTGGTGATTCCTCAAGGCCTTAGAAATAGAAATTCCATTTGACCCAGCAATCCCATTACTGGGTATATAGCCAAAGGACTATAAATCGTTCTACTATAAGGACACATGCACACGAATGTTCATTGCAGCACTGTTTACAATAGCAAAGACCTGGAATCAACCAAAATGCCCATCGATGATAGACTGGATTGGGAAAATGTGGCACATATACACCATGGAATATTACGCAGCAATCAGAAATGATGAGTTTGTGTCATTTGTAGGGACATGGATGAATCTGGAGAACATCATTCTCAGCAAACTGACACAAAAACAGAAAATGAAATACCACATATTCTTACTCATAGGCGGGTGATGAAAAATGAGAACACATGGACACAGGGAGGGGAGTACTAAACACTGGGGACTATTGGGGGCAAAAGGGGAGGGCCAGCGGGAGGGGGAGCTGGGGAGGGATAGCCTGGGGAGAAATGCCTAATGTGGGTGAAGGGGAGAAAGGAAGCAAAACACACTGCCATGTGTGTACCTATGCAACTGTCTTGCATGTTCTGCACATGTACCCCCAAACCTAAAATGCAATAAAAAATAAAAAAAAAATAGGTGGTCTTGAACAGCCTAAAAATAATATTAACATAAATTATCAAAATGTATGTGTACAGATGAACTAAATGTAGATTATTAACTGAAATAAAAAATAAACATTTTATAACAAACTAGCAAATGTTATCTACTTGAAACAAAGAAAGCCACTCTTTAAGAAAAAGTGAAGCTGTGTATGCCATTGACTCACATAGCTAAGCATAATGACTTGCATTTTGACCAAGCAATATCTCCTCTCCCAAAATAGTAAGTTCAGTTAAAGTGATTATCAGTTTTCTTCATCTTTTCTTAAATCAGTGAAATATATTTTATCATTTACTAGTTGATCTAGTACAATAAAACATTTAAATATTTGAATACCAACATTTAAACTTTTGAATATTTGAATAATTTATAGGTGAATGTCTGTTATGATGGACTAGATGCTCTAAGTTCTTTTACGTATAAGCAAATGACATTTTCTCAATTCTAGCTTCAGCATCTAAATCCTGAGAAGCAGGGCAACAATAACAACAATAAATTCCTTTCTTTTTTTAAAATAGATACTGCAGATATTGAAGCTCCTATTAACGAAGCACAATTATTTTCTAACAAGGAAAAATGTACAAGGAGATTAGAATAACTTGCTAGCATTACTTAAACAGATACTTTAAAACAAAGTGTAAAAACATACAAAAAAATTCGTAGATGAGCATAGCTACTCTGAGGATTCTAATATTAGTATTTTTTGATGGATCTCAGCTGATATCTTAAAAATAGGAGCATCTTGCTCTTGAGAGACAGGATAACTTAAAAATAAAGTTGGATATCTCTAAAATCTGATTACCTAGGTTCAAATCCTAACTCTGCTTCCTATTAGCTGTATGTATTTCTTTTTTTAAAATACATGCTGCAGATGAAGAAGAGGAAAAGTACCTAATTCACATGCTCAAAGTTTAAAGCAGCAGCAAGTGAAACTCAGCAACTTCTATTTATCTATTTACCTGTGCGATTAACCAGTCTATTAGTTTGTTGGCCATGACCACAGATTTGTAGGTCCTTAAATGGTAATCTTTATCTCTATTAAGGAAAAAAAAAGACATTAAGCAAAGGGATATATAAGCACAAGAAAATATTTTCATTTATTCAGTATGCAACAGAAAAGTTTATCATTGTAACCTGAGTTAATTGCCCACAAACATGCAAATAAGAGAAGTTTATGAAGCATGTAGAATACCTGAACAATCTTCCACCAGCTTATACCAAGGGAAGAGACCCACAATGTTGCCCAAACAGGACACCTCTTCTTTTATATTTTCTTATATCCAAATAGACTATTACTGCTCTATTATCTGGTAATAATTTAGCTAGAAATACAGTAAGTCCACACATAACATTGTAGATATGTTCTTGGAAACTGACTTTAAGTGAAATGAAGTACTGGATGTTGTAGGAACTTAACTCTTGTTTAAATTAATTAGCCTATGGCAAAATTGATTTCATGATATAACATTTCACTTAAAGTTGGAGGTTCCAAGAAGCTACTGATGACATTAAGTGAGAACTTACAATATAATATCATATTAATATAATAATAATACAATAGAATTTCTTCTCTTTAAATCACAATAGATTATACTAAAAATCTTGAAATCTGGAGATGAAACAAACATCTTTTATTACTGTTCCTGAATGCTTCAGGATGGCTGGATTTGCACTACAATATTATTCACACAGCTCTGCTGTAGTGGAAAACTAGCAGGTCTGTCCTGAAGTAGATACATTGAGAACTTGTTATTTTTTTCTTTCTAATCAGGTCATGGACATAGTGATATAACATCCCCAGGGAGCCAAGAGGATCAACTGGCTCTCCACCTCAGACTTTCCATGCAGTAGATTTCCCAGAACTGAGAGATCATTCAAAGTTCTGTTAGGTACCAACCAAATCTCATGATCAGAACTGAATGCCCAAGGGCAGAAATCCACCTGGATCATAAGAAAATGAAAATGTGGCAGTCTTTATAAAATGTCAAAAATTCCAAACTGCAAAAGACTTGAAGTGACTAATAATTGCTAGCTTTATTCATTGTTCTTTAAATCTGTCTCCATGTTTCTGACACCTCATCACACATTTCATCTTGGTTTCTATAAGCATAGTAAGAGGAAAAAGCGTAGTCTATTAGAGATCACATGTGAATCTGTGGCTCTTCATGCTAAGTAATTTTTCTTCTTATAAGCTGAGTTCACATATATTAAAAGAATGACTATAATACATTCCATCTTATGGGTTTTTCCCCATAAATTTTCTCTTGACAACTCAAAAACAATTGTCATTTCTAGCCAAAGAAAAATTTCTTATCAGCTCTTACAGATGAAGCTTTCTTGATAAGAAATCTCATATGGCTAAAATGTATTTTCAGAACACATTTCTGCTCATATAAAATCTACATATACACCAGTTACATGAGGTATTAACATTATTGTTTTCTCTTAGTTTAGCAGAAAAGAATTTTTAAGAACCCAATTGCTATTGAGTTATGTGCTTAATATTAAGTTATCCAAAATATTTACAGATATCTGTGACAGAATTATGGCAGAGTAAACAAATATTTATTCTTCTTCACCTTCTTCCACTTTGTGAAGCCTACTTGTGAAAGTAGATAAGACACTTTCAGGATTTTGAGTAAGATCCTGTTTCCTCCTCCAGGATCTGCAAACAGTGTGTTCTCTATGCAGTATAAAGTGGGCATTCCAGTATACTTAGCAACATCTGGAATCTTTATTGTTTTAAGCTCTGCATTTTCTTGGAATTACAAACCAAAGTAAAAAACAGAAACACTAAACATTTGTATTTTATAGACAAGATTGAAAAGCATTTTTATTTATTCTGAAAATGGTACATGCATATTTTGTTGTGGACTATGATTTAGTCAGTAAACTCCAAACAATATTTGACCATGTGAAATTAGTTTAACATTCTATCAGTTAAGTTATCTCAGTGTATATTGCAAAAGTCCAATTTCCTGAAGATATACTTGGTTAGTAATCATAATGCAGACCTCAAAGCTTTCTATTGTCTTTCTAGAGAGATAAACCAAAAATTAATCCTGATTATTCTTTTAAAACAAGTGGTCTCCTCAGAAGGAAAAACATGATAAGGAATAAAATTATAAAATTATACTTATTAACCTCAAAATAATTCTTAATTTTCAGGTACAAAATCTTTTCTTGGGAAAAAAGATTATGAGGTGGAAATATAAAATAAAATACATAGCCAATATTTGATTATACAATTTAACTTAAAAAGTTAATATACAAGTAATAATTGTGGCAAATATATAAACATTATTTCCAAATCCTCTCCAGATCAATCAACTTTTATTTTTTAAATATTAGCAGAAAGTGGACTATTTCAAGTGTGTAATTTACTATGAACTAATGGCAAAATAATTTTAGAAATCATAATAAAGGGTGGTATATTTGAGTGAAATATTAGAATCTAAGGAAAATATAGGGATATTTTACAATAAATTATTCCTTAAAATAATATTTTAAAGTAAAATTTTCACTTTTGAAAGAAAAACAAACAAGCCAACAACTTCTAGCTGAATAACATTTAACTAAAACACAGTACAAATATTTTCATTAAATTTCCCAGAACTTAAAGACCAGACTCACCTTATCACTGGAGTAAAGAGACTATGAAGACGACAATATAATCTCACACCCTACGTAAAATAAAGATATATTGAAAAAGAGTGAGATCACCCAAGGGACATGTCAATGAAATTTTGAAGTAACAAATTAATTCTCTGTCGATATTCTTGAATCATTACAAAATCTCAACCAATTTAAAAATTATTCAAATGTTATGATGTATCATAAAAATAATATGATTTAAATTATTAAAGAATAGATTAAATTGTGCTATAAATTCCTCATGTATATGACATACACATAAACAAAGTTTTTTCCAAATTAATTTTCTTAAAATATAAAATTTCTAACATAAATTAAACAAAGATACCAACACAGTAATACATCTATACTACTTGTTCATCATATATCAATAAAGTATTGTCAATTGCACAAAAAAGTGGCTTTACATTTATTTTACATATTTGTATTTTTTTATTCAAGTATTTTAATGACATGTTGCTGTGTGTAAAAGAGTTTTTAATGGCTGTAAGCTTGTGAATGATACAGCAGTACTACTGTCATTTAGGTTAGGTAAAGAATGAAGAAACAATCGAACATTAGAATTCTTAAAATACCAAAAATAAATAAGGATGTTTGCTTGTATACATAGTCGAAGGATTTTCTAAACTAGAAATATCTTTTATGTTTCTCAACCGCTTTTTATCTTCCTGAAGAATGGCAACATGCATTCTACTATTGAAAAGGTTGTGGGACAGGTCATTACCTTTGAAATCACATCCTGCATCTCATTTCTGGGATAAAACGTTCCATCATCATAGCGAAATCTATATAACATCTGTTCTGGTTTGAATTGATGTTTATCTGTAACTAAGAACATAGAAACAATATATTAAAATAATGATATTCTAAAAGGGGACAGACAAACAACAAAAATTTGTTAAATACATATTTCCAAATAGTAAACCTTTTAGTTTTACAAAAAGTGTTTGCTTTTATAACACAGCAATACCAATACAGTATTTTAACAGAAAGATTCATATTTTATTTAAAATATTAATTTCCACATAATGATTTGAGAAATAAATAGAAGTTTGCAACATTCAGCTAGCATAATATATGTATTTATATATGAACATGAGTATATAGTATGTATAAAGGTATACACCGTATGCACATTTATATAAATATATGATTTTGTATTTTCTGTTTCTTCACAATGTTACAAAGCCAAGCAAATAGTGCCCTTTAAAGAGCAGATACTCAAACTAGTGCATTGTGATTTGAATCTCAGCCCTACAAATAAATTTTAGCATGTATCTGTTTTATCACACTGTGGTCGGGCCAAGACCACACATATAACAATCTTGACATTTATCCTGTGTTTGGACCTCCAGAGTAGCTAAAATAATTTAGTGTCTAACTGATTCCAAAATTGTAACTGTTCTTACATTAAGAATTGCTTTTTCACATCAGTTAATTTTTTTTCTCATTGAAAAACAAGAGTGTTCGTTACCATCCTCAAGATAAGACTTTCATATTCCCAGGACCTGATGGCATCACTGGTGAATTCTACCAAATATTTAAAGAATAATTAATACCAGTCCTTCTCAGACTCTTCCAAAAATAAAAGAGAAAGGAACACTTCCAAAACTCATTTTACTAGGCCACATATGAATACTACAAGAAAAGAAAAATACAGACCAATATCACTGATGAACATGGATGCCAAAATCCTAAATAAAATGCTATCAAATCAAGTTCAACCGCACAATAAAATTATCATATACCATGATCAAGTGGGATTTATCGTTGAGAAGCAAGGGTGGTTCAACATATGCAAATGAATAATTACAATGCATCACATTAAAAAATAAAAGACAAAAATCACATGATGATCTCAATAGATGCAGAAAAAGCATTAGTCAAAATTCAACATCCTTTCATAATGAAAGCTCTCAATAAATTTGGTATAGATGAAATGCACCTCAATGTAATAAAGGTTATATATGACAAGCCCACATCTAACATAATACTCAATGATCAAAAGCTGAAAGCTCTTTCTCTAAAACAAGACAAGGATGCCTACTTTCTCTACTTCCATTTAACATACTACTGGAAGTTCTAGCCAGAACAATTAGGGGAGAAAAAGAAATAAAAGCCATTCAATTGGAAAGAAGTAAAATTGTCTCTATTTGTAGATGTCATGATCTGATAATATAGAAAACCATATAAATTCCATCAAAAACTAATACAGTAAACTTGCAAGACACAAAGGCAACATTAAAAAAATCAGTAGCATTTCCATATGTTAACAATGTACTATGGAAAAAAGAAATTAAGAAAAGTTATCTCATTTAAAATAGAATAAAAAAATAAAACAGGAATAACATAAGAAGGTGAAAGATCTGTACACTGAAAACCATAAACCACTGATGAAATAAATTAAAGAAAACACAAATAAATGGTAAGAAACCCCATGCTCATGGAAGGAAAGAATTAATATTGTTAAAATACCCCTGCTACTCAAATTACAGATTTGAGTAATTTGATCTACAGATTCAATGTGATTTCTATCAAGATTCCAATTGCATTTTCACAGAAATACAGAAAACAGTCCTAAAATCTGTGTGGATGCACAAAAGACCCACAATAGCCAAAGCAACCTTGAGCAAAAGGAACAAAGCTGAAGGCATGAGATTACTGACTTCAAACTCTACTACAAAGCCACAGTAATAAAAGCAGCATGGTACTGGCATAAAAGCAGACACATAGACCAATGGAACAGAATAGAGATCAGATCCCAGAAATAAATTCACAGATTTATGGTCAATTGATCTTCTACAAAGGTGTCAAGAATACACAATGCAGAAAGACAGCCTCTTCAACAAATAATGTTGAGAAAACTGGGTAATTACATGAAAAATAATTAAATGGGACCCCTTATCTCACACCAAATATAAAAATAAACTCAAAATGTACTAAAGGTTTAAATACATGATGTAACACTGTAAAATTACTAGAAGAAAAGATTAGGAAAAAGGTTCTTGACATTTGTCTTGGCAATAATTTTTTGGAGAGGACCCCAAAAGCACAGGTGACAAAAGCAAAAATAGACAAATGAAAATAGTCAAATGCAATTACATCAAACTAAAAACTGTATGCACAACATTTGAAAGAATCAATAAAATTAAAAGACAATCTATGGAGTGGTAAAAATATTTGTAAAACATAGATCCAATAGAAGGCAAATATTCCAAACATATAAGAAATTAATTCAATATAATACCAAAAATACAAATAACACATTTAAAAATGGGTGAAGAACCTAAAAAAAACTTCTCAAAAAAAGAAATAAAGATGGCCAACAGGCCATCTTTATATGAAAAGTTGCTCAGCATCTCTAATCATCAGGGAAATGCAAATCAAAACTATAGTGAGATATAACCTCACACCTCTTAGGATGGCTATCATCAAAAAGACAGAAGTGTTGGTGAGGATATGGCAAAAAGGAAACCCTTGTACACTGTTGGTGGAGATGTAAATTCGTATAGCCATTACAAAAAACAGTATGGAAGTTCCTGAAAAAGCTAAAAATAGAACTACCATATGATCCAGCAATTTTACTTCTGTTTGTGTAATTCAAAGGAAATAAAATCAGTGTGTCAAAGAGCTATCTGAATCCCCATGTTCACTGCAGCATTCTCACAATAGCAAGACAAGAAGTCACCCTAAGTTTCCATGTAGCTGAGTGGATAGAGAAAATATGATATAATGTATTACATACTTGAAAATTGCTATAAGAGTAGATCTCAAATGTTCTCACCACAAAAAGATAATAACTATTTGAGGTGGTTAATATACTAATCAGCTTGATTGTGGTGATCACTTTGCAATTTACACACATTTCAAAACATCATGTTGTACACCATTAATATTTGTCAATTATATCTCTATAAAGCGGGGAGATAAGAGAGGAAATCTCCTACTAAATCTCTAAGTTTTTGCTTTTTCAGGCTACGTTATTTTATACACAGTCTAATAAAAAAAGTCTGTTTTAGAAAGTAAAAACCTCAAATTAAAAGTCAAAGTTTATTTTTAAATATTTTCTTTACAGGGAATGTAACATTTCTAGAAGAGATAACTTGCTGCAAAGAGCTATACTTTTAAAATTAGATTAAAGACTTTGACCACCTTTATTTTTTTGCCAGAAATGTTGAAAGAGGAAAGAAAGTTGTCAGAATTCTCATTAACAACATTTGATGCATCCAGAAGAAAATCTAGAGAGCTGGTAATACACACAGATAAATACACACATACATTTGTGCAGTTTCAGCTCTTTTACCCCAGCCTATCCAAATGTTCTACATGGCTTATGGCCATAAAATTGTTTGTAAAAAAAAAATGTGTAGTCAATACCATTTCTGCTTTTTGATATCTTTTCCCCCAAGCCAAGTCATACGTAAAAAATTCTGCATGAAAAAAATATAAAAACATGAGAAATACTGTGAAACTCTCCAGCATGATTTAAGATCAGAATTTATTTCTCCTATGCAATCTACCTATTCTCATTTTTATCCCTTAATAATTATTAAAATAAATTGTCTTGATATTTCAAAATTCATGAAGTTGAATCCAAATGTTTTTGTCAGCATGAAACAAATGGTAGTCTAACCTCTTCAACGTGGAGAGGTTAGCTGCAAGGCAAGTGCTTGTGCCCTTGATAATGAACCTTTGGTTAACCTGCAAATCTTAGCTGATGCCTTAGAAAAACCCTGAACTGCTCTGCATTCAAATCTACTCTCACAATTTCTCTACCATGGAAAATGGGTGCATTAACTACAGCTTAGGTCCTCTAGTGAATAAAGTTGCTAAATGCGATCTTTTAAATCATTGTGTGAGAGAATCAGGGATGTACTGCAAATGTTTAACAATTGGCTCTCTAGGCGGTGAAGGTGGAGGGAGGAGAGGAGAAGTTCTGACTTGTAGCATTTGCCAATTTCTACTGTATAAATATTCCCACTCTGACCAACTTCAAGCTTCCAACCTAAAGGCACTGAATATGGAGTTAAAGGTGTAGTGCCACGCCTTACACAGTATTTCCACTATACACAAACAACAGATATAAATAACCTCAAGGGCATAGATAATAGTAAACATTGTAAAATAATGAGAAAGTGATACATTTTAAGAATGTTTTACAGGTCCAATATGGTGGCTCATGCCTGTAATCCCGGCACTTTGGGAGGCTGAGGTGGAAGGATTACTTGAGCCCAGCAGTTCAAAACCAACCTGGACAACATAGCAAGACATCTCTACAAATTTAAAAAAGAAAAAAATTAGCCGGACATGGTGGCATGCACCTGTGGTCCCAGCTACTCATGAAGCTAAGGTAGGAAGATGGCTTGAGTCCAGGAGGTTGAGGCTACAGTGAGCCATGATCACACCACTGTACTCCAGCCTGGGCAACAGAGCAAGACCCTCCCTCCCAACCCCCTAAAAGAGAATGTTTTACCCTTTTTGCAATAAAATTAATGCACTTATATGTTTATACAATTTAATTATTAGTAATTGTTATTTTATAAACTAACCAGCCTACAAAATGTATTTAATTATCAGCTCTCAGGAGCCTGTATGAACCAACATCATCACATCATGGGATATAACAAATATTAATAATAAATAAGGTCTCTGGATTCTCACATAAACATTCCCACTGCAAAAAGTAGCACTAGACAAGATACATATTGTCAACATACCACAGAGAAAGCATATGCTGCCTCAATCCTAGAGTTCCTGCTATAGCAAGGCTTTGCTGATGACGAAGTTCTCAATCATATTTGCAATGTGAATAACACCAATAATAGTCAACTTCTTTTTTGCTTGTTTTCTTTAAAACAGATGGTTCATTCAACTTTATTTTAGGAATTCTATTTTCACCAAAATGCAGCTGGAACCACATGCCAATGATACTAGCACATTTGGCTCATGTCTCTTCATTCTAATAGAATTACTCTATTAATGATAAATCGCATAATATGCTCTCTTACCCCTAGTTTCCATGTCAACATGAACAAGCAACTTTATTTCTTAGTAGTTTAAGTCTGTCTTTTTACTCTGTCCATCAAGGAAACCCAGCTGCTCTCATACTTCCTTCTAGAAAGGCAGAAAAAGACTAGGACAGGATGAGAGAACTCATTTCTGCAGGAAATATTGGGAAGAAAAGCTAGCTGATTTTCCACTGCTTATCGCTAGCTACTGTAACAAACAAACCTCCTCAATATAGTGACTTATATTATAGAAGATAATTTTTCACTGAGGTAAGATCCAATCAGTGGTGGAGGATGGAATTACGGGGCTCTCCCCATGCAGGGCCTGGAGTCTGACAGAGGCCCAGCCGTCCTTCGTGCAGGGCTCCCAAGGTCACCTTGTGCTTTGTGTTTTTGTTTAATAGCCTGTACACTTCCCTTGTGCATCACTTTGGTGGACATGTCCTTGGCTGCATCTCAATTTCACCACCTCCCCTTCCTTGACTGCAAAGAAACCTAAGAAATGCAATGTATGCATATCCACGACAAACAAAAGCTAAACCAATTTGGTAAACAACTAATCAATTTTTGCCACTGAGGCAAGTTCCCAGGTCAATATAAGATCTATGCGAGTCTATTAAAGTCAGGGTAACTATTATGTATACTTGTTAGCATTTTATAATGTTAGTATGTAATAGTCATAATGTTATTTTTCCTTTTACGTTTTTAAATGTTGCTTTTAGCCTACCAGATGCTAAAAGCAGGCATATAATGTTTTTAGATGTTTTAATGATGCTAATGAAACAAGCACAAAATCATATACAATTTATAAGTGTCATCTGTTCACTCAAAATTTAATTATTCATTCATTCAGCAAATATTTAGTGAGAACCTGTATGGGCTGGGAATGCCAGGCATTTGCTATATAATAACAAATGAGGCTTTTGTTTGGATGGTGCTTATATTTTTATTGGAGGCCAGGTAAGGGATAGGGAGATAAAGAGATAATAAACAAAGACACAAGTAAAACAACCTAATAATTTCAGAGTGATAAGTGCATGAAGAAAGATTTCAAAGTAAAAAAAAAAAATAGGACAGCGGAATCACAAGACAGGACGGGCTTCTAAAAGTGAAAGGGTCATGGAAGATATGAGTCATATATACAGGAATTTTTGTCTTTTCATTCACTGCTCTATCTCTAGCAGGTAGAAAGGCTCCTGGCATATATGAGGAATTAATAAACAACTGTGGAATGCGAAAAGCAGAAGCGAAGGTCCTAAATAGGAAGTCATGTTGGTGTATTGAAGGAAGAGACAGAAGGTCAGCGTGGCCACAGTGCAACAAGTTAGGTACAAATCGAGGTTTCAGTCTCTGAGAGGAAGTCAGGGGCCCTATCACACAGGACCTTGTAGGGCATATAATAGGTCTGAACTTTTCTTTACATTTGACTAGAAGCGATTAGATGGTTATAGATGGAAAAATGCTTTGATCATATCTGCGTTTTTAAAGGTCTCTTCAGCTGTGACCTGGAGTGTGTACTACAGGAGTAGAGAACAAATGTGGAAGCAAGGGAGGAGATGATGGTGACTAGAAAGAAGGTAGGGATGCTGGAAGGGAGAGAATTCATCATTTAGGCACTTATTTTTGTGGTAGAGCTCCAAAATAAGAGCTTGACGGCATGAGGGAGAGAAAGGAATTAAAGATGATTCTTAGCTGGATGGGTGGTGGTACCATCATGTAGGAGACACCCGTGTGGTAAGGAAAGATGGGAAGGATCTGGTTTATCTGCACAGCACTCTAAGAAAGGAAATGAACATCAAAATACCATGGCCAAATATCCATATTTGTTAACAAGTCACTGGTTTTTCTCCTCCCCCACAGTTTACCTTAGAAATTGTTTCAGCTTTTTTCCTGGGTCCCATTAACACTGCTTTCCTGGTTTTCGTCTGTTCGTTGTCAGTGTTTCCAGGGATGTAGTACTCTCTTGAAATGATTCCCAAATATATGGTTCACCCCATTTCTATCCTGAGCTTCAAACCAAGTTTACAACCACTTGCTGGCCACTCCCCACTGGCTGTCTCACACAGTCCATAGCAAGCCTGCATCTTCTCTTTCAACCCTGCTCTTCCTCCTGAATTACCTATCTCAGGCATTCAGAGAAGAAGGCTCAGAATACTGTAATCTCTTTCTTCATTCTTCACTCCCCACATCCAAATAGTTATCAAATATGCTGTTTCAGCTTTGCCAGTATCTCCCCAGTGGAACTGGTCTTTTCATGCCTATGGACACAGACCTGCCAAAGCCCTTGTCCTGCCACAGCGGGGTCCCCTGAGGGGCCTGGTGCTCTGCAGTCTTGAACCTCTCCACTGCAGGCTCCATGCTGCTGCATCTCATAGCTGTGGACCCAAGTTCTGATCATGGCTCTGCATAAAACCATTCATCAGCTCCTGGCCCCCTTCAGTATAAGCGCACATGCCATAGCAGGAAACTTCAGATCTTCTGGAATCCAGGCTCTGCCTGCCTTTCTTGCCATACCTCCCCTCACCAGTATGTACATCCACAGACCCATGTAAGGCTCTGTGCTGGTCCACAAAGAAGCCACCACAAATTTGTCCACCACTGTGCCAGAGTGCTGTTGTTTCCTACAAGTGGAAAGCCCTTCTGCCCTGCTGTAGCTGTCAGAGTTCTATTCATTCTGCAACACCCAGCATCACCATCATGTCCTGTCCTCCATGAAACACTCCCAAATACTCCAATTACTGTAGAACTAACCATCCCTTCGTCCACAATCCCACTTCTCTATTTTCTAATGCTTGCCTGCATTACAGCTCTTCAGTCTAAGGCTAACAAATACAGCCCCATAAAGCCACACTCCCTGAAACACTGTTCTACACATATTAGGTACTGAAAATGTTGTTTAAAAAATGAGCAACCTGTAATGTGGAAATTATAAACTAAACTCATGAATGGGATTAAGATACACATGGTGAATAAATGGAATAAATAGGTAATTAATAATTACCATGGTGGATGATTCCATTTTCCAATAATGCTTGTCCCAAGTGTACACCTTCCTCAGGCCTATGAATCTCTCCGATTTCCAACAGCCATGACACAAATTCGCTGCAACAGAAAGCCAGTGAAAAAGCTAAGTGCTTGATTTTTTCCCCAGAAAGTCTTTCTATACCATGCAGTCATGAAGCATCTATGAAAGGAATCTCAAAATATAAAGGAATATTTTCAATGCATTTCAACAGATTATTTTTTACATATGTAAGGCCTACAGTCATTTAAACTGAGCTCTATTCTAGAAAACCCATACCTGTAAATTCATACATTACTAAACTATACTTAAACTATTCAACTTGTTGAGTCCTCTAATAAACATCAAGTAAAAATTTTAGAGTAGCTTTAATTAAAAGGTTACCATTAACATAAAGGCAAATGTGGGACTAAAGGATTGCAACAGATCCTAAAGCTAGCTAAAGTCGAAACTTAATAGAATAGTAATAGCTTAATATAAAGAACTAAACTGTCTTTAATGTGGCCTCCCAGGCATAAACAACCAGTGAGTTTAAAGATCCAAGAAGGAAGAACGAAACAAAACCGCAAGTGCCATGTAGTAGGTCGGAGTCTACAGAAATCCTCTCATTGCCCTCCCGCCCCATCAAGATTCCCTCCCCTTCATTTTTCAATTAAATACTAATCTAGGTATTGCACTGAAGGGATTTTTGCATATGTAATTAAAACCTCAAATCAGTAGACTTTAAAATATGTGATTTATTCCAGTGGGCCTGACTTAGCGAGTGGAACCCTTTGAAGAAGAGTTTTCTCAGGCTAGTGGCACGAGAGGAAGTCAGAGAAATTAAACCCATGAGAAGGATTCAACGTGCCACTGCCAGCTCTGAAGATGGAAAGGACCTGGTACCAAGACATGCAGCCTGTAGAAGCTGAGAGCAGCCTTTGGCTGACTGCAAGGAAACAAGGACTTCATTTGCAACCTCGAGGAGCTGAATCCTGCCAACAACCTGAATAAGCCTGAAAGTGAACTTTCCCCCAGAATCTCAAGATAAGAGCCCCAGCTGGCCAGCACCTTGATTTTGGGGTTGTGAAACCCTAAGCAGAGAACCCAGTTGAGCTCTCTTGGACTTCTGACTAGCGTTGTTTTAAGCTGCTAAGTATATATTCATTTGTTATACAGCAATAGAAAACTAGTGCACACCAAAAGACAAGAAAAGTTTTACTACATTGTTTTGAAAATGTTAAATTACTTGGTAAATTCATTATTGTATCTAAACTGTCATCTATAAGGAATACTCCAGCACAGAAGCATCCATCAGAACTGTCTACCACACACTGCTGCAGCTGTGAAGGCCACGGTGGATTATAGCTTACATCTGTCACCATTGCAAAGCAGCCCCAGGCCTCAGAGATAAGAAGGATGATGTTTATATCACTTAGGAGAGCCTCAGCTATGTAGCAATTTTTTTCAAAAGGTCACGTGGTTCAATTAAGAGAACATTAAATATAGAGACATTTTGTTCTCACTCATAGGCGGGTGTTGAGCAATGAGAACACATAGACACAGGGAGGGGAGCATCACACACTGGGGTCTATGGGGAGGAAGTAGGGGAGGGACAGTGGGGGTTTGGGAATTGGGGAGGGATAACTTGGGGAGAAATGCCAGATACAGGTGTTGAGGAGGAAGGCAGCAAACCACATTGCCATGTATGCACCTATGCAATAATCCTGCATGTTCTTCACATGTACCTCAAAATCTAAAACGCAATAAAATATTTTTTAAAAAAACACTGTGTTGCTCATGTTTTAAAAGTCTAACATTTGAACTTTTATATAAACTGAACTTGTTGTAAACTGGTTTTCTTTTTTGGCCAGAGAAACAAAGCTATGGACTGCATTTGGAAATTATTTCTCCATTAATTTCAAAAACAAAAGCAAGAAAAATGGCTAATGTCAAATAATTGAGGGATATAAAATTCTAAAAGTGGGTTGTCTAGACTACAAATAGAAGGCAGAAAAAGTTGTTAAATATTTTTATTCTTTTATTAAACAAGAACCATTCAAAGCCGTTAGTTTCCTATTGCTGCATAACAAATTCAAAAGAAAATATAAGAAAAGGTGAAACAAAGTGTCATAGTTAATATCATGTAGTTGCCATAAGACAACTGGGATTCAAATCCCTGTTTCTGATTCCACTACCTGTTCGACTAGGAGTTTATGAATTCAGCTTTTTAAACCTCAGCTTCCTCATCATTAACATAGAGATAATATTAAGAATGTCAGGTTGGGTGCAGTGGCTCACGTCTGTAATCCCAGCACTTTGGGAGGCCAATGCAGGTAGATCATTTGAGGTCAGGAGTTTGAGACCAGCCTGACCAACATGGTGAAGCCCCATCTCTATTAAAAATATAAAAATTAGCCAGGTGTGGTGGCACATGCCTATAATCCCAGCTACTAGGGAGGTTGAGGCAGGAGAACCCAGGAGGCAGAGGTTGCAGCAAGCCAAGATCATGCCACTGCACTCCAGCCTAGGTGAGAGAGCGAGACTCCATCTTAAAAAAAAAAAAAGAAAAAAAAGAATGTTAGTGTCACAGTGCAGCCAAAGGATTAAATGAGATGACAGACGTCAGAAACTCAGCACAGGGCCTGCGCATAGTGAGCTTTACTAACTCGTGACTGACAAGTGAGTTGAGATGGTTGCTATGTAGCTATGGCAAAATTCTCTATTCTGCTGGCACTAGATTTCTGAAAATGTCAAATTAAAATTAGGAAAAAGCCAATTTAAATATTGCTATAAATTGGAAATATTTTGAAGAGTGAGAAGTCAAGAGTAAAGGAACCCAGTGAGTAGCTTTATCATTGGACCTCCTCAGAGACATTCCATCAACACTCTGATGAAGGACACTGATCCACTCAGAAATGACCTCAAACTTGCCCTGTAAGCCGCAAGTGTGCTGTGATGGAAAGGCCACCGTAACCTAACATTTACTGAGTCTCTCCTACCTATCAGGTGATCTGGGAGAAGCTTCATATACCATCACAATGAACTTGCACTATTACCATGTCATCGTGTGGGTGAAGGGTTAGCAAAACCTATTCTTCCATAAGAACAAATTCGACCCTGGGCTAACTTTCTATAATAGCTATGCTCCCCTAGACACCTGATGAAGGTAGGGTGTCACCTGCTAAATTAGGCAGCATTGCAATGGTTAAAATGACCCCTGGTGGCTAATTTGCATACCTATAAAAACCTAGTGGGGAGTCACAACTTGAAGTGACTATTGCAAGTGGGCATGTCCCGGTGAGGACCCTGAAAGTTACGTCCATGGAGTGGGTACAAAAGATAGCGTGTTTTGCTACACAGGGCTTCTACGCCAAGATAAACTCACATCTTCTCCTTTCCTTGCACAAGAGCTACTACCACCTGAGGGCTACCTACAAGCAACAGTATGGCTCACTGGCAGATGTATTGCCTGCTGTGAGGATCATTCCTAGTGAAGAAGAAAGCCAGATGCTGCCCTGCAGGCAGCGGGTTTCCTGGCCAATGTATTTTTGAGTTGGAGGTTGGGGAGTGTATTAGTCCTTTTTCATAATGCTGTAAAGAACTTCCCAAAAACTGAGTGTATTAGTCCATTCTCACACTGCTATAAAGAAATACCCAAGACTGGGTAATTTATAAAGGAAAGAGGTTTAATTGATTCACAGTTCTGCAAGCTGGGAAGGCCTCAGGAAACTTACGATCATGGCAGAAGGGGATGCAGGCACACCTTACTGGCAGCAGGTGAGAGAAGGTGAATGAAGGAGGAAAAGCCCCTTATAAAACCATCAGATGTCATGAGAATTCACTCACTATCATGAGAACAGCATGGGGGAAACCACCCCCATGATCTAGTCTCTTCCCACCAGGTCCCTCCCCTGACATGTGGGGATTGCAATTTGGATTATAACTCCAGATGAGAGTTGGGTGGGGACACAGCCAAACCAGGGGCAGAGGTAGCCTATGATTATGTTGCTTGTTCCCATCACTGGTTAAAAAGACATCCTAGTGAGCACTGTAGGTAAGCTCTACCACCATCTCCATATTTTCAGAGCAAATGGAAACTTAACTAACCTAAATCACGCAACAAATTGGTGGTAGTGCTAGGAACTGAACAGATAAGTTTGATTGCCATCTGGACTGTTAACTACTACTCCAGTCTACTTTATAAACTTGGCATTGATAGTCACTAACCATATGAAATTGTTAAGCTCCCTGACCCTCAGTTTCTGTATCTTTAAGAAAGCATAAAGGTATTTAACTCCTACCTAAGTATATATTCCAGCATTAGAAATAATGTATAGGAAGAAGTCAGAACAGAGGCTGGTCTAAAAAGAGCTACCTGATGGCAGCTAACCTTCTTTTTGGCCCCGAGCTAATTAAACCAGCTAGGGAAATTCACTCAATGTTGTCTAAACAAACCAAACAACATTTACTCAATCTGCTTACTCTAAAAACCAAAGTGGACCCTCTGCTTGCTGCTTGGTGCCTGTCTCTTCACATGACCCACATTTTTAGACTCTTCACCTACATCCTTTATTTAGCCCAGCTGCCTAAATTCTGAATTAACTGAGAGTTCAGACTGTCTTTTATCTTCCTTGTCTTTCTGATTCTGACTTTCAGGCCCTACATACATGTCCATACCCAACCAGTCATCCTGGCCCCATGTAGGCAAACCTACCTGCCTATCCCTCCCTGCCTGGCCCCAACCTCCCTTTCTTCTGAGATCATGACATTTCAGAAATTGTAGAAGTCATGAGTGAATGGATGGATCCCTTGAGTTTCCTAGTTATGATCCTGGCTCTCTATCCATTCCTTCATCCTGCTACAGCCCAGGAAATGGCAACCGTAAAGTTTTCAAAAATGCCCAAGAGAATACATTTAAAAGAAAACTAATTAAAGTTAACAGGTGAGATGGTGAGAATATAAAACAAAGTCATGCACCCAAACTCCCAACCCTACCTTCCAAGAAAGCATTTAGGAAACGTAGTCAGTTTTCTTTTTCTGTCTTTGATCAGATTTCCTTGTCTGCACATCATTTTATAAAGTTTCTCGCCCTGTTCAGAGATCATGACCCAGGTGTCCTGCTCCATTCCTAATTTTAAACCTATCAAAAATGAGAGAAAGGAGAGGTAACTGAAAACTCTCTTCATTCATTCACTCATTCATTCACTCATGCCTTCATTAAGCAAGCATTTGTTGCAGGTCTACCATGTGCTGGGGGTTGTGGATACAGAGCTTTGTATAACAGTGTCCTGGTGTACGAGAAGCTGGGGGGCCAGGGAGACCTGGAGGGCAAGATCCCAGGGTATATGTCACCTTTGTGAAAATTGTGCCCCAAAGGCATAAAAGTTTAGCCAAGGCAGTAAGAAGAGCAGCTGAGTCTCAGCCTCCATTGAGCCCTGGACCAGGCATCCTTGCTCAGGGTTAGATCAGCATAACTGAACAGAGTAGCCCTAGAGAGACTTCTGAGTGATGGGAGGAAATGTGATATTAAAGAGGCATACTCAGGCCACCGCACCGCTCCCTGAGAAATGTTAAGAAAGGTTTCACAGAAGGACCCTGTCTTGAATGCACAAGTATGAATGGGGATTTCTAGAGAAAGCAGAGCTAACTCATTTGAAGCAACATGGAAGCCCAGAGCCATGGGTTTTAAGAGAAAAGATAGGAGATGTGTTGGTAGGATAGGCAAGATCCTTACTCAACCTGCAGTTTCAATCTATTTCATTCCTTAAGTATTGGGCATCCATCTAAGTGTTTTAACCAGTGGGAGGAGAAAGGTCAGGTAGTACAGGAAAAAAAGTTGTATTGCTTTGGAAACAAAGCTCGGAGGGTAGTATGGAGAACAAACTGAAGAGGGAGAGATTTAAAAAGAGGGACACTGTTAGGAGAAACCTCAAAAGTTCAAGCAAGTTCAACTCACTGCAAATAAGGGTAGGGCCATAGGGCAAAGAGGATGAAGTTGAGAAATAGGTCGGAGGCGCTACTGATAAGACGTTGGTTAAATGTGGGCATGAAGGAGAGAGAAGAAATCAGATGCCTTCCGGGTTTCTGATGAGAGTAACTGAATGGAAGCAGGGAGGCGTATCAGGCAAAGGCATCCAAGTAACCAGGAGTCTGGTGGGCACTGAGTATGCCTAGTGTGAACATTCAGGTGGAAGCCAGGATTCAGATGAAAACATGAGCATCTCAGGGGAGAGGACAAGGCTGGACATAAAGGTTGGCAAATCAGCAGTGTACAAGTGGAAGTTAATCTGATGGGAACAGATAACCCAGGCAAGGAATCTACTTAGAGAAAACAGTGCCCAAGTTAATGTCCTAGAACACTGGCCCTTAATCAGGACTGATGAGGAGCTGCTGCAGAAGAAAGAAATACTTGTATTATTTTTAGTCATCTAGCTGCAAAATTTCCTACCAGAACTTTATTTCTGACAACGCTGAAGCCATTCATATGTGTCTTTATTCATAAATAATCCCTTAAGAATAGAGTCTGGGCCGGGCGCAGTGGCTCATGCCTGTAATCCCAGCACTTTGGGAGGCTAAGGCGGGTGGATCATGAGGTCAAGAGATCGAGACCATCCTGGTCAACATGGTAAAATATATGAACTAAAAATACAAAAAAGTGCCTGGGCATGGTGGCGCGTTCCTGTAATCCCAGCTACTCAGGAGGCTGAGGCAGGAGAATTGCCTGAACCCAAAAGGCGGAGGTTGCAGTGAGCCGAGATCGCGCCATTGCACTCCAGCCTGGGTAACGAGCAAAACTCTGTCTCAAAAAAAAAAAAATAGAGTCTAATAAAGATAAATGTAAAAATAAAGATCATGTAAGATAAAGATCATGTGCAGCTTTAGAGAATGTGCTTTTTCTTTTGTTTGGGGGTTTTTATTTTGTTTTGTTTTTTGTCTTGGGTGGATCATAGCCATTCTTAAAAAAAATTTCAACTTGATGAAAAAAGCTTGATTCACCTTTTAACTATTTGTTTGCTATTTGAATTGACTGCTACGTCAAACAAAACTTAGAATCAGTTATATATTCATAAACTTTATTTTAAAATTTTCTCTCTGGCTCTTCATCCAAGATCAGTCAAAGGAGTATTTGAAAATGCTCTGGAAATCCTACACGTATGTACCATGAATACTTTAATCAACGTAGCAATTTTGCATATTCTTCCAGGAAAACATCTGAAGATGAAAGAAAGAGTTCTCTGTGTTCTGAAATTTCATTACCGATGAGGTGTTTTATTCTTGGGTCTCCAGAAGTAATCAACAATGTCATGCTTCTTAATTAAGAAATCAATAGTTAATTAGTAGAAATGCAAGCATTTCTATTTCTGAGCTGAGTTATGGAAATATGCCTTTTTGCAGATAAATTTCATATAACTGAATACAGTCAGGCCAAATTCTTTTTGCAAATTTTTCTAAAAGCAAAAAACAAATTTTTGAACTAGGCCTCATATAAACAAGCAACTAATTGGGTTACATTATAGTATATTCAAAGACCTACCAATTTTTAAACGTTTGTATAAATCCAAAGCGCTTTAATCTATAATTAGGAAGCTAACATGTTGGGTCTAAGAAATTCGAGTGTTCTGTTAAGTATACAGAGAACAACTGGAGGCCCTCAGCACTGCATTATGTTATTGAAGCTTGTCACTTAAAGAGAAATTTGGTAATGCTTGTTTAGAAATAGCAAGAATAAAGTACAAAGAAAATTGAACATTTTCTATTAAAAAGACTTTAAAAATTGTTTTCTATTTTAAAAAACTATTTAAAAGACACTACCATTCATAACATAATTACTTTGCTAACTCTGTAAGTATTACATAATTTTGTAATTATCAAATAAGTATTTTAGTATAAGGCTCACATCATGTGATATTATATTAAGTTGGTGCAGAAGTAATTGCTTTCAATGTCAAAACCGCAATTACTTTTGTACCAACCTAATAAATCAAGTGACCATCACAAACCTTTTCACTTTCTCATGTTTTTCCATTTTCTTCTCCTATGCTAAGTTAGAAGCTTCACAAAGTATAACAGTGCCCAATTCATACACCCACCTTTCCGCCGTTCTCTTTCTTTCAAAATAGCTTCAAACCATTCATGCTTCTCTTCAGGTGTTTTTGCCATACAAACAAACCATTTATTTTTTGCTGTGTTATGTATCTTCCATCCATTAACAACAATGTGTCCACTGCTATGGAAATCAGCTGGAAATTAATGGGTAAAGGCAAATGAACAAATAGTAACACACAATATTATTATATTAACACAATCATTCAATACACAAAAGTTCCAAAACCACTCAATTGTTCAAAATATCTTTGCTTTATATACGTATATAGAAAAACATAAACATTTAAAAAATTTAACAATGCTTTTATATTGGATGCAGTCAGCGCTCAATAATGGAAACATTTCTAGCTGACGGTGTTAACATACTACATGAAACTAGACACTACAAACGAATTAACACTTATTTGCTCTATGCTCAAAAATACTGTCAAAGTTTCCAAAGCAATAAAAGAATAACATGCAAGGAATTTTCTTCCCAAACATTCAAGGTGTCTTATTTATTTTATCTTTCTAATATTTTTTTGAAATCGTTTTCTAAGTTTCCGAGACAGTCTATATCCCACCGAACAATTCTCTATTATTTAATGAACTGCATACTAAAAATTCATCAATGGAACACGTTAAGAGTGCAATTACCTAAAACTGCAATAAATGGAAACATACAAATGCCAAACCATTACCACTGTACATGGTTGAGACATATACTCGTTAATCCACTTCACTCTGTTTAAGTCACATAAATGGAAACTTATAAAAATTTTTGAAGATAAATTGACATTTAATTGCCTTTTTTGATACCTCACCATAATTTTGGGTAGAGTCATGCTGGGTTTGAAAATGTCAACAGCAAACCATACACAGTAGCTTTCTGCCTAACAGTAGGAAGAGAATAGTGACATAACTTGCAAGTGACCTTTACTGGCATGACAGTCCCTGAAAAGCATAGATTCCAAGATGGGAAAAACCTGTGACAGAGGCCTGAGTCAGCACCTGTACCAATTAAAGTGACCCTTTTCATGTGTTTCTCCTGAAACACATTCAGCAGTGTTGAGGAGGTAAGCCACAAAAACGATAAAGGTGGTTTAGAAAATGACTTTGTGGCACTTTGCTTGTTTTGTTCTTTTTTTCTCAGATAATCTATTTTTTTTAGAAAGTTTTTTAGTAGAAACAGATGTGCTTGGTGCTCATTCTCCCAAAATCTGGTTCTCATAGTCTTTTTCATTAGCTCCAAAATCACTACACATTATATGAGGTCAAACTGATAATACCACAGATGCATTATCAAATGATGCTGTTCAGTTGTGGAGTCTTTAAAACTTCCAAATTACGTTTGAGTCAGAATAGAATGACATTAGAGATTAGTCTGTATTTTATATAGGTGTTATAATCCATGAATAATCAATAATGACTTCTGATAATATAGAGATTCAAACTGGCAGAGACATCCCTCCCAAAAAATTGCAAATACTTTTTAAAAATATTTTTTTGCACTTTTCTTACCTTTATGTGTTTAATTCACGTTCCTATCCTACACAAAGTAAGAGAACGTCATAATTTATGTCAGATAAGTATTCATGGGCATTAGTGGGAAAATAAGCCTTATTAATTCACAATTACAGTACAATCCCTCCTTAATATCTATAAAATAATCAACTGAGAAATTATGATAAACTGGTGGAAAAAATTTCAGAAATTCTCAAATTCCACACATTTAGCACACTCCCCCAACCCTAACCACTTGAGACGTAACAAGACCAGAATCACAAACAAGCCCAAGCTTTTTTTCAGGCTGTCTTCTCTCTGTTCAAATCAGGCCAAGATTAGTTAAGTGAACATTACACCTACAGTTTAAAAGATCCCACATGGCCACTCATGTTATTACACCTTTAACCATTACTCTAGATAAAGTAAATCACAGTAGCCATACATAGTCTACAGTCATAAACATTGGACATCTAAAATGAACACAGTGTAGCCCTCCCACAGAGCACAGGAAAACACGAATTCATGTGCCAAAATCATCAGGGTCATGCTCCTGCCACCAAACGTGTGGACCAGCCATGTCTGTAACAGGGGGTCTTCCTTCCTGGATTAAGTCTGGTCACTGGCCTCGTCACATCCTGCTGGTCATCCCTCAAATATTTTTCATCAGGACATTTCTTTAGCTCAAAAGCCACCCACTGGGTGTCTCACCACTGAATCAAGAGACTTTGCTTTAAAGATTCTTCTCAAACTAACTCAACTCTGTCTAACTTGTTCCATTTTTCATTATGTTCTAATGTGTTCCCACCACACTTTTCTGCTGCTTTCCTGTTATCTTGTGAATACTTATATATTCCCCAGGCTGAGTTTCTCATCAATCTACTCTCCCCTATGCCTCACAGCCTCTTGCTCCTCTTCAAAGTGGACTCATCTCCTTCAGGAAGTCTGGCCTGACCAACTGAGGCTGTGCACCCAAATTTCTTTTGGAAAGCACACAATTCAACTCAGAATAAGATAAGTGAGCATGTGATTGATCACATGTGGCTATTGTTTCAATGTACAGAAACCAAGATTATTAGCTGACTGTAAAATATACTGATATGGTTTAGGTCTGTGTCCCTGCACAAATCTCATATTAAATTGTAATCCCCAACGTTGGAGGTGGAGCCTGGTGAATGGAGACTGAATCACGGGGAAGAATTTCCCCTTTGGTGCTTTTCTTACGCTAGTGAGTTATTTGATTGTTCAAAAGTGTATAGCACCTACCCCACTCCTCTCTCATGCTCTGGCTAAGAAAACATTCCCCTTCCCCTTTACCTTCCACCATGATTAAGTATCCTGAGGCCTTCCCAGCCATGTGTACTGTACAGCCCACAGAACCGTCACCCGATTAAACCTCTTTTCTTTATAAATTACCCAGTCTCAGGTAGTTATAGCAGTGCAAGAATGTTCTAATTCATCCACTATCTCAAAGAACAGCTTAATTGCAGCACTAACACTTAAAAAGAACAGCTTGTGTCAAATAATTTTAGATGAAGAAATAATGCTCCTTTTTAAAGTTCATATGCTAGCTAATTTCTATCACACCAATTTTTAAAATCATAAGTAATTTTAAACATATATACATAAATAAACCCACATATACAATTGAATATGCATAAAACAGGCCTGAAAATGTAGTATACATACTTTATAATAGCACCAAAATTATCAAATGTTATGCAAAATAAGCAATTGCTTCTCATTTTTTTCAAAAAATACAGTGACATATAAATAGCTTCACAATTTTAATCATAGCACATTGTTCAATATCTTCATACTTCAAAATAAAAATTAAACTTATCTTAGTGAGAACCCTCACTAAGATCAGTAAAAAGTCTAACATTGCTTTATACTTAGTCATAATTTTGTTTAAAACATTTAAATGAAAGAATAAATAATTTATTAAATGGCAAACACAGGAATTTTCCAAGCTTCAATGAATCTAAAATGTTAAATTTTATAGGAAGAATAGATTTTAAATTGCCATTCTTTAAATGTGGAATATCTAAATTCAACATCTTTAGTCACTGATTTCTTCCAAAAACAGAAAAATCCAAGGGAGAGATCTGAACAAGTCACTAATTACTTGAAGCTATACAGTTTGCAAATTCCATGCTGTTGTTTCAGTACAGTTTCATATAATGAGGTGGGATTTTTCCAAAACTAATACACCATAAATTTCAGTGGACATGCCAGTATCCTTTCAACAAATTTGCATTTCAATAAGATGGACAATATCCAAGTATTATAAAAAGGCTAAGAAACAGAACAAATTGCCAGACTATCTTTCTGAAAACATCAAGAAATTGATGTCTAAATAATGTATTCAATTCTTATCCTGGAGATCAACACTGTGAATGCATAAATTTCTAAGGGAAACTTTACAACTTATAATTTGCTCATAAATATTTAACATTGAGAAAAATTTTTTGAATAAATCTTTTACTTTTATCACATAATAGAAGAAAAATTTCCAGCATCCCAAATAGCATATTTTTGGCAAAAAAAAAGAGGGGGGAGGGGGAATCTAACTGACTTTTCCTTTTAAAAATCTAAAAAGCGTTCATTTCTTGACCTTTCTGAATTCCCAAACATTTTCTCTTAAATTAATAACATTGAAAATGTAATTATATCAGAAAAAAACCTATTGTATTCTCACGTTCTTTTCAACATTATTAAGCCATTGTTGCTTTTTTTTTTTTTTTTTTTTTTTTTTTGAGACGGAGTTTCGCTCTTGTTACCCAGGCTGGAGTGCAATGACGCAATCTCAGCTCACGGCAACCTCCGCCCCCTGGGTTCAGGCAATTCTCCTGCCTCAGCCTCCTCAGTAGCTGGGATTACAGGCACGCGCCACCGTGCCCAGCTAATTTTTTGTAATTTTTAGTAGAGATGGGGTTTCACCATGTTGACCAGGATGGTCTCGATCTGTTGACCTCGTGATCCACCCGCCTCGGGCTCCCAAAGTGCTGGGATTACAGGCTTGAGCCACCGCGCCCGGCCCATTGTTGCTTTTTAATTAAGAACATAGTCAAGCCAGATTATACATCAATACTACAGTTGTTAAAGAAACTGGTTTATCTATTCAATCGACTGGTATGAAACAATAAATGCTATTTTTTGGTGATAAGGCATGAAGATAAAGATGATTATCGCTGAGATAAGGCAGGTACTTGATTTAAGTGAAAAAGGATACAAAATTACAAAGTTCACATTTTCAAGCATTTTTTAAATCTATGCATTAAAAGGAAAATTGCAGGAAATATTGTTTACATAGTCTTATGTATTTGTGTTTGTATGACATTATCTACTGTTTTTCACCTTTACTTTTTTGCAATTTCCAAAGTTTCTTCAATGAGCACAATTTAATTTTATTAAAATAATGTATTCAATATATGAAAATAGTTTCAAATATTTATATCAAAAGGAAGAACTAAAAATTTTAAATTAACTTACTTTTAAATAACACCTTAAGAGTAAAAAGTTTTCATCTTATCCAATTCAAGTCTGACAAATGTATTGAAATCTATGGTATGTTCAACACTGAAGTACAGACCACACTTTCTAAAGGTCAACATTCTTGCCCTCTCTCCAACCACAGAAATAAACTAGTGCACGACAGAGAATACTAATGATCCGATACAACTTCTGAATGGCTTTCCAGGCATACACTATAAAAATTACCATGAAAATTAATTCTAGGAAGTTCAATTGCTTTCCTACTATTGCCTTTAAGCTTGGTTTTCATTATAGCATCATGAACAAGCTAGTAGTCCCAGAATCTTCAAAGAATTCTTTAGATTCACTGAGAGTTGAAATCTGAAGAATGGTGGAATGGAAATTTGGCCACAAATGCAAAGGTCAACATCTTCCTTGAATACAGGAATTAATAAATAAGATGGGCAGACTTAAATAAATACACATACAATTTTTGCACTTCTGCACATATACCATCATTTAATTAAATTTCTTTTTATACTAAGATGTAACTATGATATAAACCAAGTCATTATGTATTATGAATAAAGTTATGATAATATTGTTTTTCAAAAGATTTCAGATGTTTACATGTTGAAAACTTCCATCTCATTATAAGTTCAATTATTTTTTCTGCAAGTTTTGAGCTATATCAATGCAATTAGTCATCTGATAGAGTGTCTTCCTTTAAAAAGTATTTTATTATACCTAGAGTATACAAAAATACTCAGTATTTGTATAATTCAAATGGAAGAAAAACTTTTCCATTCCATTTTCCATCACAAGTTCTAAGTGCCAGGCACAGTGACACATGCCTGCAGTCCCAGCTACTGAGGGTGAGTTGAGAGAATCATTAGTTCAAGTCTAGCCTGGGGAAAATAATGAGATTCCCCACCACCGCCCCTGTGTCAATTAAAAAAAAAAGTTCTAAGCATGCTTAAAACTACATATATCAATTCATCCATTGTATTATTTAGAAGTAAATATGGTGTAGGTGTTTGTTTTTGCTTTTGGCAATGGCAGATGAGCCTGATAATGTCTGTCTATCCATCATTTAACTTATCCAGAGACCAAGTATGGGGAGTACTTGGCATAGGGACATTAATCACCTCTGCTGAAATCTATCTGCATCAGAGCTTCATGCGCAAAGTAAAAAATAAAGCAGACTTAAAACCTGAGCTCATCAAAAAGAAATGAAGATTCTATGCTGAAAAGGACCAAGGAAACAACAAAGGGAGAAAGGTCACGCAGCACCCAGCTCATTTCTGGGTACAACCAAACTCAACCTCCATACACTGATACCTGGTTCCTTCATTGCTCTTCACTTGGTCCCTCTCTGTGTCACAAAGCATGTGTATGGAAATTGAGCAAACTTAATTCTAGCCCCAGCTATGTCCTAGTCAGCTTGGTAAACATGGGCAAGTTAGTTCTTAAGCCTGGCCTCATTTCTATCATCTGAAATGCAATGGGGTACATTAATTGATCACCAAGATCCTATCCATCTTTAAAAATTCTATTTTTGAATTTCCACGTCTGAGAGATGATGCACACTCCGCTGAGAAACCTGGTGGATATACCCATGAGAAAACTAAATTTCCCTTACAGGAAAACTAGGAGATGGCATCCAGTTGCAGCTTGAAAATTCTTTAAGTGACCTTGTAGCAACCATCTACAGCCAAATTCTTGTTACATGCTGCTTAAATATATTCAAGAAAAAGTAGAGAGAGGGAAAGCCTCAAATTGAATAATACAAAGTCAAATAAATATCTTCATCTTACTTTAAAGAAAATCAAGCCTGAGAATTTGTGTCCAGGTTCCATCAGACAACTAATATTTATCCTGTAGTGCCTTGTCTTTCTTCTAATTCATACCCAACAAGGTCTTAGGCCCAGTCTTCCACAATGCTTTTGCCCTCAAGAACTGAGGATCTGTAGGCTGGAATATTACTAGCATCAACAGAACTTCTTGGTAGAATTGAATCCAAGAACCATTTGTGCAATTCAAGTCACCCTTTAGAGGATCTCACTCTCTTACCATCTGGCACTGGAAGACAGCATTTTATGTCCATGCCTCCAAAGGTCCTAGGCTCTTATATCTCTTTATCTAGTTCTCCAGCCAACCAAAAGCACAGTAATCATAGTGAGCATTAGCACAACTCAGTCAGACCACCAATGCAGATGGCCCTAATGGGGCACTCACATCACGGGGGGCAAAGGGAGAAAGTGGGACGTAAGAGGTGGATGTTCAGTCTCTCAGGAAATAAGGCCAGGGGCTCTATGACCATAAGAAAGCCTAAAAGTGGAAGAAAATAAAGGCAGTGCCTAACCCTCAGTGGGGAGATGGTTCCGTTATGGGTAGTCAGGGCCAGTAAAGAACAGAGTAGAAGTTTTTAGTGTTCTTTTACTGTCTGACTTCCTCCCAACTCAGGTTCAAAGTGGGCATTTGGGTATTCTTTTGAACATTCAGGTTACAGAGGCAAGATACTCTTAGCATTTTAGACAGTTAACATTTCTAAATGTCACTATATAGTCTTCTTAGAAAGCACAGAATAAACTACCGCTACCTTATAAAAATAATGTGTACCTCCTGCTATGGAAAGATAGCCGACTAGGTCCAACAAGTTAGCATGGGAGTATCTGCAATGCATTACAGTCTGTAGCATAGAAAGGAATTTGAAACTGGATATCTACATGTCAGCTGTCTGGTAGCTCCACAGTTAGCCAGTGATGAACCTCTCTACCGGATGAACACAATTGCATGGCTCCTAAGCTGAGTGTTCAATCTCAGGTACCACCTGAGTTTTGCTCATTGCATTTCTTTTTCCCTACCTGCAGCAAACGCAGTTAGTTATTTTAAGTACTTGACAACTTATTCAGATGCTAACAATGGTATTGAGAAATTCCCTACAGATGAGCATTTGATATTCTGTGCTTCTGACAGATTATAAATATTCCTTTTCCCTCTGAGACCCCAGAGTGACAATGAAGGCATGTAAGAGGTGGAGGGAACTGATCTGTGTCCCAATCCCATCTATATAATGAATGTTATATAAGTGTTTTTTATATGAAAGTAAAAGCCATTTAGCAACAGTTAATATATTGCATTTCATCTTGTCTTTTCTCCTAGAAGCATATTTTTAAGTTATAACTGAAATCATTGGGGAAAACTTGGAATTTACTTTACTAAGCATTTATTTTGGAGACAACTTTTTTTTCAAACAGAAAGTATAATTTATTTTAAATTCACTTTACTTAATGTTTGTGACTAATCATGATTTCATAAATTTGTTTATAAAAGCCCATACTTTCAAATACATGGAACAAAAAGTTACCATTTTTGAGTAATACGATATTTAAAACAAGCACAATTACACAAACCACCTCAATCTTCAACTTTCCTTTACAAGCAAATTGACAACCTAGCTCTATCAATAACAACTACATAGCTAAGACAAATGTAGAGTTTGCTATATTCTACAGCCAACATCTTATAGGAACAAAACATCATTCTTATGCTTATATGACAGTATAACTAAAGAAAATTCATTCATTAAATATATTCTGCACAGTACTCTCTGCTCCAATCTGTGAATGCCGCAGGACACTCCTTGGCCATTTCCCTGTATCCATGTTTCATGTGACTGTGTTTTGGCTATATATAATTTTCCACATTCACAGTAATTCTCCATTCCCTTATCTCACCTTTCTCTTTTCTCTACCCAACGACTTTACCTAACCAAGTATTTCTAAGATCTAATACATGGCAGGTGAATTATCCAAGTGAGAAATCTGTCTTACAAGAGAGTTTACTATTGGCATACCATTCAAAATCTACAAATCACTTACCAGTGCCATCATCGACATTCTCCACTTCCATCACTTCCGTGTTGATCCGCCCACGAAAAAGGTACCGATGTCCATCTGTAGATGCCTTGCTGTTCTTCAACCGTCTTAAGACGGAATAAAATCACAAATACTTTGTTACTAACCAGTGTAAAACAATGTCAAAACAATATATTTTAAGCAATTCTTTGAAAAAAGACACCAATTCAATCAACAATATCAAATGCTAGATTCCTAAAGATTTTTATATTTGTCCTCCCATTCATAACAGCACTGGTTGCTTTATGAGATGCAACTTAAAGACTAATTATTTTAATAAATTCAAGTTTCAAGCTAAGTACTCACTCTCCCACCTGTATACTGTAAGAATAGTATAAGGATAGTATGCGGTGAGGACTCTCCCACCTGTATACTGTAAGGTTAGTATGCAGTGAGGACTCTCCCACCTGTATACTGTAAGGATAGTATAAGGATAGTATGTGGTGAGGACTCTCCCACCTGTATACTGTAAGGATAGTATGCAGTGAGGAATCTCCCACCTGTATACTGTAAGGATAGTATAAGGATAGTATGTGGTGAGGACTCTCCCACCTGTATACTGTAAGGATAGTATGCAGTGAGGACTCTCCCACCTGTATACTGTAAGGATAGTATGCAGTGAGGACTCTCCCACCTGTATACTGTAAGGATAGTATGCAGTGAGGAATCTCCCACCTGTATACTGTAAGAATAGTATAAAGATATTATGCAGTGAGGACTCTCCCACCTGTATACTGTAAGGATAGTATGCAGTGAGGACTCTGCCACCTGTATACTGTAAGGATAGTATGCAGTGAGAACTCTTCCACCTGTATACTGTAAGGATAGTATGCAGTGAGGACTCTGCCACCTGTATACTGTAAGGATAGTATGCAGTGAGAACTCTTCCACCTGTATACTGTAAGGATAGTATGCAGTGAGGACTCTCCCACCTGTATACTGGAAGGATAGTATAAGGATAGTATGTGGTGAGGACTCTCCCACCTGTATACTATCCTTAACTTGAAACTTGAATGTACTTTTGCTGAACATTAAACATTAGAGGTGCCCAATCAGACTCTGACAGACACTAGCAACTGGTCATTTTAAAATTTCATTTGAGTTTTTTTCATCTTAATGACTCAGTTTTCAGTAACTAGCTGGTAATTCTCAGCTAGTATTTATGATCCCTCTGAAGAATTGGCTGTGCTGAAGGTTCTTAAACTCAGTGATATCCAGCTATAAAAATATTTCTCATATCTTATTTTTATAATATAATCACACACTTGTTAAACAGGTATCTTAATACATTTGTAATCCTTTGCAAAGGCCTTATTCATTTTTAAAATACCCAAAACATTTCACACCTTCCCTGGTGTGGATAGGGTGGGCATAGGGACAAGTCTCCAGATGCTATCACACTCTCTGGGCTCCTTCCTTGGAAAAAATTGCATATTCCTGACTTAGCTGTCCTCAAGCCTCATCAAAACCGAGTAGTCCTTCATCTCTACTAAAGAAGACTAGGCAAATCAATTTATTAGTCTGACTGGACAGTTTGTCAGCCCCAGACCTTCATCACCTTGCACTCCTCATGTTCATTTTGAAAGCAACCTCTAAATATTCTTCATTAATAGACATAAATCAATGCTATAAATTAGAAATTCAGCCCAGGTAGCTATGAAAATTGGCCTCACAGGAGGTTAAATATAGAGAGGAATGCAGAGCAGACTGATATGCAGGTAATTGATATGCAGGCATTATTTCCAGCTGGGAAATAATATAATGGCGTCTTGAAAAATAGAATTTCTTGTAAGCTGGTACATCTTACTTAAAACCAATCATACTGAAAAGGCTTAATATCCTTAACAGTTTTAGTCACAGGCAAAATAATCATGGATTATATATAAGAATCCATCACTTAGTTCTATTTTCAATGTATTAATTTTTTATGATCTTTCTGTGAACTCTGTATGGACTTTGTATATTTCTCTTGGGTTGCAAATATTAATACTCAATATGAAATTCCAGTAAGTGTTTGATCAATTCTATACCACTTAGCTCAGCTAGATTTTGATCTCTTCAGAAAATGGCTCTATGGAAGTTTAAAGACTAAAAAGCCTATGGTTTGAAGACAATTATGCTGTATGTTATAATATTGCATATTTAAAAGTCTTGATTCTATTTTTTCATTCATAATTATGTGTTGTAATGGCAACCAGGACACATATACAAGAATGTATACAACAGCAGAAAAAGTGGCAACAACCCCAGAGCTGATTGGCAGGAGGATGAATAATTAAATTGTGACACATTCAACTAAGGAAATATTATGCAGCAGGTAAAATGAATAAATTTTGCTACATGTAAAATGGATATATATTTTTAGAAATTATATTGAATACAAATTATAAATTGCAAAAAAACTAAAAACACTATGATACTGCTTTTTTAAAACTTATAAACAAGCAAAACTAAGCAATACCATATTATGTGTATCAAATACTACATCATAAATTTTTTTAAAAACTAGTTTCTCCTGAGATTAATAATATTAAAAATATCCAGAGCTAGGATGCCTAAGCTAGCACTTCATTATCAGGTCCCTAGTTCATATAATTACAGCATTATGGAAATTTGGAAAAGGTTTCATTTACTCATATTTTCTGAAAGATCTCTACATCTTAGAAAGTATATGATGAGGTGAAGTTCATAAGGGAATGAAGTATTCTATGTGAAGGGAACAGATGGTTTATTCAAACAACTTCTCCAGTCCTGGAGGAGAATGGACATGCTGAACTATTTTGTTGTTTCCATCTACCATTATGTAGTACTTGGTCCACGTAGTACATTCATTAGAGGCATTTGCTAAATAGCCGGATTTTAATTTTGTTAAACATTTCCTGTGTTTAATGTAGTTAGCGATTCCAGTCACAAGATCATATAATATCATGATTTGTCCACTAATGTTAATTTTGCAGAAGATTTGGTCTTTACAGCAGGCATAGATAAAGATGAAATCAATTTTAATAAAAGAAGATTTCATTCTCAAATGGAGGCTTTAATAACTGCACTAAAACACCTTGATTCACATCACAGTTTCTTAAGGAGTAACACACAAGCAAAATAACAGCCTCTCCTACATCTTCCAATGAGATTATTTCTATTCATCTCAATCTCACTGTCAAACACAGAGAACTTAGAAGAGCATAATACAAGATTCATTTTCACATGTGGTAAAAAGAAATTTTAAAAAACTCATTAGGATAGAGATGTCAGCAATTTAATTATTTTTTGGCTCTAATCCTAATCTGTTCCCTCTCATGAAGATACATGTTACATTCCTATGTTTTCTCAGCTTATATAATTGCATTTTTGAATTAACATCTCTTACTGGAGAATTCTAATACTACAATCCACATGGCAGAATGACCATCTATCATTATGATAACCGCCAAATGTTTGCTAACTTGCTCTGGGCATCTTGATAACTGATTTAGGAAAACTCAATATAAGAGATGAAGAAATTCTCCCTTAAATCTGTCTTATAAATTAGTCGGTTTTGTATCTGTAATTCTCACTCTAACAGAAAATATTTGACTATAGTTTTCCAAATTCTAAACCTGGAATAAACAGTCACTTATAATCTTGTGCTTTCAACTACTGCTTTACCTTTAAATTGAATGAAGCCTATTGGTACCATTTAGCTAAAAGAAATGTGTCCTATATATAGTTAGGGTGAAGCATGTAAAGGCTCAGGAAACTTCTCATTAAATGTCACTCTACTATTTTGCTTAATCAATATGCAAAAATATTTTCCCAAGCGTTCAAGAAAACATCCCATAAAATATGAACATTCTCAAGAAAAAAGTATATTCATGCTTTAAAACAAATAGCATTATATCAATAACAATACAAAAATTATTTACACTAATGATGGCTCAGCTCTATAGCAGACTAGTTTGCGTTTCATTCACTCATTCATTGATTCTGTATTTCTCAGCTGTCTACCACAGGCCTGTTCCAATTTCCAGGGAAATAGCATTGAAGGAGCAACAAGGCCCCTGTTCTCGTGGACCTTGCAGTCTATAATCTAGTAAAGGTGGCAGGAAATAAACAAATGAATAATGAAAGAAAGAGCAAGTGACAAGCACTTTCCAGATAATTGATAGTGACTGGGAGGCCGCATTAGATGGGATGGTCAGGGAAGACATTTCTGAGGAAATGATTTTTAAGTGAGATCTGAAAGCCATGAAGAATCTGGCCGTGGAAAACTCAAAGGACAGGGCACACTGAGAAGGGAAACAGCCAGTGCAAAGGCCCTAAAAAGGGAGCATATGTGGCACAAAAAGGAACAGGAGAAAGAGAAGGCTAACAAAGGAGGGAGGTGTCGTGTTTGGAGAGGTGGGATGTGATGATGTCAGAAGCAGGCAGGAGCTGGACCAGGCAGAATTTTGTAAACTAGGGTAAGCTAGGTGGGGCCAAGTGCAGTGGCTCACGCCTGTAGTCCCAGCACCTTGGGAGGCTGAGATGGGAGGATTGCTTGTGGCCAGGAGTTTGAGATCAGCCTGGGCAACACAGTGAGACCTTGTCTCTACTGAAAAACAAATAAAATTATCTGGGTGTGGTGACATGAGCCTTTAGTCCCAACTAATTGGGAGCCTGAAGCAGGAGAATTGCTTGAACCCAGAATTTCAAGGTTGTAGTAAGCTATGATTATGCCACTGCATTCTATCCTGCCTGGGCAACAGAGTGAGATCCTGTCTCAAAACAACAACAACAACAACAAACAAACAAACAAAAACTTTATTCTAGGAAGCCAGTGAGGACTTTGAGCAAGGTGACAACATGATCTGATTTGTTTTATAAAAGGTGCTCTGGTTTCTGTGGAGAGCATAAATTGTGGAGGCATAAGAGAAGATATGGTGGGTCAGTTAGGAGACAACTGTTGTCACCAAAGGGGATCCTGGTGGCCTGGAGCAGAGTAGTGATGAAGATGGAGAGATGTGGAGAGATGCTTGTATGTTTTCAATGCAGATTCAGGAAAATTTTCTAATCAATTGAATGTGGGATGTTGAGGGAAAAATAGGAACCAAGGCTAACTCATAAGTTTTGGAACTGAAAAAAACCAACAGAAAGGGAAAGCTGGGAAAGGAGTGACTTCAGAAAGGGGAATCCCATTTCTTCCATGTTATGGTTGAGGCTACTCATGGGCATCACAACAGGCAGGATGTAGGGGTCTAGATTGTTGGGCTAAGGATGGAGATTTGAGAGCGATTGACACAGATGTGGGACATGGTGGTATTGGATAAAATTAACTGGGAAGAATCTATGAATATGAGAGGGAAAAGGAGTCAAATTCAGAGCCCTACTATAGCACTCCAATATCCAGCCAAGAGAATGGGGTGTAATAACATTAAAGAGAAGCGTGTTTGGGGACGGTAGGATTGCTCAGCTAAGTTACATGCTTCTACAAAAACAAGCGAAACCTTAAACAGCAGAAAAGTAACCACGTGAGTAAGAAGCCCAGCAGTCTATGGCCATTCTGATGGGAGTAGCTCAGTGGAGGAGCATGAACGAAGACCTTGCTGAATGTTGTTCATGCCAGAACAAGTGAGAAAGTAGAAAAAGTGACAACATAAAACTCCTGCAAGAAAGTCTGCTATGAAGGGTGACAGTGTGACACAAGATAAAGGACTTTTAAATTTTGAGATTGAAGATCTTTGACAATATTAGAGTCAGAATAGCTGAAGTGAGAATACCAGAGAAGAAAGCTAGGAGGATGGGGGCTGATATTCAGAGTGGGATGCTTAAAATGGAGATTTCATTTTTATGACTCTTGGTATTGACAAGGTAAAAGTATGGCCCTAGAACAGGTGACTCAGGTGTATTGGTAGAAAGGCTCATTGTACGTGAAGAGACAGTGGGCTTTCAGGTCAAAAATTCTGGATAAATCATCTATGTGAGTTTTAAACACCCCCAAAATGGCAACAGGAGTAGGGTAGAAAGAAAATGATGCAAGAGCTAGAGAAATAACTAAATTTATATGTGATAGTGAGATATTATGTGTTATATAAAGGAGAGAGGAGGGAACGGCAGTGGAGAGGAAAGACCCATGGCATGAACTTCACATGTGCTAGGATCCTGAAGGAACAGTGGGAAATGATTGGGAAACAGGATTAGGAAACAAGGAAGACACACCAGCCTCTTCTCCAGGGCCTGAGATATGTGGGTTAGGAACAAATTGCACCTCTCCACAAGAGGGCTCTGAGGACCCAGGATCATCAGCTGACAGTGCCATTTCGGTTAGATTTTACAAGAAGGTGAAGCAAACAATCAGAGAGCAGCCTGAATGTACATGAAGAAATGCACTGATGGATGACGGGTTCGGGGAAGCACAGAGAGGAAGGTAGAAACTGTGAGCTGGATAAACCACTTCAGAACTGTGACCTGCTTAGGATCTTACCTGTGTTTTCTTTTGCAGTACACCAAAAGGTTATCAAAAAGGAAAAAAACTCTTTCTTGAATATTTCCAGAAGAAATTTTCAGTAAGACTCCACACATCAGCATTTCAGTGCAGGTGTCAGTGATGTTGGACCCCTAAGTCAGGAAAAATGCAATTAACGTCTGTTTACATGGTTGAAACTTCTGTATATAGTTATTTTTCTACTTACAATTATGGTTGTTTTTATTTTAAGAAGCAATCTATGCACAGGCTAAAGTTCAAACAGTAGAGATAGTTATACACTGAGTGGAGGGCCCCTTTTCCTTCCACTTTTGCCCTGATGAGTCTGAGCAGACAGAATCATTGTTAAGAGATTCTGGGTCTCCTTTCAGATGTGTTGTGTATATGCACATACACAAGCATCTGGAATACATGTTACCTATGTCATTTTGAAAGGAGATTACTTCAAATTCTTCCATAATGTTCATAATTAGAATTTCTCTTTTCTCTCTTTTTCCCCAGTATGTGGGGAAAAGGGGCTCCACAGACACAAAGTACATGCAATTGTCTAAATTTTTTAGCAGGTCTAAATTTATATGTCCACCTCTAGATATGGAGAAAAGAAATTTTAAAAATTATTTAAAGGGAGTAACTTTCCATAGAGCCTTTTACCCTATCTATTAAAAGTTGGCAAAGGCACACCCACTTATTAAGTAAGTGTTTCTAGCATGCCCATCAAGATTATATGACTAGTGACAAAAGCGATTCTTAACACAAACACTGGCCATTAGAAGTGAAGAGGAGCCACAAGAGGGAAGGGGCCTGGGTCCCTGAATCATCAACAGAGGAAAACAGCCCCCTAATAGGGCATGAGCCTATTTTGAGCCATTATAAATATTATAGACTATTTGTTTCTACAACCTAATCTATCATAAATAATGTACTGAGTTGGAACAAAACAAAAAAGAAAAAGGACATTTTCCATAAAGATCTATACGCATGCTCTGTAAGAGACTTTCAGTTTCAACAATATTTAGATTCTTTAAATCTAGAGTAAATTTCTAATTTTCCTTTAACTCAATTTTCTATTTTTAATGTTTGATATTTAACATTTAAAACATTAATTTTTAATTTCATATTTCTATGATAATCACTAATAATAGTTTCTCTGATCAATTATAAAAATTTAAATTAAAATGACAACTCATACCTACAATGACAACTCAAACTCCAAAATGGGGAATTAATTAATAGAGTTTTATTGTATTAATTTGATTCTTTTCATATTGTAAATTTTAGACATTTTCCTTTATTATTTCTTTTCATCCTGAAAGTGGATACACAAATGAAGATTTGGCAAAAAACAAGTTACAGAATTTCATGTACTTTGTCATGTGTTCATTAAGCAAAGTAGTTATATTTATAGCAATTTCACAAAATGTACAGAATAGCCCTCCCTTAGACCATTTCTTATGATGACCCATATAAATCAACCCCAGATGATAAATTGTTACATTATGAAAGTGTTACTATAGACATTATCTTAATTTTCACATTAAGTAAATCTCCCAAGTGAGTATCTCAAATTAACACATACAAATATTAGTAGACACATTCTTAACACTTCCTGACTTGTTGATAATTGCCTTTCCTAATAAATGCAAGGAGTATTTTATATAAAACTGAGCTAACTATAATGGCATCCTTATCTTACAACTGATTCAAAGTGCCACTACAATCAATCAAACTGCTAAGTCTTTTTCCTCCATCCTGTACTTTAGTTTGACGTTTTGAGTCACCCAGTCCAAAAGAATATAAGAAACTCTCAAGTCCCTTGCTTGACATAGATAGATCTATTCTATCTAAGGCATTATTGTAAGTCCCCATCAGCTCCTTACTCCTGATTGATCAAAAAACAGAGTAAAATTAACTGACCTCTTTAAGGTCAACACTTCCTTTTAAAAGCAACTTAAATCATCAGTTTAGACAGCTTTTAATCACATTTTCAGAAAACAAGGACAAGCACAACCATCGACAGCTTCTAGAATTTATGATTATACTGCAAAGCATATCTCACAATATACACACAACATTGGTCAGATTGTGTTTTACTTAATCTGACTTAGATGTCTCTGTCACTGAGATGGTGTACCTTTAACACTTAAAGCAAGCTTCAAGAATTAGTGCAAATCACCTTTCACCATCTTCTACCACAGTAATCTTCCATCATGGCATGAAACATCTCCCATGAGTAATCAAATAATTCCCTGAAAATTGTTAATGCACTAAAGGATTCTATGTCAAAATGTGCAGGTTTGTCTAAAAATATCATTCTAACACAGCAGCTTACAGCATATTCCTTTCCACTGCATTTATCTTTTAGACTATAAAGAATGCCCACTGTGCCTTTGATTTCCCATAATTTAATCTGTGCGTTATCTCTAGGATAATAGCAGGCAAAAATCATTAACAACTGTTTAACCACAGATATGTTGGAATCTGTGGAGAGAAACTACAATCTTGGAAAAGATGAAAGATGACAGGAGGCCTTGAAACGTCCCCACTTGTATACAATGCATCAGCAGACAAAGATCTAACAGAGCTAGATCCATTCACCACGGAAGAAAAGAAAATTGACAAGAGCGACAACTAGATGGTGCTTTGTAAGAGAATAGTTTTGATATCAAAAGAGTCTCTTGAAAAAATTGATGAAGCATTTGAACATTCTTACAAAGATAACTCTTTTAAAAATACTATGAAAACAAACATAAAATAAAGAATATTATATTGTTTTATCATAAAATGTTTGATTCCCCCCAAAAAAGACTCAGCATTTGATTCGCTCTTTTTAAGGTTAAAACTATTAACTAAAATTATAACCTGATTTCTGTGACATATACAAGAAATAACATAAATTTTCATTTTTCCGAAGATAAAGTCCTATCAAACCTTCCCTCCTTCTACTTAATTGAAATTTTGTGCCTCTTTAAGTGGATTCATTTTCAGTGGTCTTTTTCCAGAACCACTTATCCTCAAATAACAAAGACTATCTATATAAATCAATTCTATCTCAAGGTAGAAGATGAATTTGTATCTGCCAAATCACCTTGTATAGAGGACAAAAGGAAAAAGTCCCAGCACTAATACCTGGAAGACTCACATCTATGAAATAACAAGAAACATGGCTTGAAGTCAATACACTGTCAGGCACGAACTCAATCAAATGGAAGCAGCTAACGGATTCCAAAACCAACAAGAGGTCATTTTTAAATGGTCCTGTAGCACTGTATTTTTCCATGTAAAAAGGTAATAAAGAAATGTCTAATTTATTTCTGCTTCTCTTTACTTTCTAAAGCACAGTATTTATTTTGAATCTCATTTACCCCAATATCCTCATATAGTAATAATTTCTTTTCTTATCTATTATTATAATAGTTTTTTCCACATTTAAGAGGATTATGCCAAACAGGCATATCAAGGACTTAAAGCTGGACTGTTGACAATGTAATGTTTATTGATACTCCCTTATCAAAATACATCAGTATAGCTCCAAAGGCTACAGTTATCATTACAACATCATCCATCAATCAACACACAGAGAATGGTCCTGTTCTATGAAATGAATCAGTGACTGTGATTGAACAGCTAATAAACTTCCCTTCCAAGGCATGTTAATCACTGCCCCACAATTACCTTCAGCAGACTATCTGGTAGAATGTTCTGAATGTTGGATAAGATATATGACTGAGATATAATAAATTAACTAATAAAAGGCAGAACTTCAAAAATGAACAATTAAAACATACACTATAGATTTTCTGTGGTGGCAATTACTACATAAATGCTGACCAAAACCTGATTTTGGTAATTAACTTACTTTTAAATGGCAAGCAGGAAAACAAACTTAAACCAAAGAATTTGCCAAATTTGTATCTGAGTGGATATAATATTATGTGGTAAGGAATATAAGCTTTAGAATCAAGCTGCCTATTTTCAAATCTAACTGTTGTCACCTGTTAGGTAAAAGAACCCAGGAAATAGCCTTCATTTATTAAATCTGTTCAATGGGGAGTATAGCATCTCAGCAAACTGTGGAGATGATGATAATGTGTTGTATGTGATTATAATGCATACAATGGAGAATCAGTAATTCCCCAAAAAGAAATTGAATGACTGTCAGTCAAGAACCTCTGCCCTTCCCTTAGCAAATTTACCCAAGCAAGATTAGTTGAACTTCGGATTTTGATCTTCAATCTTGAGTGTAGTCATACAAAGATGGAAAAAATTATTAGAGGCTGTTCATTTTAGCTATGGCATGGATGAGACTGTCAAATAGTTTCAGCTGCTTAGAAAACCTTCTCAGGTTTGACACTGTAGCTTTTTTACTGACTCTGCAAGCTACCCAATCTTTCAAATTAATTTTTCTTTTAGGTTCTGTTGCTTAGAACCATATAACCCTAAGAAATATAATACCTGCAGTAGATAGGTGCATATATTAGACAAATGGGGAGAATTTTTTAAAGCTTTAAAATACTACCTCATATTTGCATAGCATTTTACCATATGCAAAGTACTTTTATTTCATTTGACTTCTGCAACAATCCACTCTCCATATAGGAGAGGTATGATGTATCACACCAAAACAAAGCATTCGAATCCATACTAAAAACCGACTCATCAAAAGCCATGCTTTTCTCAGTCATACAATTTGCCAACAATAAATTTCAATTGCTTGTTTACCTAAATTCAACATTCAGGAATGTAAATAATCTAGCAGCACAAAGTACTAGATAGGCACATTGTGCCTGAGAGATTTTGCTGTTTAACTAAAAGCTTTCATTTGATTAACAGTGAAGTAAGTCCCCAGATAATTGAGAGAATAATCCACCTATAATGGAAACAATACAAATTAATGGTGTATCAGACTTGGATCCCGTCAAATAGAATTGTAGTTACTGAAGAAACAGTGTCCTCCCTAAGGAGGTCCTGAAGGTGGTCTGCAGGAGCCCGTGGAAGGAAGTGGAGAGGGAGTTGTCTCCTAGCATGAACCCAAGGCTCCTAAACTCAGAAACTCCTCCGGGAACTCTGCATTCCATGACTGTCATGCCACCCTACAGCTGAACTTCTCCCTGCCCTAACCCTAAGGTTGCCTCTCGAAGGATACACAAAGCTTCTGCAGACTGAACAAGGATCTCCATTAGCAAGTCAAAAACAGCTCTTTAGCTCATTACTGCTTCCTCCCAAGGCCTGAATTCAGCCTCTGTCCTTACAGAGAGTCCAACCAGACCAGCAATTTCTCCTAAACTCCCCAGAAGGGACCAGGCCTGACAACCAAGTTCCCCCCTCAATGGGGTGGTAAACTGGGATGGGCAGTGGAGTTCTTATCACAAATTGCCAACCCACTGACAGGGCCCTGCTCGAAACTACATTCCTTCAAAGTCCCAAAACTCCCAATCTCTGTATGGCTGTCTTTCTCAATTATTGTCCAATACTACTCAAGTAGAATTTATGTTGCCACTTCTTGGAACCCACCTTCTTGGAACCCAGCTTTCATATTAGCTCCCCTGTGCCTCCTGGAACTCTGCAAAGTTTAAAAATGAGAGCTATTTAACTTACATGAGTTCTTATACCTAACAGGTGGCAACATGCCTCTCTAATTTCTCTGAATACACCCCAGAATTCCTTAACTCCATCCCCATTTTCTCTTCCACTTAGAATGTGGTAAAACCACAAAAGCTGGTGAACTCAGGCACCCTCTGTTGTGGGTTACATATGACATAGTTCCACCTACATTCATTCTTCCTTTGAGTAACTGGTGTATACTCTGTAAACAATATCAATAACTTTTAAGGAATCTTTCTTTTCTGCAGTAGACTCAATTTCTAGGATATATACCAGAATGAAACAAAATTATAACAGATTCCATTTCCTTAGAGTGCCGAAAAAGGTCTCTAAAGGTTTTGTTTTATTAAAAAGCCTAGCACATTTCACTGACAAATTCTGCAATTTAAAGCAAGTTCAGTTTTTCTTCCAGTGCTTGAGTGACAACAGAACTCCAAAAGCAAACTTGAGTCCATTTTTCTCTTCACAGCAGGACAACAGCTCCCCAGGAAAGAAATTATCATCATGAATCAACTGTAAAACACACAACCAATTTAGCCGACTGAAAGAGGCAGCTTTCATGCTGAATGCAAGGGCACTCTGGACCCTTGAAATAGAAAGAGTTAGGCAAAGAAGCAGAGAGGTCAACCCCAATTAGCATTTTAAAAGATTCAGGGAGAGAATGGACAAACGGGAGAATTCATTAAGGTCAATGTTTGAGGTTTCTTTGCATATCTGGGCGGATATAATTTTATGTCCAAAATGAAAACTAACATATTGAACATAAAAAACAAATTCACCTAAAGCCTTAAAGACAAAAGCAATCCACTTGGTTTTTGTGATTCAGTATTTGGCTAGGAGCATTTTCAATCTTTCCTACATTTAAAAATTATCTTACTTACTTCATAACAAGAAAAAATTTAACCTAGTCCAAAGCTTATACTCATTTAAATTAAGGTAATGTTAATAAGATAATTTTAGTTCATTCTTTGCATAGTAGTAAAGTAACATAGGACAGCAACCCCATGAAATACCTGGGAATCAAAGTTGCCATTACCTAAAAACATTTTACAGATTGCAAACCATACTCATTTGGGTTTTTTTTTGGCATAAAAAATATTTCCTTCATGACTCAGGAAGTCATAACATTTTTCATATTGAATAAACCTTAAAAATAAGATCATAGCCAGTTCCTTCATTTTATAAATGAAGAAATCAAAACAAAGAGGTTAAGTGAACTTAAAATGAAATTCAGTATCGAACACCTAGAGTCTGAAAGTAATACCACAGCACACCTACTGAACTTCCCTTCCCTTCTTCACTCTCCCAAAATCCAGGCTATGTACTTAACAGCCAAAGTTAAGAAAGGAACAGGATCATGATGACGCATAAATGCCAAAATACTAAAGCTTATAGCACACATAGTGTATACTGGCTCCCTCACAAACTTCTTAGATCAAGGTTAAGCCAATTAACCACCACCTTAAACATATTTTAAAATAATGATGAAAGTGAGCTCTTTCCAGAATTGAGTATAGTCCTCAAGTAACATGTAAGAAAATGACCATTTATGGTTCCATCCAATGCCAGTAATTCTTCACATGACCCGCAACATGAAACTATCTTAAGCTTGATTGTTGAGCAAAGTGGATGTACCTCCCAGCCTTCAATGTGAGACTGCCATTCCTCTAAAACTTCTAACTTCTCCATCTGTCTCTTGGCCTCATTGATGTTGGAACAGACAGCTTTCATGGCTTGGAGAGCTTCCATCACTGCTGCATAGTCACTGTGTTTCCGTGGAGTCCGCTTCAGCAACTCCTGTTTATACACAAAAAACAAATTGCCCTTTGATCTTCAGCTTTCTGGTACAGCAGGTTCAGACTGACCAGGAAATGAAAACTGCAAAGACTGTGAGAGCCACTTCCATAAGTGACATCACAAATTCCTCTGAGATTAAGATCAAAAACAAAAGTTGGAATCAATGAGTAAGTGTAACCCAAATGCACATTTTTGCAGTCACTCTAATTTTTCCTTAAACTCATCTTGTTTTTAAAAATTAAATTAGGTTCCTCCTTTCAAATGGTCAAATTTCTTACCGGGAGCAAAAATTTTAATTTTTTTTAAATAATTTGACTTTGGTTCTAACAGAAGAACATCTTTATATGTTAATTTCATTTTTTTAGAGTCTTTAACAGAAAAATCTTTAAGTATGTCATAATTTCAAAAATAATTTAAACATCTTATTTCCTAATATTTTTGAGAAACTATAAAAATATAAGGTAAAATTTTAAAATAATGTCTTATACTACAATAAGATAATTTATAAATTCTACAATGCTCCATCATTAAAGGAGCAATTTCTGCTGTTTTCTCCAATTACTCAGGCATATTCTCGTGATGAATGAACTACCATATACCCCTCAATAGCTTCCTTTTTTGTTTTTGGTATTTAGGGGATTTGGAGGGCCTTTTTATTTGTATCTTTTCCCACTCATCAAAACTAGAATAATCTTTAATCTCTTAAACATATTAAAAGGTCATGTTCGTTGTTGTTTAAAAGCACAAAATTAAACATCTTCACCCACTGTCTAGACAGTCGGAACCACATTGCTTTTTAATTAGTCATGTGTTTCTTTACTACGGTTGCCATCATCACGTAACTAACACAATTACAGAAATCCTGAGGCAAGTCTTGAAAAGAATTTTCTAAACTCTCAACAAACGGTGGGAAAATATGCAGTCGTTATATTCTTTTGAGTTCTGTTATTGTTGAAAATTCTGCCATAAACTTGGGCCCTGCATTCGTTATGTTCACACCCTGTTCTCAGAGTTAACACCAGAGGAATACACATTATATCACTCCCAAGAAAAGGTTTAAAATTTATGCTGGATCACAAATCCATAAATGAGACATGCAGGCTTCTCCAGAAACTCTAGAGTAGAAGCACCTGTAAATTATGTGGAGTGGTCAAGTCAGTCTGAGGCCGTAAGTTGGGGTCCAATTATCTAAGGACTTGAATATGAACTTACATAATGTGAAATAGTGAAACAAGACCATCACTCACAATCTCTTGGCAGTTACTTGCGATGTACCCAGTGTTGATTAACCAACTCAATAATTGAAAGCTCCACAAATAATACCAATGTATCTTTTCCTAATACTATAGCCTAATCCATATATTTTTCTCTGAATAAATAAAACCACCCTAAATCAAAGAGAATCCCAGCAGAATTTTTCAGCTGATGGTACAAAAGAGACAAATATCAATGCCAACATATCTACTACATGAGCTAACAGTTTTTTTCATGTTTCTTCATGAAGATAATCTATCAGAAAAGTGAAAGGAGGTCATCCATCCATTGCTTGAAGGAGCTCTGAACTGACCTTCTGGCTAAGAAAGCATGTATCACGATGCTATCTTTTGAGAGGTCAGTTCAAATACCTGAGTCCATCCCTAATCAGAAATGAGTAATTTAGAATAACCACTTTGTCATGATGTAACCTTCTTAATCTCCCTATCCCTTCTTAGAAAACACAAATCCCCTGGGATTCCAAAATCAGTGTCAGGAATAACTGCAGTTATGAGTACACATGCAAACTGAGTCAAGTCAGAGGTCTATAGAGATTCTCAGAAAGAAAAGAGACATATTTGGACCAATACTCCCTCTGCAGAGTTGGGGACTCCTGTGTGAGCCTTTCTGTGGCTTTTTATGGTTTAACCAAGCAACGCTAGACTTTTATTTATTTAAAAAGGAGCAAATATTTTCAAACAAAATTTACACAGATATCCAATTTATAGAATTGATAAGAGTTGTATTAAACTATATTTTTAATTCAAATTCAACATTTATTTCTTAAAAAACAAATCAATAAAAACACTAGTTAATAAGTCTCTAATACTTCTGAGTATATTTTGAAGTTTTGTGCCAAGTAGTCACTAATATATTAAAATAAATCAGAATCAAGTAGATATGAATAAAAATGGCTAATACTTATAAAACACATACTATGCTAAATGACTTATATAGTTAATCATTATCATTATATAGTCCTATATATATGTATTCAGAATACACATGCACACACACATACACACATTCCCATAGGTCTATGATATAATTTCATCATCATCATCATCATCATCATCCCTGTTTAATAAATGAAAAACCAAAACATTAAGAGGTTCAGTTACATGCCCAGTAAGCCCAATACTTGGGATTTCAACTCAGAGCTCATGTGCTTAACCACTATCCCAGACTGCCTAACCTGATGTTATGGTTCCAAAAAACGTAGTTTCAAAAATTGCTATCTTGACCTATTCATAGGTCCCTTGCAGTCAGGGCAGTAGTTGGCACAATACAGTGTATTTTTCATAATAAAAATTGTGGTTACTATAATGAGGCAAGATACCTATAACCACTAGTAGGATGTTTTACATCTTCTAGAGGCAATGTTTTCTTAGCAATCTCATTCCACATTCTATCATTATTGTCTCATGTGTTTATTCCCTTGTAATAATAATTTAAAATCCTGGTTCTGCAATTTTGTAATTTTGACCTTAATTTCATTAGCATCACAAAGTCATCAAAGTTTGAGGAAATCAAAAATATACCAGCAGTGGATGTATTCAAAATAAAAGATCTACAAAATGCTATATAAACTAGTCATAATGAACTTAAGGGGATCTATCTTGAAGCTAATGCATTTCCTCTAAATGAAACTCAAACAAATATGTTTTATACAAAGGGCACTAAAAGCTCTTTCAGTGGCTTTTCCACTGAAAATCTGTTTCCTTTACTATATATAAATGGGTGATAAAATGGCCACATTTTTTCAATACTTACGATCTGCCCTTCCTTTAGAATGTCAGACTCTTTAAAAGAATTTTTTAAAAAGATCATCACAAAATATGCAGGTACAAGGAAATGGCTACAGTGAGGTAGCACATAAAATACCTTCAAAATGAGAGGGTACTTGCATATTCTTTGTATTGGTGTTACTAAATATCCTTCCAAGGGAACATCTGTGTTCTTCCGTCCTCCAAGTAGCATGCAGTTCTGGGGTGAAAATAATCATAATTAATTACATTTTTAAAATCTCAGGCTGTAAAACTTTCTTCTACCATAAAATGCTGAAAACTAGTGAAAGCGTATGTCTATATATACTTCCTTTCTCTAAGAAGAGCATCTTCAGTCACAAATATTCACAGAAAGACAAAGAGAAATGCTAGTTACAGAACTGTTTTCAATCTATATCTTAAAAATTAATGCACTTATATTCTCCTGAGTGTGAAGTCTGAGGAAAAAAGAGGTTGAGAAAGAGATAGAGATGAATGAACAGATGGATGGATGGATGGATGGATAAGTGGATGGATAAACGGATGACTGGTACATAGACAGATTGATTTTGCTTATAAAGAAAGTTATACTGTAGAAGAGAAAGTTTCAAGACAGTTGGGCTCTAACTCAGGTTCTGCAACTGACTAGTGATAAAAATTGGACTGATTTCAGAATTCTAGTTTTCCTCTTCATAAATAGGGCAGGTTTTAAGAAAGTGATCTCTGAGTCAGTTTTTGCTATCACAATGCACCAAAAGACACTGGGCAGCCAGTGTCAGAGAAGGAGGTCAGCCAGGATCTCCACAGAGGCAAGATGAATGAAGAAATTTCAAAATCAGGAATCAGAGTGGAGTAAAATTAAAGCAGCTTTCATTGATGATAAATAGGTGGTCAAGAGAAAACCGACTCTGATAAATAAAGCCTTCATCTTAATAAGCAACATGCAATGAAACAGACTTGAAACTTGCCCAAACCCTCTTTCTGCAGTTTCTATAACAAACTATTTTATAAATATCTAACAGAGGGAGAAGAGAGCCCCTCAAATATCAATCTAAGTTAGCAACTTTCATACTACAATTTTTAAAACACAATTTCAGGTCCATTGAGAGGAGAAGCTGAGTGTTGATCAGGAAAGGGTGCAAAAGAAGACGATGGTAGCAGAGCAATTTTCTGCTGTCCTAAGCAACTGTATATCAGCCTCAATTTGTGTGTCTAAGTCAGCAAAATCAGAGCTATGAATGTAACTCCACCCAGACACCTCAGAAGGCATAGCAGTAAATACACGCTCTTACACAAGCATGCTTTTTGGGAGTTTCACTCCCTACTGCAATCAGGTTATCAAAATATTCTTTCAAACTCTGTATGGTATTTTCCCCCAGAGGAATCCTATAAAACACAACTATCTACATCTCATTATATTTCCAGGGATGTTGCCATTCCAGTACGTTAGCATCCCTGTAAAGCAGGCATCCCTCACCTACCTCTGGACTGAAGTGCCCTAAAATCACTCAGGGCTGTCTAGCCCATTTTTATTGCCTTGTGTATTAGTACCATAGAGATTGTGAACTCAATTCATAATACCAAAGGCTGGCTATCACATTAAACTGGCTTATGAGAGCCAGCTCCTTATACGTATATAAATAATGTTTCCTGATCAGGCCCAGTGGCTCATGCCTGCAGTCTCAGCACTTTGGGAAGCTGAGGTAAGAAGATCACTTGAGCCCAGGAGATTGTAGACAAATAAAAAATGTATCAGGAACCAAGAGGAAACATTAAGCTTACCAACATGTGTGTAATTGGAGTCACCAAAGAAGAAAACAAAAGGGTCAGATAAATATTTCTAAAATAATGGCTAAAATTATTCCAGATTTGATGAAAAATTAATCTATAGATTCAAAAAGCTCAAGTATAAATAAAAACTGTATAATCAGATGCACACCTAAACACATTTTTGAACTACTGAAAGACAAACACAAAGAGAAAATGTTGAAAGTAGCAAAAAGGAGAAAAATGACCCATCATATAAAGTGTAACAACCAGACAATTATAGCAGATGCCTTATCATCAGAAACAATGGAAGTCATAAGGTAGTAGAATGATATATTCAAAGCATTGACTGAGAAAAAAAATCTATCAATCAAAAAGTTATATGTCCAAATAAAACTAGTCTTCAAAAATGAATGCAAAACAAAGATCTTCGCAGATTAAAAAAAAAAAAACGAGCAAAGTCATTGCTAGTAGAAATGACCTACAAGAAGTACTAAGGGAAGTACTCCAGGCTGAAAAGCTAATATCAGAGTCAAATACACAGGAAGAAATAAGAGCACCAGAGATAGTAACTAAATATGTATATATAAAAGAATGTAGAAAAATACAGAAAGCAATAATTGTAACGTGGTGTTGTGAAGTTTATAATATAGATAACATAATATATATGGCAATAACAGCACAATCGAGGAGAGATGAAATGGAACATTTTCCACTTCCATTCAGGAAATATTGTAGCCAATTTTCCCCCATATTTAACTGGAATTAAGTCTGTATTTACCTAATATGGATTTGACATGTTAAGATGCATATTGTAGTTCTTAGAACAATCACCTAAAAATCTCCTAATAATATCGCTTAAAAATTGAGAGGAATCAAAATAGTACACGAAAAAAAATGCTTGACAAGAGTAGGTGGTAAAAGAAGAATAGAGAAACAAACGAAAAAGACATGTAGGAAAAAATAATAAAATGTCACATGTAAATACCACCATATTGATAATTACATTAAAGGCAAATAAACCGAGGGCCCCAGAGACTGTCAGACTGGATAAAAAGCAGATTCAACAATATGCCATCTGCCAGAGTCATTTCAAAGGTCATGAATAGCTTGTAAGTAAAGTAATGGAAAAAGATATAACATACAAACAGTAAGAGAGCTCTCCTAGCTATAACATTATTAGGAAAAATAGACTTTAACAGGAGAAACACCACAGGGACAAAGAAGACCATTTCATGATGATAAATAGAAATATGAATATAACAATTATGAATGCATTCATATCTAACATCAGAGACCAAAACTACAGCAAACAAAAATTGACAGAATGAAAGGGTGAAATATATAAATTAATTATACATGGAGATTCCAATGTCTCATTCTCAATAATTGGATCATTAAACAATATGAATAATGTGGATAGTGATTCATAGAATTATCAGTGCATATAATTCATAGCATTGTCGATGTATATAAACATTATTATTCACATCATATAACATGAACTAGAAATATAATGCAAGTTCCTCAACATAAGAAAGAACGTCTACTAAAAAATCAATAGCTAACATGATACTTAATGGGGAGGAACTGAATGTTTTCCCACTGAGATCAGAAACATGGCAGGGGTGCCTGCTTTTGCAAGTTTTATTCAACATTATACTGAAGGTTCTAGTCAGTGCAATAAGGCAAGAAAAATAAATCAACCACAATGAAAAGGAAGGAGTAAAATCATCCTTATTATCAGATAATTGATCCTATATGCAAAATATCCTAAACAAGCTACAAAATAACTAGTTAAACACATAAATTTAGATCAAAGGATCCAAGATCAAGAAACAAAACTCAATTAAATTTCTGCATACTAGCAATGAACAATTTTTAAATGATACTAAGATAATTTCAATCACAATAGCATCAAAAGGAGAAAACAAAGAAAAAAAAAGTAAGTACAAGACCTGAATACAAATGTCTTACATATGACAACAAAAGCATGATCTTAACAGAAAACAATGTAATAAACTGGACTTCATCAAAATTTAAAATTTCTGATTTTTAAAAGGTGGTATTTTTAAAACAAACAGACAAACCACACTGGGAGGAAATATTTGCATATTATATACCTGATACACGACTTATATCTGAAATAACAAACATTTATAGCTCAATATACAACAAACATCCCAATTTTAAAATGGGTAGAAGATTTGAATAAACATTTTATTAAAGGAGACATGCACATTTAATAAGCACATGAAAGCATGCTTAATGTAATTAGTCACTGATAAAATACAAATTTAAACCACCATGAGATAGTGCTACACACCCGCTAGTGTGGCTATAATCAGAAAAACTGAAAATACCAAGTGTTGGCAAAGATACAGAGAAACTGCATTACCGATGAATACAGAACAGCCACAATGACAAATAGTTGGACAGTTTCATAATTAGTTAAACTTGAGCTTATCATTCATCACAGTCAGCAGTTTCACTTTAGTGACTACCCAAAAGAATAAAAGCATAATGTCCACTCAAAGACTTGAATATAAATGCTCATAACAGCATTCTTTATAGGAGCCCAACTAGACGCAGGCCCCATTTTCACTGACAGACAAATAGATAAACAAAATATAGCATATCCATACAATGGAAAGTGATTTTGCAATTAAAATGAATGAGGACCAGGAATGGTGGCTCGCACCTGTAATCCCAGCACACTGGGAGGCTGGGGCAGGTGAATCACAAGGTCAGGAGATCGAGACCATCCTGGCTAATATGGTGAAACTTCACCTCTACTAAAAGTATAAAACATTAGCTGGGCTTGGTGGCGGTTGCCTGTAGTCTCAGCCACTCAGGAGGCTGAGGCAGGAGAATCACTTGAACCCAGGAGAAGGAGGTTGCAGTGAGCCAAGATCATGCCACTGCACTCCAGCCTGGGCGACAGAGTGAGACTCAGTCTCAAGAGTAATAATAAAATAAAATGAATGAAACATGGATACATGCTATAGCAAGGATGAACTTTGCAAACATTTTACTAAGTGAAAGAAGGTCAGCACTAAAGATTGTATTGTATGATTCCATTTATATAAAATCGCCAGAAAATGCAATCTAATGGGATAAAAACAAATCAGTGTGTTCCCGGTGCTAATGGTGGGAACAGAGATGGGCTATAAAGAGACATAGAGGTCTTTCTGAGGTGACAAAAATGACCTAAAACTGAATTTGGCATACTGCTGTATAATTCCACACTGCTAAATATCACTGCTCCTCACTGGCGATTAGTTTGCCCATGTGACAGCCAAAATACGCATTTATTTGTGTTAAGCTAAAGAAATTAAACATATATTCTTGTTGTTTTTATGAAAACAAAATACGGAATGTATGCAGGAGAAAGGTTAAATTTTACACTTATTTTCTACTATATCCATGATTTGCTTCCTTCCTATTATTGCCCTACTTACAGCTCTCTCAGCAGACATAAGGATGCCCAAGGGAACTGGAGCTATAAAGCACTGATGAACTGGCAGAAGTTCCTCTCTCACTAGGAACGTGTGGGGTCTCACAGATAATTCATAATCAACCACGAGAGGGCATTAGCAGTACTTCCGCAAACACAAGCTGATCCCAGCTCTCACTTTTATTTTTATCAAAGGACTCTTGCTTCCTCACCCGAGGAAGCTAACAGAGTTATCCCAGTTATTTATACCATATTGATGCTATTTGCTGGTTCTCACTGGGCCTAGCAACACATATCAACAGATAGTCACACAGAAATATACACTTACCAAAAGAAATGCCCGGATTGTTCTTATTTTGTTGAGTTCAAGAAGTAATTTTTGTGCCTTCTCATGGTTACTACAATATTCATCATAGATACGAAACTTGTCTTTCTGTGAATTCAAGTAAGAATAAATGAGTTATTTTATTAATCATTCTGCAATGTTAACCTATGTGATATACAAAAATAAACTTTTCTGTTTACTATGTTTTAAGAGCTATACTGTGTGTAGGCATCTATGTACAAATTTTATTTATTTTCCTTGATCCATGATGAATAGCCTAGAAAGGGAGACATATGTCAATTATATTCCATCATTATGAATTCAATTGTAGACAAATGAACCAAAGGGTGGCAAAGCACAGAAAAGAAAGGGCTGAACTTTGCCATGAGGATTCAGTTACAGCTTAAAAAGAGGAAGAAATTACATACATATTCTTGCTGTTATTTATGAAAACTGAATAAGGAAACTATGTAGGAGAAAGGTCAATCGATCTGAGCAGGGTCCAGGGAGATGAATCCATGATTCCTAGGCAAGGGGAGGGAAGAAAGTCATTTCGGTGAAGGGAAAGCAAGTGCCAGATTATATAGAAATAGAGGCACACAGGACCCTGCAGCTCATATACGCCAGTCTAGACAGTTTTGCTTAAGAGACACTGATAGAATATCTAGCAACTAAGAGAATGACAGACACTGAAGACACCACATCTGAGAGGTTGTTTCTGAGAGTGATATTTGTGGGAACAGAAAAGTCAGGAAATCACGACTACTTTCAAACAGCATTCTATTGTAAAGGACTGACAGTTCTATGAAGCTCCAAACAGAAAACTAGGACCTTTAGGTCGATGTTGCAAGGGCAGTTATGGGCAGATTTGGGATCAACATAGAGGTTTTCTAACAGTTAGAGCTGTCAGTAAAGTAGAGACAAAATAAACAGCCTTCACAGATAAATAGAAGGTATTCTTTCAAAACAAGAGGATTTGTAACATCATGATCTCTAAGCTCCCTCTCATTTGTAATATTTTCTCAAAGCACATTATCATCCAAAGAGCACCAGTAAAAGAAAGGCACAAAAAATGTATCGATTGAATATTAGAACAAAAGGGTGCCCGTTGAAATTTCAAAGGCATGCACTGAGAAACATTAAGTGCTGCTTTATATAACCAGCGGAAAATGTATTGAATCACTTATCTCAAGAAATGAGCCAGAAAAAAAATAAACTTCAGAAAGAGTTTAGCTAAATTCAGGGATGACAGATTCATAAAGTGTTACTAAGGAAATGGATGTCAGGGTGCTAGATTCCCAGGCGCAGCCCTGGACTGAGATAGCAACTATTCCAGCTGGCAGAAGATTCTGATTCTTTTGATTCCTTCGTGAAATCAAGCAGGCTTTAGTGAGTGGACACAAACACCCGTGGCTTCCAGCTGTGCCCAAGAAAAACACAGCTTGATCTTCCTACACCCAGTGAGCCTTTCCTTTTAATATGATTATTTTCATGAAATATTTTCTGATTATAAAAAGAGCACTACATAAAGACAGATTTTAAAACTATCGAAATGTTTCTAAAAGACTAAATGGAAAATTAAAAAATACACAAAACTTGATTTCAGTGACTACCCTTACACATTTTTAAACAAAACATTAATTGTCTAGCATTTTGATAAACACATGGACTCAAGTTGGTATTCTCAAAATTAGCATCAATGCAATGGTATAAATAGCAGCACTTTTTTTTTTTTGGCGTGAGTGCCCTTTAGTTCTGAAAACAATTTTCACTACACAGGTGTCTTTTTATTTTGCAAATTAATTGCATAAAGAATTTCAGAGCATCATATATAAAGAGACAAAATGATCACACTAGCATAGGATGTGTAATTTGAAACAACTGAGTACTGGTTGGTTATTGCATCTGCACTGCTCAGTACAATCTTCTGAGAAACCATCCTTGGGGAAAATTCCTGCTACTGGGTTTATTCAACTCCAGGTTTGTCACAAGTTGTTAACAAGGGAACATTCTGACTAATAAAAGGCTCATCGTGCCATTATAGGAGTGAGGATTTTCTGCCTCAAAAGAAAAATGCTCTATGTTTGAGCGAAACATAAAAATTCATTCATTATGAACAGCCTGAATATTCATTAGAATTCTAAGCTACAGAGGATGCGAAGAACTAACTTGTCGGGGAAAAGAAAAGGCTGTTTATTCTTCACTGAGTAAAATGGATGATGTGAGGCACTCTCCCCATTTCTGGCTCTAAGTGGGAGATTTCACTGGCCTTAAAAGACCCCAAACTTTTGGTGTCAGATTTTATTTCTAATACTGAATTCACACATACCACTATGCCAAGAGCTAAATCTTAAAATTGAGGGGAAAGGAACTTTTCAAGTGAACAGAAATATATCCTACAAAGTGAAGAAAGCAGATTCCCACTTCTTGCTGAGCATTCGGTTCAGGGTATAAGCATTCTTCCACAACTTTTAAGAATTCTTTATGTACTGCAAGGATGTCTTCAATGTTTGAGAACAGCATCTGTAAATAAACACATGTGTAAGTAAGTTCAGTAGTGAAGCATTTTTTTAAGTCTTATGATCGCATAATATTCTCTCTAACCTGAGAATCGCACATCCATGCCTTCCTCCCACCTTGCCGGCAGAGCCTTGATTTTGTCTGGACTTCCCCTCCACGTTACCGATACAACTCTGGGAACCAAGAGCCCCTGGCTGGCTCTCAGCGCAAGGCCTCAGCGGCCCAATCCAAGCCACGTATCCCACTGCCTTCTCAAGGCTGGGCTGCATGGAAACCAGCAGAATTGCTGGCAGGCTTTTCTGGGAAGGGCATCTTCGCTCCTAAGAAGGGCACACCAGAATGGACATTCCTCTTTTCCCTCTGGAAGATGCCACATGTAGAAGTTAAAGCTGGGACAGCTTGCAGAGTCATTCTGCAGCCACAGGAAGAGTCAGCTTGAGCACAAAGCTGACAATCTGGTGGCAGTGATTTGCTAGAGAGGTTCTAGCAACCTTGCTGGCCTCTCTGGGTCACAGGTGCTAAACCTCTTCTGTCTGGAGTCCTTGAAATGTGAGCCAAAGTGTCTTCAATTCAATTTGAGTAAGAGGTTTCTCCAACTTACAACCCAAAACAAGCTGAATAAAATATTCTCCTGGGAGTAAAATTTCAAAGCTAGGTATTTTACTCATGGGGAAATAGAATCAGAAGAACCTTTAAAAATCCTTAGAAAATTTTATATTTCCAGCAAAATAAAACAGTAAGTTAGCATCATAAATATCAAGAATACTACCTATAATTTAAATGAATAATCATTATAGTATAATTAATTTTCATTTTACCATCTTTTTTTTTCCAAAACTCTTCACAATTTTCCTTCCTTGCAGTTTTAAAGAAATGATTATATGTCTGTTTCTCAATTAAGGATATTATGTGAAATGAACCTGAAACCTTTCTTTCTTTAGTGATCACAGACACTGGAAGTCCAATTTGCCCACATCCTGCCTTCCTAAGCCACTTCCAACAATCCTCTTACATAGCTCAGCTCCCTCCTTCTTGAAGACACTGAGGTTCTTAGCCTCCAATTTATTTTTCTTCCTCTGTTCAAATGTTCCCAAGGCCTTGGTAAAAATAAATAAATAAATAAAAATAAGTATCTCTGACCTCTCTGCCATTCTCGTAATCTCCTCTTTTCCTTAACTCTAGTTCTCCTTTTTAAAGTTATTACCAATACACCTGACGGGCACAGTAATTTATACTTGAACTACTGATCAACTGAAGGACTGTGAAGTACCATGCCACTGGCAAATTTTATCTTATCTATAGAAAACTTGTGCTCAGGTTGAGGGCCAATTGTACCTCCTCACCTTCACTGTTTCTTCTGTCACATTTTTGTCAACTTTTGATGCTGCACATTGGTTCATTCGGTGTAAGAATGCCTGCATAAAACAAGAAGATATTACAAAGGTAACATTAGCTTAATAAAATGACTAGGTGGTGAGCAGAATTAAACTAACTTTTTTACAAGAAACCAAAGTGTAAAAATTCAATTGTTGATATCATAGTTTTGTTGTAACACAGAAAGCCTTGTGCATTGCTTCTCCTATCTGGGAATTATTCTTCCTTTACAATGTTGGGGCAGGGCCTGAAATTATCAAGTATTTGTAAATTCAATTTATCAACCAGGATCTCAAAGTTGTGAAGTGAGCATTTAGAGTCACATGTTTCCTAAACTTCTGAGACTTGCAAAGCGCAAGAAGACAAAAATTTAATAGAAAATTGCATTTCTAATAAAACAACAAAAGGGCCAGAAATTCCGAAGTGATTCTCTTAGAAATTAGAGATAAAGAGATAGAAGATACATAGGTTGATTGATTGATTGATTGATAAAATAGATGATAGATAGATAGATAGATAGATAGATAGATAGATAGATAGATAGATAAATGATAGATAGATATCCCTGCCATTATTTCCCAGGAAGACACTTCAAGAAGGAATAAAAGAATTTCCTTTCCCCTTCATCCCCCACCCCCAGCCTTTTAAGAAGCAAGAATTTAAATTTCTGGGTTCAGGTCCGGGCTCTCCATATCTCTATGGTAGGCAAATAAGCCCTTGAGTAATTCAAAGATTTGGAATCTTCTCAGTGGTCATTAAGTTTTGGCCAATGGCTAAATAAGCTATTATGTTCACACACACAAAGAAAAAGAATACAATAATTTCTTTATATTGAACTTTGAAAAAGAAAGTTTAGAGGAGAAAAAGAAGAGAATTTCCATCTAGCAAATTTGGTTTACTTCCTCAAGACACAATCCATTATCACCCTCAGCACATGGCTAATAAGAATAAAATGGTACATTTAAGAGGGCCACTTGACAATGTATCTCAAATTTTTAAATGGGTATTTCCAGCCAGCATGGTGGCTCAGGTCTATAATCCTAGCACTTTGAAAGTCCCAGGCAGGATCCCTTAAGGCCAGGAGTTTGAGGTCAGCCTTGGCAACACAGTGAGACCTCATCTTTACAAAGATTTTTAAAGTTTGCTGGGCCTGGTGGCATACACCTGAAGTCCTAGTTACTTAAGAGACGGAGGTGGGAGGTCACTTGTGCTCAGGAGTTTGAGGCTGCACTGAGCCATGATCACAGGCACCACTGTACTCCAGCCTGGGTGACAGAGTGAGATTCTATCTCAAAAAATGAAAATAAGCATTTTCTTGAACCTGGCAATTCTCTTTCTTTCCTTTCTTTCCTTTCTTTCCTTTCTTTCTTTCTTTCTTTCTTTCTTTCTTTCTTTCTTTCTTTCTTTCTTTCTTTTCTTTTTCTTTCTTTCTTTTTCTTTTGAGACGGAGTTTCGCTGTTGTTACCCAGACTGGAGTGCAATGGCACGATCTCGGCTCACTGCAACCTCCGCCTTCTGGGTTCAAGCGATTCTCCTGCCTCAGCCTCCCAAGTAGCTGGGACTACAGGTGCGCACCACCATGCCCAGCTAATTTTTTGTATTTTTAGTAGAGACGGGGTTTCACCTTATTGACCAGGATGGTCTCAATCTCTTGACCTCTTGATCCACCCACCTCGGCCTCCCAAAGTGCTTGGATTATAGGCGTGAGCCACCGCTTCTGTGATTTTATTCCAAGAAAAATATTTAAACAAGGGGAATCATTGTATTGATTACCAAAGTGGAAAAACTGGAAACAATATAAATGCCCATCAATAAAAGAGTCATTAAACATATTATTATATATTCAAATTATAGACTATAGCAAAAGTGCAATCATAAATGGAATGTGATAAAATATATATACACATGTGTGCATATGATAGATGTCTATAAAATATTGTCTGGTGAAAAAATTTATTAAGTGGCATACTTGCTATATACATACATATATGCAGATGCATACAAATATATACATATATACACATGGATAATATCAGTGTGCACTGATATTGAGAAAGAAGTAGGTGGCATTTACCAACAGGCAATGGGTAGAGTTATCTTTACATGGTAGGAAGGTGACCTTTGCACACTTTCTAATGTTTGGAATATTTAGCTATAAGCATGTTGTAACTTATATAAAAAGAGAAACAAGACAATTTAAAATAAACGAACCGCAAGATCTCACTCCTAGCATGAACTCAGGACCACATTTATTTCTGATACAATCAATTCACGTTTCAGATTCTGTAACTACAACATCAGATCAGAAGGAATAACCCCAACTCTTCAACATCAGCTGAAATAAATAAAATGAATATGTATTGGATGTCACTCTAATTTGCTAATTGGAAACGTGATACATTTTTGAACTCTTATCTAAAGTTAAGAATAATGGATGAAAAAAGATTTAGAATTGTCTAACTTTAAGAGTTCATTTTATTAGTATTACTCAGTTTCATTTTTTTGTTAGTTTTGTTTTTCTTGAATATTTCCACATACTCATAGCAAAAATGTTCTTTATCTAATTCCATTTACTCTTAAAACAACATGGTGGTTTATTTGCCTAGTTTATACAGTTTACATTTCATATTGACCACAGAGTAAACAGGTAACCTCTTGTGCAAGCAAAGCTTAAACTTCACCTCTACATTTATAAACCTTTTCTGCATAAACTGAACTCAGTCACATTCTGAAAGGGATAAATTGAAGTAAGGAAGTAGTAACAATGAATCAAAATATGAGTTAGACGGGAACATACAAACTAAGAAAGTAAACCATGTCTTTATCTGACTTTTTATCTTCTTATTCTCCGTGACAATATGGAACTTTTTGTTTGACTGTATACGAAAGGAAATCTGGAACTTGTTAGCATTTCTGACCAAGCATTTCTTTTTCCCAAGGTCCTCATTTTATACAACAGTGAAGACAGATTTTAGATGTTTTGCTCAGAACAAAAAATCATGAAAACTGTTTGACATTTTTTAAGAGGTTTAAGTCTTCCTTCTGAAAGCTAGAAATAAATAGGTAATTTCAAAATCACCCTTTAACAACCAGCATCTATAGTGCCCTTTCAGACTATGCTAATTGGCACATTTAATCCTTCTTATATCAATCAAGGAAGCATTAGTAGCCTAGTCACAAAAGTACATGAAGGATTCTATACACTGTTTTATTTCCATATTCATTCTCGCTTGTCCAAAATTTCATCAGAATCAGATAATCTTCATCTTGGCACACATATATTTGAAATCAAGCAGTGGAAAATAGCTTCGTATGCTAGTGGATTTCAAACTTTTTATTGTGTTTAAGATTTGGAGAGTTTCTTCCAAATGCAGATTCCTATCCCCAGAGGTTTGACTCAGGAGATTAATTTAGGACCCAGAAATCTGCATTTTGAGCAGGACCTCTAGGTGATTCTGGTATAGTTGGTCCAGAGACCATCTTTGGATGAACATTCTTTATGTTCATTTTTCAAAGACTGGAAAAAAAAAAAAAGCAGACTTTGAGAAATAAGTGAGACTTCATAGGAAAATCGGGTTTACTTATTTCACTTTGACCTTCAACTCAATGTCAAGCAATGGTTGTTTCTATATAACATCCTCTCATGCAACCACTTGGGATTCTGGTACCCCACAGAGGACGTGCCTCCCACCCATGAAAATCATAATCATGGCTGCATATAACTGGTTGCAATAATCTCTGAAGGGTAGGGAGATGCAGACACAACTCAGGTGAGTCAGGGACAGGCTAAGTTGCATTCAGAGAAAGTGAGGCTCTTGCAGATGCCCCTCCGATGACCTTTCAGCTTGTACATGTGTGAGCAGGTGCTCAGTTCACTAGCATTCCCCTAACAATGGTTCCACAAAAAATATTCCTAGGTATCACTCTAGTCATGGGCTTTTTCCCAGAGTACTCTTTCTCTTTAACTTGCTCCATATTATCTTGTATATTTGGTAAATGTATATGATAAATATTATCCACTAAAATTTAATAAAGCTAAAAATGTCACAAATTTGCCATCAAGAATCAAAAGGAAGAAACTCATGAAGATGAAATACAAAAATGACAGCAATCCCCTTTATCCTTGTCTGCATATCTGTGCTGTTGCTGGTTCAAAAGTAAAGCAAAACTCGCCACAGTTTTCATTCTTAGAATGCATTTTCCTATTTTATAATTTCAACATACAAAATCATCTCTCTCAACATATCTTCGCCCTTCTCACTCTCTTCATCAGTCCAGGCACACATAGTAGATCACTCTCAAAAGTCTCACAGATTTTAACAATTTATGCTTTTAATCCTAGATACCTGATGCCAATCTGAATTTCTAATATCATATAGACACTAAACCTTATTACTCCTACAAATATTCTACTTTCAAAATCCTGAATGCAGACTATTTAGCAGCACCCTGTCACCTTGAAGATGTGGCTATTTAATATGGATATAGATGGGTAAATTGTGTATATAAACGTGAAATAGGAAAAATTTAAGAGGGACTGCGCTGCTGCAGGAAAAAAAGTCTGTACTCATTTCATGAAAATAAATGAGAAAAAAAAAAGGGTAAATATTTTCCTTTCGCCCTTTAGCCTAAAACAATATTATCACATCACAATTCTTTGGAGGATAAGGGCTTTGTTTGGTCCTAATAAATGAAAGAAGTTTGTCTTTTGGGTTTGCCTAAATATCTGGTTGGTAGTGGCATCATTGGAATGGAGAAGACTAAGAATGAAGAAGGTTTTGGGGTGGGAGAAACAGAGTTTGTTCTTGACCTGTTGGGTCTGAGATGTCTATTTGGCACAGTGAGGAGATCCATGAGTAGGGAGTTAGCCATTCCAATTTGAGGTTGTAAGAGAGGGATCAGGGCTTACAGTAAAAAGTTGATTGTCATTGGCACAAAGACATAACTTTGAGAAATCACATATAGAGAGAAGAAATGACCAGACCCAGTTCACTGGAGACAGCATGGAAATGGAGAAGACAAAAGGCATAGGACAGAACCA